AAGATATTTAGATACCTGGTTTAGATACTAGATACCTAGCTCAAATACCTAATTAAGATACTAGATATCTAATTCAGATACCTGATTAAGATACCAGATACCTGATTATTGAGATACTAGATATCTGGTTTAGATACCAGATACCCCAGATATCTAGGAGTATTATAGGTATTAAAATAAATATTTTGCCTTTAAATATTTCATTTATAATAAGAAATTTAGGAAGTGAAATATTATAATTCCGGGAGAGTCTAAAACTCAAAGAACTCGATTTAATAATAAAATCGAAATAGTAATTAAAGAGCTTTAAGGATATATATAAGATATATATTCCGGAAAGAAGATCTTATAAATACGGGTATTATATAAATAGAAAAAATAATTTTCAAGAAAGTAATCTTGGGACTAAAAGAAGTTAGTTTTAAAGAATAATAGAAATTAAATAAATAGATAATTAAATAACTAACTACTTATTAATTAGTAAGAACTAGATATCTTCTTTATAGGCTATTAAATACTTTTATAAAATTAATAAGTAGTTCCCTTCTTTAATATAGAATAAACTAGATTTGTCTTAGGTTACTAAATACTTTTAGGACTAATCTAAAATCTTTTCTAATCTATATATATAAACTAATTAGTATTAGTTTACTAGTAATATATAATATTATTATATAAATATAAAAATACTAGTTATATTAGTTAGTAAAGTTATTCTTTTTCAGAAATAGGAATTATAGTATTATAATATTAATATATAATCCCTAAATCTACTAAGCCTAAAGGGATCTAATTTATTAGTTAAGTTACTAATAAGATATAAGGTTATATAACTATATCCTATATTTTATATTCTATAACTATATATATAACTTCTAAAGAAATAGCTATACTAATAGAAAGAAATCCAGATTTAGAATAATATCTTATATTTTTATTAAATAATAATATTCTAGCTTTTTAAAGTTTTTATAATTAGAATTTCAAATAACTAAAATTATTTTAGAATATTTTTTATTAATTAAATTATACTAAAAATAATATATTATTAGAATTATATAATAAAAATAAAAATTCTTTAAATTATATATAAAAGACTTTTAGTTTTTAATATATAATTTATAATTTAAGAAATTTAATAGAAATATTTAAAGCTTAAAAATAATATTATAAATTAGTTTTCGATTTTATTAGCTAATATAATTATTTATATTTTATTATTTATATTTTATTATTTGTATTTTATTATTTATATTTTTATATTTTATTATTTATATTTTATTATTTATATTTTATTATTTATATTTTATTATTTATATTTTATTATTTATATTTTATTATTTATTTATTTTTAAATATATATATTTAAAATATATTAGAGATTTTTAAAAAACTAAATCTTTTATAAACTAATATATAATAAAATATATATATTTTTTATAGCTTTTTATATTTTAGTTTTTCTTTTTTTAATTTTAAATTATTAAAATAAAAATTATTTTATTTTATTTTTCAGGTTTTAGATTTTATATTTATAAAAAAAATATTTTTTTCGAGTTTTAATTTTTTTATTAATTTTATAAATAGAAATTTAACTAATAAATTTTTTTTTCTTAATTATATAATTAAATATTATAAAAATAAAAATAACTAGATCTAATATTTACTTTTTATTAAAAATCTCTTTTTATTTCTTTAGCTTATATTTAAATATTATATTTTAATTAAATTATAAAAGCTTCTTTTTTATAATATTATATAATTTTCTTTAATTAATTTAAAAGAAAAAATATATTTAAAAATAATAAATTTTTAGAAATAACTTATAATAATATTTTATTAATTAGTATTCTTTTAATATTTCTTATTAGATTACTTTTTTAATTATTATTAAAAAATACTAATAATATAATTAAATTATATAAATTTAGGCTTGTTTTTTATAGCTATATAAACTTATATTTTTTATAATTAATTAGAATATTAATATATATAGCCTATTTTCTATTAAAAGTAATATTATAATTTCCGAAATTTAAAATAATTATAAATATATTAATATTTTATTTATTAATTAGAAATAAAACTTCTATATATTTTTTAGTAAATTTAATTAACTTTTTATTAAAACTATATATAATATAAAATAAAAAAAGAGTTATAGTTTTATTTCTAATTATTTTATAAACTAAATAAGCTTTATATTAATAAAGATATAGTTATTAATTCTAGTATTAATAAAAGAAAAAAACTTAATTTCTAATTTATTTATATTAATAATATTATAAATATAAGATCTGGGGCCTAGAAGATATAATTAGACTATTTCTATTTCAATAATTTAAAGCTAAAAAGAGAAGAGGATCTTAAAAAAGCCTCGGATTTAAATAATTATAAGCTATATACGGGCTTATATACTAGTTTAAGCTCGGAGTTATATATAACTATTAGGTAATTATAAATACTTTACTTAGATACTAGATATTTCTTTTAGATATTAGATATCTTACTAGCTCTAGTCTAACTTCTATTAGTATTATATATTATAATAATTATAATAAATAATATAAAATATTATAAAAGTATTTCTTTTTATTAAATAAATTAAGTTAATCTTTATTAAATTTATATTATAAGCCCCTAAAATAAAGACTTTTTTTTAGAAATACTTATTTTCTAATTATATATTAAAATTAGAATCTAAATTCTCTAAATATTTTATTAAAACCAGAATTAGATATTCTAATAAAATAGAAACTAAATCTAATTTAATTCTAGAAAAAGCTATTTCAATTTCTTTATTATATCTAATTAAATAATATTTAATATAATAGTTAAACTTATTATAATTATAGTATTTAATAATTAAAAGATTTTCGGTTTTTATAAAATATTATTTATATTTATAAAGAAATACATATTTAATAAAAGTAGTTAATATAAACTTTTTAGATTCTTTTTTTAAAATATATTTCTTAGAAATATAAAAAGATATAATATTAGAAATAAACTTAGCTAAAATAGCTTTTATTTTTTTATATTTTTTAATTTTTTTATATATAACTTTAATTTATTAATTATTAATAATATAATATTAAATAAATAAATTATTATAATATATATATACTAATTTCTAAAGCTTTAATAAAAGCTTTTTATTTAATTTATATTTAATATCTTAAAAACTAATATTATTTTCTATAAATAATTATAAAAAAAGAATATAAAACTTTTAAAATACTTAACTAGAATATATTTAAAGCTTATTAAAGTTATAGTAAATATTTTATATTTTATATTTTATTAGAATATAGCCTTTTTAAATAAAAATATAGCTTTAAGAGCTAGTAATATTAATTCGAATTATTTTTATTTATATAAGAATTAGTTAAAATAAAAGTATTATTTATAAATTTATTAGAAATATAAATTAGTATTTTCTTATAGCTAGTTATTAAAAATAATATAATTTCTAATAAAGAAAATTAGATCTAGAAGTTCAATAATTCTAGTATTCCTAAAAGAAATATAAGATATAAGGAATTTTAAATAGAAATAAATAAGAAATAATTCGGAATTCTTTAAAAAGATATTTAAAATATTTAAAACTATAGAAATAATAAAAATAAATAAAATAAAAGTAACTAGAATAATTATAAATTAATCTATTATAGTTATATAATATATAATATTTTCTTTAAATTTAATATTCTAGAGTTTAGTATTCTTAAAAAAAGCTTTTAATATTTTTATAATTTATTTTATATAAAATAGTTCTTTTAAGATTTTCCTAATAACTAATAATAATTAAATTAATATTAAAAAACAAGTAATTAACTTCTTTAGCCTATTTATATAGTTCTTTAATAATAATAAGCTAATTAGTATATAAGAGCTTTTTAATAAAGAAGAAGTCTTTTCTTTTATAAATTTATTTAAAAAACCTCTAGAAATATTAATAGAATATTTGATTTAAAAAAAACTATTAATAAAATAACCTAAACTAATAAAAGCCTTAAAAGAAATTAATATTACTTCGAATTATATAATATTCTAGAAAATTAATTTATTATATTTTTCTTTTATTATATTTTCTTTTATAATCTTATTATTAATATATATATAAGACTTATAAGGTTATAGAATAAGGCTTAAAAGTAATAATTAGGTTATTAGCCTATAGGTATCTATTATTCTAAGACTTAATTAAAGAATAGCTTTTATATAAGGTTTTTCGATTTTCGGGGTTTTTAGAAAAGTTTTTAATATATTATTAATATATATTTATAAAAATATAAATATCTAATTTCTTTAAAGGTTCTAAAGCTTTTTGCTTTTATTATTCTAGAGTTTATTACTTGTATTTCTGAGGTTCTATTATCTTAGTAATACCTATATTTCTAATAGTTTTAAATTAGTTTATTTAAAATCTTTTATAGAATTAAAAAAAATAAGCTTTAAATACTATTATAAATACGGTATTTAAGGCTTGGAAAGCAAGGTAGAAGGTCTCTTATAAAGACGATTCAAAGCTAAGGAAAAGAAAACTAGAATATAGGAGGCTGCGAGGGAGTATATATATCCTATAGTATATTAGTCCCAAAGGGCCTTAGCCTTCTAAATATCTCTAGTGCATTCCAAGCATACTTCCCTAGCGAGGCGGCCGCGTCACGTGCGTCTAGGAGGCGTCTGGGAATTGTGATACTTTATTATTATTAGAGTTATATCTCGGATATTACTTTTCAAGCTATTTTAATTATAAATAAGTTACAGTATAATTATACTAATATAAAACTCTTATAACAAAAAGTAAAAGACATTCTGGATTACAAATATTTGAAGTTTATTCGAAATTTTATAAAGATTTAATTAAACTAAATAAGGTTAAAGAACTAGAGTTTTGATTTTCTTATTATTTTAGTAAAGTGCAACCCCGGCAGTAATAGAGCAGATATATAATAAGTTTTATATATTACTAATATAATACTAGTAATTTTTATACCTTATTAATTCGATTGCCTTATTACATACTAACAAACACCTTATACAAATAAAGGATTTCAGAACGAAGCAGTAAGAGGTGCATATACGGAAGGAAAGAATTCGCGTTGTCTTATAACATGTATTGCTCGTTGCCGTAACCCATTCTGTCTATTCCGCAATCTCCTTCCTTCAACAAGCTTTCTTTCTCACAGCCATATCCTTTCTTCGAGCACTGTCCTGACCTCACTATGTCTCTTTGTTACCAGCTTATAACTCTCCCTTCTGCAATCCACTTGTGTCTCCCTTCTCCGGGGCCAGCGGCTCCACATTCCATATGCTCTCCGCATACTCGTTAATACATCGATCACTGCTGAAGAACCCCATTCTCGACACACTGGTGATACACTTGCTGACCCACTCATCCTGGTTCTTGTACGCCTCGTCAACCAGTGCTTGTGTTTGGTTGTAGCTATGGAAGTCGTCCGAGACGAGGTAGTAATCACCATGCTCTTCGATGGCACCGACGAGAGCAGAGAAAGCACCTGCGTCACCGAAAGTGCCTTTCTTGATTTCCTCAAAGACTTTGGTGAGATCGGGGTCGAGTGTGTGAGAACCGTAGGTGTGTGCGTGGCGGAGGTCTTCGACGTCTTCAGCGAGATTACCAAAGAGGAAGATGTTGTTCTCGCCGATTTCGCGGGTGATTTCAATCTGCTCAATTAGCCAAGCTCTGATGATCATAATTGATGAAGACTTGCATTTGCACCGTCACAAGTACCGATGATCAAACCACCATTCAACACAAACTTCATGTTCGAAGTTCCACTTGCCTCAGTTCCAGCAGTCGAGATGTGTTCACTGATATCACTGGCAGGAATGATGATCTCAGCCTTGGAAACATTGTAATCCTCCAAGAAGATAACCTTCAAGAGGTCACCAACATCTGGATCCTTATTGACAACGGAACCAACATTGTTGATGAGATGGATGATGGTCTTGGCCATCCAGTATCCAGGCGCAGCCTTTCCGCCGAAGATGGAGACTCTGGGAGCAAGCTTCTTTCGCTCCTCAGGAGTCATAGCCTTGATAGTCAAGTATCGATGGATGACTCCAAAGATGTTCATTTGTTGGCGCTTATACTCATGTATACGCTTCACCTGGATGTCGAAAAGCGCGGAGGGATTGACAGTAACGCTGGTCGTGCTCTTGATGTGCTTGGCAAGTCGAACCTTGTTGGCGTACTTGATTTCCGCCCACTCCTTCTTGAACTCCTTGTCATCAGCATACTTCTCAAGGTCATTGAGAATATTGAGGTCCTTCAAGAATCCAAGACCACCAGTTTTACTTGCAATAAGCTCTGACAATCTGGGATTGGCCTGGTGCAACCAACGTCTTGGAGTAATTCCATTGGTGACGTTCGTGAACTTGTCAGGTCCGAAGATCTTGACAAAGTCCTTGAAAATGGTAGTCTTTATCAGATCAGAATGAAGCTCGGCAACACCATTGACCTTGTGAGAGCCAACAATAGCCAAGTAAGCCATGCGCACCATCTTTGGCTGAGACTCTTCAATGATCGAAACACGACCAAGGATGTCGCGATCCTTGGGGAACTTGCGCTCAACACTTTGCAGGAAGTACAAGTTGATCTCGTAGATAATTTGGAGATGTCTTGGAAGCAAGTTCTGGAACAATGGGACAGACCACTTCTCAAGTGCTTCGGGAAGAACAGTGTGGTTTGTGTATCCGAACTTCAAAGAGTCAGCAGAGCTAAGCAATTTGATTGCAGATACTCACAGTCTTGGAAACAATGGCCCATGCCTCATCCCACTCAAGGCCTTCGAGATCAAGAAGAATGCGTTGAAGCTCAACAACGGCGAGCGTTGGATGGGTATCATTCAATTGGATTGCAACCTGGTCAGGGAACTCGCTCCATGCACGCTTGGACTTCTTGAATCGACGAACAATATCGTAGAGTGAAGCAGCAACCCAGAAGTATTGTTGCTTCAATCGAAGCTCCTTACCACGATCGAGATTGTCATTCGGATACAAGACAGCGCTGATGGTCTCAGCACGTTGTTGATCTGCAACGGAGCTCTCGTAGTCACCGCTATTGAACTTCTGGAAGTCGAACTCGCCACTGGCAGCTTTGCTAGACCAGAGACGCAGATTGTTGGTAGCAGGAGTGTCGAATCCAGGGATTGGGACATCATAAGCAACAGCCTTGACGATCTCACCACCTTCCCAGGAGCTGCATTGTTTACCCTGCGTGTCTTGGTATTTTCTGACATGGCCGTAGAATTGGATCTAAAGCCGGTTAGCATGTGTCCAAACTGACGGGATTGCGGGGGAGCATACATCCACAACAACGTCATGTCTCGGAAACTCCCAAGGATTGAAGTCAAGCCAGTAATCAGGAACCTCAACCTGGTACCCATCCACAATTTCCTGTTTGAAAATACCATAACGGTATCGCAATCCATAACCCCAAGCTGGGTAGTTGAGAGACGCCAAAGAGTCCAGAAAACAAGCAGCCAATCGACCGAGACCACCATTTCCAAGGGCAGCATCGTGCTCTTGGTTGATAATGTCTTCAATACGGAAACCCAGGTCCGCAAGACCGCCTGTAAAATGCGTTAATTCACTGCGACCAAGTGAAAGGGCAAAAATAAAGAAACTCTACCTTTAGCAACTCCCTTCAAACCCACATTCAACATGGCATTGTCCAACGCTCTACCCATCAAGAACTCCAAACTCAGATAATACACTCTCTTGCCATCAGCAAAAGTCTGTCTTTGCTGTGTCCGATTCCACTCTGTGATCAGACGATCCCGGAATGCCAGACTGGCGGCGGCATATGCAGCAGTCTCATCGCAATTGAACATGGAACGAGCAAGTGTAGTTTCGACATGGCGAACGACTTCTCTCTCGAAGTCTTCTTGTGTGCTAAAGCCTTTGGCAGCGAATTTCTTCCAGGCCTCGCGTTGGGGTTCGGGGATAGAAGCTGTTGGGGAATTATGCTATCAGCAAAGGGTCCATTCACAGTTGCGAAACAACCCGAGTCAAATGGTTTGGGGGAGTTGGAGAATTCACATACCCTCAACACTCTTGATCTCACCAGCTCCAAACCCAGTAAAGGTACGCTTGTGCTTGGGTCTCGTGAAGCCCGGGCCAACCGGACCCTGAAGATCAATGGGGGCACCGGTGCTCGGACGGCGCTCCCTGGGCATTGTGGTGTTCGACATCTTGCTTGCCGGGATCGAATTGCCCTCGTACTCCGCCTTGAAAAGATGAGAAGACATAAACCACGAGGTTGGAAGGGTTGAGGGACTCGAGAGCCCGTGCAAGGACAGCAGGCAAGCTTGAGGGGCTAGGTAGCTGATAAGCTGCAGCAGCGGGATGTTGATATTGGCGGTGCGGGGTTGTTCGAGACCGTTGCAGGGGGGGGTCAATGAATGGGGAGCTGGAAGCGCTGATCAGCGCTGGGACATGCAAATGTGCAGATGTGCAAGCTGTAAAAATACTGTATTCAAATATTTTGAGGGGAGAAGCTGAAGGAGGGAAGAAATGTGAATGGAGGTGGTGCAAAGCAGAGCTCTCCCACGCACCGTTCGCCAATGCAAGAGCTGCCCTGTGCTATTCTGTCTGTCCCGGCCTTCCCTCGTATGATGTGAGCTCCTGCAGCTCGTGCTTGCCGATGGTGGGGTCAATTTTGGCGACCACCCCTCCTCACCCGTCAGACACCGTGGGCACTTGAGCTACACAGGGCATAAAAAGGGCCTATTGATGGCGAATCCCTTCGATGAGAGCAATTCAATCAGCAGAGCTGGAAGATCGGTGCATTCATTTGTCGTCTCGAACTTAATGTGCTCTTCTTACGATTGGGAAGGGCAGCACACGCCGGGGTCGTTCCACCGTCAAGCAACTCCTGCACGCTATCCAGGAAGACTCGAGGAGTAAGCAGGCTTTATGCCTCGAAAAGGTGCTTGAGTGTTGCAGCCCCACGCCGTTTCGATCCACTCACTCCCGGGGATCACGGCCAGCTCCAATCCAACCCAAGCCTGCATGGTGGACTGTCTGCTAGAAATCCTTCCCCTTCCAGTTTGTGATATCTGCACCGCCGGCCGGCCCGCAGAGGTAAAAGCCTTTGTCACTGCAGTCGTGCATGATCGAAATCGAAATCGAAATCCCGCTCAGCCGCGATGATGTCATTGAGGTGGTGCAATGCCAATATCACAGGACCACACTACCCTTGTTCTTTGAATTATTTACTGTACTCTGCGCCATGTACACTCGAGATCAGGCCTGGCATCTTCAATCCTAGGCACCTGCTAGATCTCCTCTGTAATAATGCAATCGATCTTTTCCCCTCTTCCCCCTCATCGCTCGCTTCAGTCCAATAAGCACATCGTCTTCCCTAAAAGGCTTTCTCTCCATCCTTCAATATGAACGTGAATCTCAGTAGTAGACACACCAGAGAAATACCCCGCTATGTTATCGTAGCAATAGCACAGATTGTGTCTGCGCGACAGTGTGACGAGACCGTTGGAACAAAACTAGAACATGCAGACAACGTTCCACCCCATAGTCTTGTCAGACAGCCGCTCCAGAACTCCCGTAAAACACCAAGCCAACGCCGGCGCCAATGAACGTAAGACATTTTCCAAAAGACCGAGAAAGGGGCGTGATGCATCATGACATAGAACTCAAAGAATACCAGAGTCCTTGAGAGCATTTTGGAGAATGGTCTCTTTTACTGCCGCGAAGACGAGCCTTATATTCGACGTATCCGTTGCTTGTGTGAGACTTCCCAAGTTAGCTTTGGTACAATCGAAGTTGAGGTGGTGACTTACTGGGGATATAAGTTGAGATGTGCTCGGTTGACTTGGTTGAATCGCCAGAGGAGGTATTTCGAAGCTCTGTTGATATCATTGCCACCCGAGTAATCCGGGAAGTAGTTGCTGAGAGGTGACCGGCCTAGCTTCTGCCTGAACAGATCCACTTTATTCAAGAACAGAATGATACTCGTCCGCATAAACCATCTCGAGTTAACAACGGAATCGAAAAGCACCAAACTTTCCATCATACGATTCTGTATATAATCAGCGCAGCAAGTGATGAGCACACGAATTGACCTACTTGATTGCTCTCTTCTAGTAGCACTTGATCGTATTCGCTCAGAGCCACGCAGAAGATGATTGAGGTCACATTCTCGAAGCAATGAATCCATTTTTTTCTTTCACTTCTTTGCCCGCCCACATCGAACATGCTAGGAGTTATTAGCTCTGCCACAAGTTTTCCGTGCCGCCCAAACCTACTGTATGCTCAGTGAGCCCATAGAAAACCTGGTCTCGTAGATGCCGGTCGTTTTTGTTCGTGCTCTCAATACATCTGCCTCTACAGGTATGTACTCGGGCGCTGCAATTCTGGTAGCCTCCTCAAAGAAACTAATCCTGTCAATACGCATCTCCAATGATCCGGCCTCTTGACCTACTATGGTGCAGAATCCATCAAGTAGAATTCACTCTGCCTCTCCATCACCTTTTCTATACTCCTGTCTTGCCATAATGATGTGACCGCCTCTCCAACCTTCGGAGCCAGTGGGGTATGCGGATCCGGATCGACCTGATATTCCATCAAATAATCACTAAACTCGACGTTTGTTGGAGTCGCAGGGTCGATTCCAAACTGCCGCATAGCCCCAATCAAAGCTTTCGCGCAATCGACGAGGTTCTTATATATCGTGGATCGATAGAGAGCAAGTTCATCCACGGAATATCCCTTTTGATGTATAATCTTCATCTGCTTGACAATCGTCGATTTTCCGCTCTCCCCGGATCCTTCATGAAAGTGTTAGCGGGGTGTTCAATCATTCTGCCTATGCGCGCGGCATACCCAAGAGCAAGATCTTGCATTCTCGTCGAAGTCGCCTTGAGTCTTCCTCCAACGTCTTATCGATTTGCTGACTACGCTTCTTCATCTCCTCCTGTTCGCTCGAGGTCGACATGCAAGCTCCCATCTTGCTTCCGTCTCTTTGGGCTGCAAGCGCAACCTCGCCGTTTGTCTATTGGTTATAGGAGGCGGAATGACTGCGGACACTCTTGCCAAAATTGGTTTCGAGTGGGCGGGGCGATCGCTATCACGGTGGACAAAGGACAATGTGACAATGTCGAGGTCGTCGTAAATCTCGCAGCTTCGTGGATCCCGGCAGAGCGCCCATGCAGTTCAAGACTGGGCGATCAGATATTTCCAGGGTCCAGGAATCCGAATTCAGGGCGCATTCGACTCCCAAACAAGTTGTGACAATGATGTTGTCGGAAAAGTATGTTTCCGTCCCGATTCCGCAAGCCCTCCAGCTGGGGGAGATGTCGAGGGGAACGATGCTCGAGTACCCGAGGTGCGTCCTCTCTGCGCCAATTGTCGCTGGCAGCCCGCAGCGGCAGGCCTTTGTCGGACAGCGGAAAATTCGTCGAGGGCGAGGAGTTCAGAGATGGATATCGAAGTTGACGGTGGTGTAGCTTCGAAGTAGGTAGGTGGCAGGCAAGTGTGGTGGAGCTACCGGCAGGTAGTCTGATCGCTGGGAGGCTGAACACTAGGGCCAAGCAAAGCAAAAGCAGAGCAGAGCAGAACAGTTGGCCAGCACTTTTCGCTTGCCCGCGGCTTCCAGGCAGCGAGGCGCGCAATGCTGTATCTTTGTGTGAAATGGCTCTCGTCAGCAGTCGACCGGACAAAGCAACGGGCGATTCCGATTGTTTTCCGCCGTCAGGGCCGGATAGATGATCCAATCGTTCGTGGATGAGACAAAAGGGTAGGAAGGCTCAGTCAGCACGCAGTGTTCATAGTACCTCCGCATTTGTTTTGATACGCTTTTCGAGGCCCTTAGAAACAGGAGGAGCGGGAGGAGCAGGAGGCACAGGAGGGACGGGCTGCCTACCAAGCACAGTACTTCGTATGCCTGTTGGTCGCCCCCGTCTGTGCTGGATCGAGTCGAAGTTGCACGCCTCCACAGCAGCGGTATCAAATTCGTGCTTCTGATCCCTGTGGGGGCAGCGTGGTTGGGGAGGACGGGGAGGCCTGTGAACCGTGCAGAGGGGATGGGGGATGGGCGTGCGACGTCTTTCGAAAACCGCCTGCTGCCCACATGTCTGTCATTCTGCTTCAAGTCGCCAGCTCGAGCAACTGGAGGGGAAAGGGGTTTCAGGCGACTCCCACTCTTCGCCGCGGCCCTTCCTCTGGAACTACTCCGAACACAAATAGCCAAGGCACACATCGCAATCTTGGAGGCCATCAGATGACACTGCCCTCTCTCCATGCATTCGCAGGCATAGCAAGAGTATCACGGCCAGAGAAATTATCCAACACGCCTGATCTCCTTGTCATGACCCGTGGTGGTTGCTCATGCGAGCTGCCAAGCTGGCCACGACCAGGAGACACGCCGTGCGTCTTCGACGGACACCGTTCAGAAAGATTCACGTTCTCTCGTCAGTTCCAGCAGCAATGTGCAAAATCGAGCAAGGCCTGTACTTGCTCTTATCTGGTAATTTTTAATATCAAAATGCCTGGTTATGCCTGGTCACAATATACATCCATCTGCTGGCAGCCTACCAGCAATCTCCCGACTGGCCATGACTTCTTGCAACACCATCACGGACTATGGACATCGAATCTCGAATTGAAGAAATGTGCAAAGCACTATCATCAGCGTCCATTTGGCTGGAGGGACTTTTCTCAGGGAAGAAACGGAACCACCCAGATCACCAACCAGCCGACGATCCACCACCATCACCACCACCATCACCGCCACCGCCACCATCCCAGCTGCCACGCGAGACCTCCTTTCGCTTGCTTGGGTCGTGTGTCTTGGAGTTTTGGCTTGGTCTCTTCACTCCACCCCGCTCCCCACGGGCTTGGATGGAGAAGGTATATTGTTGTGCATCTCTCCTTTCGCACAGCCATCTTTAACGATCCGTCCTTGACAGTCTAGAATTTCTTCCCGTCTCTATACCTTACAGATCCTTTTTCACTTCTTAAAACATCCGCATCGCATCAAACTTGGCCCGGATAATCCTCGTGGCTTCATCTCCAGCACCTCCAACAAGCCCCTAAGCCACGCATTTACACCAACCGCACAACACCTCCTAATCCAGCACCCACCCCGCTCTCACCTGAAAACCCGAACCCAAGATATGTCATGTGGCGCTCCTCTCGATGAAACCTCTCTCCCTCGGTGATTCCCAGGGAAAAAGCAAGCACTAGCCCCCTACCACCACCGGGCCGAGAAAGTGTCCGAGATCGAATCCTTCCGCTGCAAGTTTGCAAGTTGCAACCCCCTTTTCAGCCCAAGATCCGGACCTCTCCTCTGTCTTGATTCTCCTTCTCCTTCCTTGGGTCCCTTGAAATTACCGGAGTCGCCTGAATAACCACAGCCCAGCATGTGCTGTGGCGTCTCTGGTTGAAAAAGCAAAACCCCCCTACCGTTAACTGACCTCACCCCTCCATCTCGGGCCGGCAAGGACCCGATCTTCAGCTGCAACTACCGGTGGAGTAAAGATCCACAGGCTCAGGCACATCAATGTCTCACCAAAAACATTGATCAGAACTGAGAAAGCCTCCGATCTGGTCGTTTCCAAGCCATGGTTGATGATCAAGAAATGCCACGTGCCGTGGAGTTCCTCATGTCTCAAGTACTGGAGTCCTCCACTCTTCGTCCTGAACTTTTCGGCATTGTTTTCGACTTGCTTTTTGAAATTCTATTATTACTGCAAGTGCATGGCGGGTGGCTGCAGTCATATACCGGGTGCTTGTCAGGCTCGAGTCACGAGTGTCAGTGCAGGTTGGTCTTAGGTCGAGGTGCCGGGTACTGTCAAAACAATGCATTCTATCTAGACCCCTCCGCCCCCTCAACAAAAATAAAAATGGTAAACCCCCTTCGCGCCCCTAGAATGACCGCAATAACCACCTCCCTGCAATAATATACTTCTATTTGTAGTAGCCAATTCAACTCTCCTAGAATCCTTGAAGAAACAAATATCTTAGGATAACATAGAATTCTCTAAAATCCTGCTGAACAAACTAGCTCGTGTTGTAGAACTGTAGTCAAGTTGCTAAACAAACTTTCCGTTTGCAAGTTCGCTTCGCCACCTCTGCCTCCTTCACTGAAAGAGGGACTAAGGTCATCCGGCGAGGCTTTGGGCCTTGTCACTGCGATAATGCCATATCTTGCTTGTTGTTGGGACCAAGATCTTTCCAGGGGACTGTCAACGCTCGTCGAATCTGAGGCGATTGGGCCTTTGTCATTGACAGAAAATCTGATGTCGACATCAGAGGAAGAGAGTGGAGGCTCTGTCCCATCCAAGGACTCCGGAAACTTCTGGGTATGGATAGCGTTAACAAACCCGCGCGACTCGTGGGTACATTTCCTTCGCCTTGGCAATGTTGAACAGAAAACTGCAAGAGCGTCAAGCAACATGTAGCGTTTATCAATCATCTGAGACACTGGTAAAATGCCATTAAACTGTACCCCAGAAGATATAAAGAAACGTGTTAGGTGTATAGTACTTCAGGAATCTGAGGTTGTATAGTCTGACGAAGCACCGCGTGTGGTCGGCGATTAAAGGGTATGCCTGGAGGAAGGAGATTGGATATAAACGGCAACTACAAATGAGAACGAAAGAGAGGGGGAAGCGATAGCAGGCGCTAAAGAGAAAGAAAGGAGATGACGGAAGGAGAAGAGGGACTAGGGCTTCTTACACGTTCGCCATATCGCCGAATACGCAAACACTCCCCTATATCTGATTTTTAAAAAAAATCTTCCGAGCAATCAAGAGCGTCAGCTGCGTAGCAATTGCCAAGAAGACCGTTTCGTCCGTCAAAAAACTGCTCACAGTGATCGTCTTCTGCAACCCTTCGGCACTCTTACGCAAGAATTATCTGTGGATGTCATCAAGAAGCAATGATCCGCCTTAAAAAGTCAGGATCTTGCTTAACTTAACTAGACTAAAGTGTAGAATCTATCCAGTCATCGTACTCTCCATTGCCCTTGGTATCTCTGCATTCCCGCCACAGCACCTCTCGCCCATTGACACTGAAGGGGAATTCTCTTCAAGAGGTCGTCCAAGCCCGAATCATTCCCTGAGATGTATTTCAACAGGGCCGCCATGGCCTGAAGCCCAGCTCCGCCAGCCTCGACATACTTCACATCAAAACGGGGTCTTCGAAGTCTGATCGCGGGTATGTGTAACCCTAGGGTTTCTATCTTGTACGAAGTACTTGGGGTGCGCTCCACTTCTGAGATCTAGGCTAAAAAGAGTTCGTAGACTTGTTGAACGGAAACTTAGAGGATCCAGGCCGAGATGAGTTCGTAGATCCAGGCCAAGGTGGGTTGGCAGACTCCTCAAACCCAGAGTCTTCAAATAGCTGCATATCTTTATATACCGTACCTATTAACACTCGGCTAGGATGGCGCGAGCGAGCAATAATTGGTCCAAAGCGGCTGCCTTGTTTCTCCAAAAAAATCCCTGACGCCCAGGCACCGAGAGGAAACTTTGCCTCGACGGTGTACTATGGTGTGTTTCCTCACTCGGTTGTTTGGCAAGAACGACAGTGGAGCTCTTGTATTTGAGGCATGCGAGAGCCTTGGGAATCCTGGCTCAGTCGGACTTGGATGGAGATGTTTTCGGATTCAAGGATATCGAAGCTGGAAGAAAGCCAAGGGGCAGCAGTAGCGGAAATACAACACCGAATTGGATATTTCGCGCAGGACGGAGAAGGTATCGATCTTCCACTTGGAACAATTCGATGCGGCAGGCATCAGGCAATCGACGAGCATTTTGTCTTCAGAAGGATATCATGAAGAAACTTGAACACCGTAAATTTGAAGTCAAATTCTTCGATTTGGACTGCTACTGGAACTGCCTCTGTCTGCAATACCACTCTCCAGTCACCAATCGAAGAAACAGCCTCTCAGGTATCCACGCTCGGTATCAATCAACTCCTCCCAATCCCAATCCACCCCAAGCAATGCATATTGTCCATTTATCGTGCCATGAGCCAATCGCCATCATCATCAGTCAAAGCACAGAGAAAGAGGAAGGAGAAGAAAAGAAGGAATTTTCCAGCTCCAGTTCAAATCTGTTGCTTCCCTCCATGCACCCAATTCGTAGTAGCAAGCCTCCCATATGCAATCGAGACCAATGAAGAGACAGAGGAAGAAGATTGTTTCTTGCTTGCTTGCTTTCTCTCTTGCTCGATGATGACTGATTGATGATCCATGACCCAGTTCGACTCCCGTCCTGCGACAACGTGGCCATGATATACCATATCTGGCTTCCTCCAAGTCTAGTTCACAAGGATTGACGAGAAGAGATCAATAAAAAAGAGAGAAACATTTTTATGCAAGGTAACCAAGTTCATCATCGTCGAGCCGCTCCAAGTACTCCTTCTCTAACAAGATGTCAATGCACTTCTTGATATCGGGAATCTTGGGGACGAAGCGGGAACGGATTTGGTTGATGGTCTCGGAGACGAGCTGGGTGTGCTTCATCTTCTTTCTGGCCTTCATGATACGGACAATGGCGGACTAAAATGTTGTCAGCAACATCTTCAAATAAAGGACTCGGTCGCAACTCACCTGCATAAGAAGCTTTCTGTCCTCCTCAATGGTCTTGTGAGTATCGTCAACCTCTTGCTTCTGCTCAGACTTGACTGCAATGTTCAAGTTGACACGGATCTTCTTGCTCTTGAAGTCATAGTTCAGAGAGAAGGTCTTGTTTGTGCCAGGCTTCTCCGCCTCGTCCTTCCCAACGGGCGTGCCATCAAGATTAGTCATGTTCAAAACCTTGGCCTTGACAAAGATACCAAGGGCTGGGTCAAGAACATCAGCTTGCAATTGAGTGGCCTTGACGATATCCTCATAACTGTTCTTGTCATTCTCGTTGAAGAGGAGTAGGATAGCCATTTGATATGTCGAAACTTGGAAGGTGTACGGGGTCTTCGTGTTTCTGCAGTAGTTGGCTCGAACCTCACCCTTGCACAGTTGCCACAGCCAAGTAAGCTTTCGACCACTGTGCTTCTGCCCGTAGAAGGATTGGAAGCGCTCGTAAGCCTTAGCAATCTCGGCAGGTGGGGTGAAATCGGTGTTGGGCGGGTTCAGAGGCCAGAAGCCGGTACCTAAGATGGCGTAACTAGCATCGACTGGCTTGTCATCTCCTGGCTCAAGCAGCTTGGACTCAAATTCCTTGAAACCGCTGTTTAAATCCTTAGAGATTTGGATGTCCTGGAACATACGCTGCAGCTTGTTGGTGTACTCGTAGCCGCAGGCCTCCTTCAATTTGCTGATCATGCTGGTCTCAGCATCATCTGACGAAGAGTTGGTGTGAACCAATCTACGAGCCAACATTCTTGAGTAGAACTTCTGGAAAACATCCTTGTCCTCGATATACTTGAAAACAGTCATGATCTGTGTCAAGGTGTTCTCAAGATCACTCTCCTCAGCACCGCTTGCACTCTTCTTGAGTAAGGTATCGGTGTACTTGGCAAGCAACTCGGGCGACTTGTTTGATCCTGACTTGCAAACCTGGTTTCTGTTGACAAACTCTCTGCATGCATTGTCAAGGGATCGTGTAAATTCCGGTTCATCCTTGAATGCTTGCTTAACCAGACCTTGGTATTGCGTGTGGATCTCGAGAAGGGCATCAACGTAGACCTTGGGCTCTAACTTTTCGGCATCAACTGCAACCTTAGCAACAGCGGCCAAACCAGCTTTTCGGACGTGGGCCTCGAATTTGGTACGGAGAGGGTCGAGACCATCGGGGATTCTTGACAGAAGATTGTACATTCGTTGCATGTCATCTTGGCGGTCGTTGTCCAACAGAACCTGGAACTCGTCTCGAAGGATGGCGGAGTGGTCGGCGATAAGCGCAGTATTGCAGCATTTCTTCAGAGGTATGATAATGTCTGCATGGAGGTACATGTTGACACGCTCTTCCTCCTCCTGCAATCGGATCTCGGCCTTCTTCATATACTCAACGATGCTGTTCTCTGCAACGAATTGCTTCGATTCGGCTTGGTAGAAGGCCTTCGTAGCATCTAAGAACGGTCTCTCAAAGTTGAATCGGTAGACATCGAGGGTAGACTTGGTAGGATCTGCCTCATCTAAGCCAAGTGAGACAAACGAGTCCACGATGCTCTTGATCTGGCTGTGTTCGATGGTCTCGCCATGACGTTGCTTCTCCACCATCTTCAAGACGGCTTCCATAACCTTCTCGTGAACCTCGCTGAAGAGAGTCAATCGCCATTGAACCAGGTGCAGTGTGTAGACATCGTAGATGTTCTTCTTCCCCTCGTCCATCTCCCGCTTTACCCAATGTCGATTGAGGTATCGGAACAAATGGTTAATGTATTTCGCAGCAGTTGTATAGCGGTCCCATTCTCGAATATAAAAGCTGAGGAGAGCTTCGTCAGCGTGGGTCTTCGATTGGGCAACGAGTTCCCGTAGGTATCCGTTGAGGTAAGTGATAAGGTTTGCGTAGAGATCTTCTCCAAGAAGGTGTGCTAATACACAGTCAGCAAAGACCAAAACTGTTTTGACTGAGGGGTAGGTACCTCCACGGTGGGCGCCTCCAATAACACCATGATTACTATTACTGACGGCCTTTTGTGACGTGCAGAAGTTGTGAACAGCTCTGTGTAATATTAGCATGTGAGGGATTACTGGCAGATCTGGATACTCACGTGTAGACTCCCATGTACTGCAGATCTTGTTAGCAAGAGGAAAGGGCAAAATAGAGAAGAAGTGCACTCACTGTGTTCATATCCATACCCTCCTGGAGGTTGCTCATGATCTTGGAGACGCCGGCCTCGAGGTACTTCCATCTACAAAGCGTCAGCTTCAGCATCCAAAGATTGTGCCTCCATGCTGGCGGAGGCAGAGAATCAAACCCACGTTGCATCAAGGTCCTCCCGGTTTGGCACTGGGGGCATCGCCGTTGGCGGTGTTCGTGTTGCGACAGACATGTCGAGGTTGGGAGGAAAGGTGGTGGCGTAGAGGGGTGAATGAGATTAGGATTTTATTCGCGGTAACGATGGGATCAGGGTCGTGGCCGGAGGATGTCGCAAGTGTGAGCTATTCACTGGGAGATGGCTAGACTTGGGGGAGCAAGAAGGGTCGGTGCCTTCAAGGCTGCTCAGCCGTGGGGTTAGGCAGGACGCGAACGAGTCGCGGAATAAAGATCTGGATGGTGAGAGAGTGACTGAGATCCAAGAGATCTTCTCCCGCCAGAGTAACGAAGGAGCTGTTGAATGTTTCTGCAAGCAAGGACGAGGTGTCTTGCCAAAACAGAACTGGATGGTGGTTGTACGAGGATGCCGTTTGGACGGTTTGAGGAAGTCGATATGGATTCGTGATTCAGGAAGCGTTCGACCAGCCTGCAGGGGTGCCTAAGGCGGCCATAAATTTGACAGGGGTGTTGACAGATTGGTCGAAAGGGGAACTGTGGAAAATAAAACTTGTTCCTTTTTCCTTCTTCAAGCTTGGTATTGGTATTCTCTTTGTGGAGGAAGAAAATGCGTTGTATTCGAGTCTGTACAATGGGAAGGTGCAGATGAAGCGAGAATCTTATGCCAATTCCCCTTTTCAGTCGATTTCAAACCGCCTTGCATCTCTGGGCCCTCCCCTGAGCTTACTGGTTCGCTATCAGTACCGCTCTGGAAAGTCTTCTTCTCAGTGTCTAAAAAGGTCTTGTTTCTTGACGAATAAGAGAAATGATTTTGAACATCTTCAACTTACCCTTTAAATTCTATTTTTCTAACTACCCAAAACAAGGTCTTTTCCACCATGACTTGAAACCTTTTGCTGATCACGTGATGTGAAAGTATTTCCTCCAAGGAATTTATCCACCATCCCTCTTTCTTTCCTTTCACCTGTGCAAATTCAGGGCTAGGGACCTACCTTCTATTGCATCCGCAATGCCATTTCTCAATCTCACACCGCTTGCCTCTCTCCGCGTCTCCACTCACCAAATACCCCGCCATAACCTCATCCCAAACACCTCCATTCAATCCAAGCCTCTCCTGATCTACCACTCCTGTCTTCCCTCCTCAGTCACAGCCTCAAGCATCGAGGCCCATCTCAAAGAAACCGGCGTGGTGGTCCCACAATGGCGATATACAATGTACAACGTTACCCATTTCCACAGCTCTACTCATGAAGTGCTCTGTATTTTCTCTGGCCATGCAAAATTATGTAGGTTGTGTTCCTTTCTGAACGTTTATAGCGTTTCCCCGTCCTCGATTACGGTTTTACGGATTTAGATTAATGCTCTCAGGTTTTGGCGGAGAATCCAACCCTTCAAAAGTTGAAACAGAGGTCCAAAAGGGAGATGTGATAATCATCCCAGCTGGAGTCGCTCATCGCCTTCTCAATGACTTCAACAGTGATTTTCAAATGGTGGGAAGCTATCCTAGAGGGAAGCACCCCGATATGTGTTGCGGGAAGAAGGAAGAAGAGGAGAAAGTCAAAGGCATTTCCGGATTGGAGTGGTTTGAGAGGGATCCTTTGTACGGCGATGACGGACCTTTGTTGAGAGAGTAGAGCACGACTTTCCGTTGAGATGGATGCAAAAAAGATGTACGTAAACGTAAATACATTATTTCATTAGTGAAATATGTCTCGATATGTCGCATATATATAGCTTGCACTCGTAGAAAATGCCCAAACCAACAACGCCTTGCTAGATATGATGTTATGTGCTCCTGTACCTAACTCATACATCCAAGACCGCATTTTATGCAAGGAAACTTAGTCACTTTCTTCTCTGCCACCCACGCGCTCAACAAGCCTAGCATCTTGTTAGCATACACTTTATCCATCTCAGTGGGGGCCATTTTCTTACCTGAATATGCTCACGGTAAATGTCAAGCTCCAGGCTACCAGTGCCACCATCAAAATTCCACACAAACCCCCCACTCTTCCACAAATAACATTATTTGTCCCATTGGAACCCTCCTTGCAGCTGCCATTATCATCCGTGAGAGCCGCAAACGCCAGTGCTAAATTAGCGGACTCGAATATTATAAAGAAAAGATCCAGCAATACGAGGCGAATCTTTGCCTTCGGAGACCGGAGACCGAGAGGCTTGCCGGTATATTCATCCCACGTTATGTAGAGAATATATGGGATGGCAACAATGTCTACCACGATAGCCATAGTCGTGGAGGGGTTTTGCGAGTAGAAGTATTTATTAGAAAGGTGGTGCACGGACGCGGAAAGACCGAGAGCTGCTACTGAAGTTATGAGGACAGTGACTCGAAATACCAATGGTACGAGTGGATGCATGAGGAGGTTGTGCTGTCCCTGTTAAACAAATTCGAGCATGGAGAGGGTAAAAGCCGTACCTGGACCTTCCGCATCATTGATTTTTGCTTCTTTTTGTTGTGGAGAAAACCTTTCTCGGGATCACCATTCCCCTCCAAATCACCCCTCCATGGCTTTTGATACCCAGGAGTCTGCTGTTGCAGGAAATTTGCGTCTACCACCTTCCCATCCTCCTCCTGTGCAGGCCCGTACATTGAGGACTTGATGTACATCCGCCAAGGAGAGGAAGTTGAGAGAGATTGCATAATTACTGGGTCGCCGTCCCTTGCGTGATCCCATTTTCGACCTTTCACTGGTTCTTTATGGCCACCAAAGAATCCCGTTTCTGGCTTCTTTTCTAGCCCTCCCTGAGAGACATCGTCATAAGTATCAACAAATCCATCCTGTGACATCCTCCGAGGTAGGTTTGAAGGAACAAATTGGTGCTGCGGCGGATGGACCCGAGAAGGGGCTAGGAGTCGGTCTGTGGGCTTGGAGTTGAGAATCTCTTCACCCTCCTCGTAGGAGTCTATCCATGCTATCGAGTTATTAGCAACTTGTCTTATTCCACCGCCTACGTCGAATATGTGCGCGAAATCCGTATGGGACATTGACAGCCAGCCTCCACTAACGTTCTGGTGGGAGAGTGCATGACATTTCATTCGAAAGCACGAGAGTAACTTACGTGGTAGTGTCCTAACATCTCTCTGAGAAGCACGATTTTCTGCGTGTGTGCTTGTTGAGCTCTGCGTATTCCGAGAAGGTGATGAGTGCGCCATCGGTCTAATCATAGATTTCCTCTTCCCTCTCATGGTAGCATCAGTCGATGAGGTACTCGAAGAGCCGGAGGGCTGCCTTTGAGTCCGTAAAGACTCATGTTGAAAGATCTGGTGTGTGTCTAGTTGTAGGCCGTGACCCGCGGTGGGAATGCTGTCTGAGGTCGCCATGAGTATCCCGAGAGCAGCTCGGACTTGGACGTGATTCGAGCTGGCGGAGGTCTAACAGACGATGCCCGAGCACTTGGGCACGTCGGAGTCTCCGTCAATGAGGTGCTGCAACACATTGCCCGTGCAGCAAGTGCTAGACAGCAGGCGTGCCAACAATAAAATGTCCCATGATTCGTGAAGGATAACGATTGACGTTGAGGCTCACGGGGTTCACGGAATGGGAATCGCTTGTCTTCAAGCCCCAGTGTAAATCGGAGTATTGACAGGGGTTCCACCAACAAAGCAACGTCATCGAATAGCTCGCTCATGGGTGTTTCGAACGAAATCAGTGGTGGATCTCTTCAACTCTAATTGTCCTTCTCAACAACAGACAACAGGCACAACCGCATGTCGACACCACACTCTCAGTCTCACCTTCCCGTCGAACGGGAATCACAGCCCTTGCGTGACGGGTCTCCGTGACCTGACGCAACGGCCAGGGGCGATGCGCCTAATCCTTCTCCCAGTGTCGACTCGTCGAACTTTAATTTACTGCCAGAGGCTCAACGTCACCACTACCGAGCAACAGTCATTTCTGGACAGGAGAACTGCATGGGCTGCCAAAACATGGGCGAGTTGGGAGAAGAAAGAGTCAGGATGGCAGAAGAAGGTGGTGGAATATGGCAACCAGGCCTTGAAGAGGATACCATATGAGGAATGGGGATTAAAGTCAATACCTCCCCTTTCAGCCCGTCGAAAGGAGGAGAAGCTCTCCGGCAAGGAGAAGGTTGAAGTCTCTTTCCCAACGACATTGATACCGGAAGCAGAAGTCTGGAGTGTCTTAACAAAGTTAGCTACCGAGAGACAGAGCCTGCACAAGAGGAGAATGATATATTCGTTTATTGGAATGCCTATATCTGCGCCTGTAGCAATCATACCTGTGTAAGGGTTCTTACTCAAACTCAAAGGTCGATATCTAACGTCACAACTAGCATTCCCAACCTTCCGTTCTTCTATCTGGTTTTCAGAGCATGGTCTCATTGGAGGGCATTGTCAGGCTCGAAGCACCTCGAGTTTCTCTTGGAAAATAGACTCATCACGACCAAACCTTCTAAGATTCTTGACGAGCTATATGCCACAGGGAAGCGACCCTTCGATGCTGGGCCCGTTTCAAGCACAGAAGAGTCTTCCGGCTCCGCGCAAGAGGAGAAAATGCTCCTTCACAAATCGGATGGCAAGCGAATTTCCGAGGCTCTCGGCATTCCTGAGCTAGACGTCGAACTCGATCGAGCGGTGTGGCAGGTAGAGAAGGCGCTGAAAGCTGAGAAGGAGCTTAGAGACGAGAGGCAGGAATTGGGGAAGGCCAGCGCCGATGCGAAAGAGCAAAAATCGGGAGAGAAAAAATAAGAGGCTCCTGATATTGTACCAAAATATAGAACTTCGGGGTGTACAATATGGGGAAAGGTTGGGATTAGATCGTAGACTCGACTCAACAATGCGGAGAAAGAAAATAACTGGCATGAAAACCCAATGAAGAGAGGTGCTTTGCTCTGAAAATCGCCATCGCTCAAGTCCAATAATTGCCAACACTCCTTCCATCCACGTCGCAAAGTTACTTGAAATTGGCACAATCAAAAATGACGAAAATTGACTCACCATCTGAATTCAAGCTTTTGATAAACAGGTACTAGCCTGGCCTCATCATATTAAGGAGAGTCGCTTCAGGGGCAAAACAGGGGTTTCGATAAGAGGCAACCTGGTAATAGCTTATCGCAGCTATAAGTCCAGACAATTTACACTGAACAGCTTGGAAGCGTCAGAGCTCTACCACAAATCACACCCCACGCTACTTTCCATCCCAACAATGCCGCCGACCCTGGAAGAGGACGACTATCACGATACCATCGTGACCAAGGGCAAATATAATTCCTCTTTTCATTGGTCGCGGCCGTCCTCTCCAGAAAGCATGAGCAACGAAACCGTGCTAGAACCGCAAGTCGTCGCAAGCCTCCTTGCGGAAATCAACACCCCTCAGCACCTAGAGTCTCCAGAGCCCCTTGATGAAGACGTCTCATCTTCAAATCCTCCTGCAGAACGCCCTGATTCACAGCTCGACCAAGGTTCCTCCCGTCTGCCACGACAACTGCATCGGCCGAACGTGACGACCATGGAGGAACGATTAATGATGATGCCAGAGAAGCGTCCGCTCCCCTGGAGGGATGGCGTTGAGCCAGGTGCAGACAATGAAACGGGTGGAGAGTCAAGGCGTAAACAAATTCGATTTGGATGTTTACTAGCCACGCGTGGAGACATACAAGAGGTTCCTTGCAACAGCTGTGCCAATGGGCGAGGGAAGTTCAAGGTCTGCGTCGCGTTAGATGGTTATTTCAAGGGAGCGTGTGCCAGTTGTCAGTTGAGTGGGCGGCCGAATCGGTGCAGTATCAAAAAGAACGATGGTAAGTCTTGATTTGAGTCCGCACGAGGTGCACAGCTAACTCGAGTCAAGGAGACGAAGCTCTCAATACGCCCGGCGGCGAAGGCTCGTCAAGAACTCACAGCCAACCACAGATATCTAGCGAAGGGCCTCAATCCAAACGCCGACGAGTAACAGATCCAATGCCTGAATGGGAGAGCGCACGACCTCAATGGGAGCAGGAATTGGGAGACCCGCAGGCAAGGCAACACATGAACGAGATAGTACAGCGGCCTTGGACGACCGTTAATTTTCCAGCAACGATACCAATCCCAGCTTCGCAGGCGATGAACGACATGAACAGTCCTGGTACGGTTCCACCAAGACCTATTGAACAACGCTGGGCAACAGTAAATCAACCAACGCCGTTACCAGGCCCCCAAACCTATGAGAGAGCAGCCAGCACGGCGGGCAGTTTCCGGAATCTAGAGCAGGCCAAGCGGGAGGAGACAGTCATTAATGAGGAAGGCTCAACAGCTCTGATCGATACATTACCCAAAAGTAAACAGAGACAGGTTTATGGGTAAGGAATATATCCACTCCAAAAAAAAAAAACAATTGCCGTACTGACTTCTTCACAGGCTGGTGTCGGGATTGCAAGGGGGCATTGAGCATTTACAACGAGAACTGGATTCTCTAAAAAGGGCATTGGGCATTGATGAAGAAGGTTAATGGGAAGGTGGACGCCAAATAATCCTAATTTGTAGTTCTAGAACAGACTCTACCTGTCAATGTTCTCCTAATAATTATAATTAAAATAAAATATAATTTCCAGGACACGCCCAGCCTCTTGATAAAGCACGGCGATAAGATCTCGCCAGTCAGTGCGCACAAGCTCCCGCTCGTTTCAACAACATCACCTCTCCTTAAGAATGCCTCCCAACGTGGCAGAGCTCGACATTGGCCCTCAAAATCCACCGTACGAGTTCAAACTCGACGAGCAAAACCGCGAAACAAATGAGCAGATCTCCGCGACCCAAGATGTGCGCGAACAGGAACGATCGTCCCCGAGACCTGGATCGATTCACATCCCGTTTCTAGACCGCCTACGAGCACTACCTGAAGTACGAGAAATCCCGTGGCGACCAGGGCAGGAGCTACCTCCTGACAGATCAATTGATAGCCCGCGGGTGCAGCAGCGAGGTGCGATTCTTCTTAGCACGCGAGGCGCTGTCGCTCCTATCCCATGCGAACACTGTGCTGCTGGTTATGGTCGTTTTTCAAGTTGTATTACATTGGACCAGTGGTTTCAGGGTGCTTGCTCCGGGTGCATCTTTACCTCGAAAGGCAACAAATGTAGTCTCAGGGCCCTCGTCTCAGGCAAGTCGTTGTAAGTCTTTCTGGCAACAGTTTGCTGATAGGCAAATAAAAAGGAACGGCGGACGGGAGAGCCCTGCGATACCATACAGATAATCCAGCCAAGCTGCAGTCCTACATACGCAACGCAGCAGAGAACCCAAAACCTCCGAAGAAACGCAAAAGACGGTCTGCCCCGTCCCAGATGCAGTCCGCGGCTGAACCTTCCCACACGAGCTCATTCTCCCATGTGGCTTCGCCGCAAGCGATCTCCTCAAGTACAGATCTGGATACGTTGTTGCAAGCCGAAATTGCTCGCGAGCAGTCATCCGGGCAGCACGATGTCATACATACGGAAAAGAAGCAGTATAAGCCGCATAACCCGTCTCAGCCCAATGTTGCAAAGGTCCGTGGACCTATCATAGGCGCTGCCCCCAGTCCTTATTCCAACGAAGCTCGAAAGTTCATTCTAGATGAATCAAGTCCCCGAGATCCGGCTACTATACCGACTGAACGGTCAGTGTTGCCCTGGTCTGCGCAGCAAGCCCTTTCCGAAGAGAAGAAGTCTGTTACTTCTGGGTCTACTACCCTACCATACCTCTCTGGATATAGCAAGACCACCTCAACGCCCATGATTGATACTCTACCCAAGGCAAAGCAGCGTCAAATCTTCAGTGTTATAAGTGGACTGCAAGGGGGAATTGATCACCTCCAGAAGCAGTTGGATGCTCTCAAAGCGTTGCTGGGAATTGACGATGAGGATGAGACTGAGCCGCGCTGATTTCTAAGTCGGGAATTCTGTTGCTTGGCTTGTGTTACTCCAAAACCGATACGCGTGCGAAGGCAGTGGTAAGAATTTAGAGGCGGCAGGCTCCATTACCAGTTCCTAATGAAGCAGCTGATGAATCTCTCAATAATGCTGTGTCTAGCCTTGTATGGGAGATCACGCCGTGGGGGATGGCATTATTGCACCAACATTTTCGTTCCTCTCAAGCTCTGTTAGACCTTGCCACAAAGTTCGTCACCAATCAAATCTGAAGTGGCCATAGCTTTCACGCTCTGCGGAGGGCGTTGCCGGGCTGTGCGATGGGTTCATCCGACTTCCTAGCGAATAGATCCTTAATGTTATTTATTGCAACCTTGACCAAGGGTTCGTTGCCAACCGGGAAAACTGCCACGTTTGAGAAATCCGATCATCAGATGAAGTGTGTCTCACGATCTGGCATGTTTTGTCTGATCAGATGAAAGCAATTTCCTTGGCCCACATTTTCGGTTCAACTTTTCGGATTATTCAGCATGCCCAAGAAACTGTAAAGATCAATGGAGAAGCTCATGGGACGACGTGAGGCTCAAGAGGAGGCCACGATCTGAGGTTGTCCGTTATTAACTCAACGATGCCATTCTCGGAATCGCGCGTGCATGGGAGACGCCACTATCCGGTCCGAACCAAACGGCGTCTTTCACCACCACTTGTCAAAAAGTCTCAAAGTCCACAATCTTTGGAGCTCTTGGGAGAATCGCAGACTTTGAGAGTCTGCGGTTACAGATGGTAGCGTTTCCGACACAAGTTGATATCGCGTCGTTGGTGTCGCCAAATGAGACTCGGAACGGAAGAACCTGCTCGGAAGCTGTTCAATCGTCATCTTGGCAGTCAGGGATCTCGAGCATGGAGATTTGTTCCAAAGGCGGTTTCGTCATATCGTGCAAGGGGCCCCGGGACGTGCATGCTTCTCAGAAGCATGGCAATCTACGGGGTAGCACGGACTCGAATGCCATAGATGTGATTGGCTCACTCAACAACATGAACAAACCGACATGCCACCAATGCAACCAAGGACGAGATTTGTTCCTCGACTTGGACACCTTCGAAAGATAGTCGATAACGCTACCATCAGGTACGGGCCATCAAAATAGCTTTGTTGCTCGGGTTCCCTGATGGAGTGTTTTTCTTTGCTCCATCATCGTCGTCAACATCCCAATCGCTCTTAACTGTCCACGCTCGCTGCAGCTCGTGGAGATAAGCAAATCTTGGGATTTGAAGTTTGTTTCTTTCTCATCGCCAATCCCAGCCGGCTTCACTTGTCCAAGTTTATTCAAGTTTTGTCGAGGCTTACTTACAGTTGTTATTCCTCACTGCGGTGGGATCATTTGTTTTCGCCAGTTTTCAAACAAGAACCAAAACCACCGCTCCAAACCAGCCGAAGGGGAAAATATTGTTGAGAATGATGGAAGTCATGTTGGCTCTAGCTAGGTGAATTGTGCTTCTACATCGCAGGCTTCACAATCATACCTCCCTTACAGCAGGCCTCTCCCTCTGTTGATCGGGCGAGGGAGGAAGAGACTGGGGATGTTGACCAAGCCGGAAGAGTAGAATCGAGTCTAGGAGCTGAGAGAAACACTGCAGAACTACGATCGAAGGCCGCAACCCCAACTGGACCGTGCGATAGCTCAGATTCGTCGATAAAGAAGTGTTCGAGAACCACAGCGCATCGTCAGCACCAGCTCTAAGCAGACGGACATCCTACGTTCCAGCCGTGCCATCCCCCTTGAACCCCGCCTCGCCTCACTCTTCCATTGGCTATAGCGATGAGAAAACAAACATCGAAAAGGAAGAAGAGATCTCTCCAGTAGAGCCATCTTCCTCGAACGAGGTACCACGAAGTTCAGCACTGGAAATCTGTCATCAATGGCCGGAAGCGTAAGGAAAAGTAGAATACCGAGCCCAGCGCAGCAGGTTCTGAGACCGAAAACAGCGACTGCGATTTTATCACAAGGAGCTCGGCCAGAAACACCAAGATGTTTGAAGGATTAAGGGAGGGACTGTTCCCGGTATCCGGTACCACGGTGCTCGCAATTAAGTCCACCGGGAGAAAAAGTTCGGCCTATTGAAGGAGCTTCTCTTCGAACAATAACGAAAAATCCGTTTAGCGACTCACAAGCCGATCTTGAGAAATGGGGCTACCCAGACGACAGTCCAGGGTCTTTCGATCCTTACTACGGAGGCGAGAAGGGATTCATTCTTTACACCGGCGAAATCGAGCCTGACGATAAATATCATCTGCCAGCGGACGGCGACGACGAAGTTTATAAAGCAAAATCGTCGGATCATTTCCAACGGAAGTCCATAGGTTCCTCCATTTGTAGCATATTCTTGAGCACGGGGCTTCTCTGTGTTTCATTATCCTGCCTGTCTTGACTTTTTCAACGGATACGTTCTTAGCTGTGGCATTGTGAACAATAGGACAGGCCGGACGGTCCAGTGTAGATTCACGTGAAGAACCAAAGCTATGCCCTACTGAGAAATGTTCGCACGGGGCTGATTGGTCCCGATACAGCCACCAGCGCAAAGACAATGAAGAGTACATTCGATGGATCAACTTTGAATCTGAGGTTTAGTAATGAGTTCAATAAGGATAATCGCACATTTTACCCAGGAGATAACACGTTTTGGACGGGAGCGAATATCTGGTACGGAGCTACGCAAGACATGGAATGGTATGACCCAGATACCATCACAACCGGGGGTGGAACTCTCCAATTGAGCATGGACTCTTTCTACAATCACAATATACCATTTCGATCGGGGATGCTGAATAGTTGGAATCGACTTTGCTTCAAGGGAGGAGCTTTTGAAGTTTCCGTATCTCTGGCAGGCCCTGCTGGCGTTCCCGGTTTATGGCCAGATGTTTGGACGATGGGAAATCCTGGGCGACCAGGTTACAAAGCCACTACTGAGGGCGTTTGGCCTTACACATACAACTCATATGACGTAGGCATAACGCCCAATGAGTCCGTTCCAGATGGCCTCTCCTATTTGCCTGGCTCAAAGCTCTCTTCCTGCTCTTGCAAAGGGGAAGATCATACAAATCCAGGTACGGGGAGAGAATCCCCGAGACTGACAACCTCTAGCCATCAGTCGATCCTACCAACAGAATCGGAATCATCACACAACGTTTCCAGGTGGCACCATTCGACGTCTTTTGGTGGCAAAACTCGAATTTCTTAGCCATTCCAAACTACGACACGTCCCAAATGAACGGTTACACCTTTCAGAGCATATTATAAGCCTTTATTTGAACACATTTACGCCTTTTAATCTCAAGAGCCCAACATATAGCATATTAATGAAGTAGTTCTACTTGAGGAATAAGCCAAGTGGACTCGCGCAACCCCATTGCCGTTTCCAGAATACCGCTGTGGAATCATAGCAGCTCCACGGAACCGACGCTGTCTCGAACATGCATCTCCCACGCAATATTGTTATAAACTTGACTAAGGCGCTCTTATTCCAGAGAATAAATGCACCTTAATATTTCGTGCTCAAGAAAGGAAAGAGCCTGTCACGTGCTGCGCACAGGCATATATATAGCTTCTTCACCGCCCTTAGGGCACCATCATTCTTACATATTTACACAATACACACCACATTTCCACTTCCACAGCTTGTCCAGGCCGTGACAGAGCCTACGTGTAGGAAGTAGAATCCGTCAGCGTTAGGTTCTGGCGGAAAGAGAGTTTTCTAGGCTCGGTACTAAGAAATAAACTTACCCGAATAGTCCTCGTAACGTCACACATGAATCTCTCAGTCCGAGGCCAAAAGCAGCTAATGCCTTTTAAAGAGTAGATCTGAAACCTGATCTGGCCTCATTTTCGTGAATCCAGCCATATTTCCTGGTCACTGGGGCGGACGACCTGCCCCTCCTAGACTAGGTTAGGTCGAGGCGTAAAGATTGTTCAAGACGAATCTTCATGGTGAGTGATATGCTTTTCGATAGCGCGACATCTGTTGTCCACACCTTCGCGTATTAGGTCCAACATCCAGAAAGAACAAGACATGGCTTCCCGCTTCCCCATGAATACAGACGTCAATATCGAAAGAGCTTCTTCAAGGACTTGGACGCCCTCAGCCATAGCAATCAATCGACTCGCTGCAATCTCTTTCTTGAAGATGTTGGTGCTTGGCTTAACTTGAGCAGATAACGAGTCCAGATGAGTTCCCCACTCGGATACGATATCCGTGGATAAGAGATACTGGAACGGTCGCAATTGTTGCCACTGAGTTAACTTTTTGTTTTGCGATTTTGATGTTTCGCAGATGCGCTTATCGAGTTCGTAACATGCTTGTAATATATGCCACAAGGAGAACGCTGCCACCGAGTGTGCCACGAAGAAGAGGCCAAGCTCTAAAGTTTCCGGGTCTTCTTTCAGTTGAAGCATTCTATCGTGTACATTTTGCGTATCTGGATCGAATTCATTTCTCCAATCGGTAAGTCGGCATTGCCATTCCGAGGAAAAGATGTCCCCGGCGTCATCTCTGTACTGATTTTCCTCGTACCAATCAAAAACAGCTCTCTGATCGGACGCAAGGCTAGATTTGACCGTACGAGCATCGTGTGTGCGTGAGCGTCGTGGTGTTGACCGTGGGTTCTTGGAAGGTTTCGTTGGGCTGGACTTTCGGACACGGGATGCAGTACATGCCATTGTGAATTGGTCTGTAATGAAAACGAGTAAAAACTTGGTCTGGAAGAGTTCCGTCAATTGGAATGTAAAGATGCTATCAAATTATTATTATCCTTGGATGGGGTCTTATATCCTTCCGCGAGTCAGAGCCTGATCCAAGCGGCATGAGCAAGAGGGGTCACTCGATGGCGATCCTCTGAGGCTCGGGGAGAAGCCCGCACTTCGGTGAACCGGTGAGCGAATTCAGCTCTGCAAGGCCGGCGAAGGTTGGCGTGACGCCTTAATATGCTGGTGTTGGCTTACCGGGCATGCCACACCAGCCTGTGCATACAGGGTTCCGCCCTTTCCACCATCTGATGGAATCTGCCTATTTGGGGTTAGATTCGTCTCGCCCTTCGCGACCAAAAATAACGGAAGGGATATTTGGTGTTTTACCTGTCTTTGCGTTTGGGATGATACAGCCTGATCCCGTTCCACAACTTGTTCATTTTGCGCCCGCGCCCTCCCTGCGCAATCAACACCGCCTACCCAATAGCTCCACGTGGCTGTGTGATGATTGACTTCTTCGAGACAGAACGACACGCCTTCTTGACGTGGCCAGAAATGTGTGCGCAGAGTGCGTTCGGCAGGCGTTTTGCTCTGGTCACTTACAGGCGAAATCGCTGCAAGTTCGACGATTAGGAATGCGCCAGGTAGTATTTTTGAGCGGGTAGTTTTCATTGACTCGTACCAATTGACACTCGAAAAGTATGTGATCGAGTTTCATCCAGGTTTGAGAAACGCTCTGTCCTGGGCCTCAAGCCACGGGAACATACCCGAATTGGAATTATACAATGTTATGTCCTTCAGATCTAATACCTACTTGATAACAAACTGTTCTGCATGTCTGTAGGGGCGCTTCCACTTCCTGTCCGCAACTGCTTCACCATCCATCATACCATAAATGAAACATTCGCCGATCATATGGAAGTAATATTTCTTCCCATTGTCTTCTTCGTTGTCCTCCTCTTCCTCCTCCTCCTCCTCCTCTTCTTGCTGACGAAGAACCACCGGCACGCTGCAACCGAAGAAAACGCAAACTATGTCCCCTTTCTTAGTCTCCGGTGGTAGAAGGCCAAATGTCGTTTTTTCGTTCTCGAGCTCTATACTCACAATTCTCCTTCCCCAGACCACATCCTTAACGCGTGCCAAGAATAGTTTCGCTATGCTTGATGCATTTTTCAGATCGATCACATCGTCCGGTCTGAGATCCCCATTTGAATTCACGTTATAAAGACATTCCAGACATGCTCGAGGATACCAACTCGGTGGATTTGACCCATCAGGGCCACGGTCAGCAACGATTGTGCGCCAAAAGCGCTCAGGTACACGTGGAATCCCTTTTGCCCACTCGTGATGATCCTCCCACCATCTAATGTCAAATCCGGCCAGGTTTAATGAATTGTTGAATAGCATTCCCTGCGCTGCACGTGGCGTTGTTTTCTTGACTTTGCCGATGCGGAGGCCTCTGACGAATAGAGTTCCATTGTACGTCTTCTTTCGATCCCGATTAGGGGTTTTCGAGGAGTAAGCCATTCTTCCAAAAGAAAATTCCGGTCGGAGACTCAACGTTGCGTTGTAATTCCTCTGACTGCTGCGAAATGAAGTCCCAGCAAAGCTATCGCCGTTAGACCGGCCTCGTGGTCTCTGTGTAGGTAGGCCAAATGGTGACTTGTGGATTAAGGGAATCCACGTTGGCAGCCTTTCCTCAGTGACCTCGGAATCGGAGTTGGCTTCAGAGAGAAGCGCTTTCCGCCCGTCACTTTCCTCGGACCGGGCCCAGTGGCGCAATAGTATATCCAGTGAGCGCGAGCTGCCGATGCAATAGTCAATGAAGTCTGTATAGACGTCAAGTAAACAGTTCTGATAGGCTGGTAAGAGTCTCTTGTCCAGTTGCAGGTTTTTCGCATTTACGTTCGTCTCAGTGGAAAGCTTATGGGTATCTTTGGCCAGTGATAGGACGGCATATATGGTATCTCTGGGATTTGTCGCTTCAAAGGCCAGTAGGTTGGAGACAAGGCACTCCAAGGTCAACATGCGTTGCTGTATATCCCCATTCTCCGTTCGTCGAAAGAGATTGTTGATGAAGTCCACAAGTGCATTAGCTCCCAAGTTCGTCACGCCGTTGACGAGCCCTAACTCTGCAGTAGAGGATGCTTGGTCGGCGATCATCTTTGATAATACCGCGCCGATGCGATCCTGGCTTTTGATAAAAATCGCGATGGCGTCCGCAAAGTCTGACCAAGGCATCGTTTGGTTCCCATACACCACTTCCGCTGTCCGAGCAAGTGCGAGCTCCTGGATAATCCAGCGGCGACTGAACCATTTGTTGCACATCAGTTGAACCACCACTTGTTTGGCTGCTTCCATTACTGCGGTATTCTCCTTCCCAAGATCGTCCAGTAGCTTGTCCAGCTCTCCGAGGATCCTTCGTAAAAAGTTGAAACAGTCCTTCGGAGAGCCCTCCTTTGCAGCAGTACTACCATCACCGAGCCAGATCCTCACTTTTTCAGCTTGGATATAGAGCTCGTGCATCTGTTTGACCTGTGCCGATCGTTCGTGCGGATCGTCTTGGTCGATACACAGAGCATCTATCCACATAATTGTTTCCTTGTCCTTCCTCCTAAACCTTTTCAAAGCTACGAAGAGATTCGATCTGACGTATTTCTCTCCGCTCGAACACCAGTCCTTATGCTTTCGAAATTTCATGGCAAGACGCTTTTCTAGGGACGGCTCCTTCATGCGCTTCTTCGAAGTGATGTAGTTTGTAATAGTGATCGGGTGTATTGGTTGGCCTTCACCCCAGTTGTATGACAGCGCGATATACACATACTTTTCAGTGTCAGACGGGTCCGATTTGGGCAATGCGGCGGGAACTAGTTTGCATCGAATCTCATCGTCGCCTTTGCCGGGCTCAATAATCAAAACCCGTATTTCCTGGCCATTTTTCTCTTCCAGCGGAGGATAGACGAACGTATCTGGCCTTTTACCTAGATATTTGAGCACAGAGATTGTTGCTTGCTGGAGCTGTTTCTTTGCTTGCACAGGGTGAGAAGTGCCTTCGTCCAGGCGGGGTTTCTTCCTTGCCTCTGGAGATTGATTTCTGTTCCTCTTGCGTCTTCTCCCAGGGTTATTGTTCGAAGCAAGGTCTTCCGCGGACATCGTGGCAGTGGGGACATTGGGCTTGCGTGTGATGTGGAAGACAGGAAGAGCTGCAATTAAAGAATGCCCTGAAGAACTCGAAATCGAATCGAGACTAGTTGGTGGCTCATACCCCCGCTGGGCTAATGTGCAGTGCCCAGCTCACTGTCCGCCATACTCAACCTTCATAGGTTCGATCTCTTCCCACCGGGCCACCCCCTGATCTTCAGGCGGGAAACCCTTTGGAAGAGCCGCAAGACTTTTCTGAATCAACGAAGAGCTTGACTACAGTACCATCCGGCAATTTGGAGCCAAGCTGCGAGTCAATTTCGTTCGCCATCCTTGGATGTCTTCTGGAGACTCGAGCGTAATGATTGCACATTCAGAGGTACGAGAAATCTCGATTGCGCAAAAGGATGAACCTTGGGTACCTGCGTACAATCTTTGACCGCCTTCAGCCTCCACCGACTGCGGATGTCAATGGAACGAGCTTTGCATAGCAGCCGCCGGGGCGCATCCACGCCAGGGGTCAAAGCTGCACCAGGACACTTGCCACTTCGCAACAACTTCAGGCTAAAACATCTCAACTCCAATGAGATCTTCAGTAGGTGACAATTGTTTTTCAATTCGGCGGCCCATCCCGTGTTGCGAGCTGCAGTGCCCCAAAACGGGCGGACGGGCGGGCACGTTTTCGAGGCGGAAAATCCGATATACCCTGCTGTGTTATCAGTAAATCTAACATACCCTCTGTACCTGCCGCATTAAGCTAGCCAATTAGTCAATGGGAATTATAAAGCCAGTAATGTCCTTATTAATGTCGCTATTAATGTCGCTATCGTTGTTACTGTTGCCCCTTAAATTACCCTGAATACCCTTAATGCTGCCACTTTTTAGCGAGGGTATCGCACTTTTAGACTTATATACTTCCATATATTACTTATTTAATTCATTTTCAAAATTTAAATATACTTCTAGTGAGGTTTTTATTAAAGTTCTATAGATTTTGAGAATTGGGAATAGAGAGATCGCGGCCATAAGTATTGCCCGGTAGCGAGGGAAGCACTGTAAATAGGGCCATGCATGCTTTCCGGGGCCAAAATATAGCATACAAGCCCTATAAACATTGCTAAATCTACTCTTCCTACAGGCTATAGAGCCTGTAAGGTTTGTCTCATTAATTAATTGGCCAGCTTAATACGGCAGGTAGAGAAGGTATATCAGATTTACTGACAACACAGCAGGATATCAGATTTTCCGCCCGCTTTCGAGCACTGGCCCGGCCCGCCTTTCTCCCACAAAACCAATGTCAAATGACGCCACGCGGAGCAACCCGCTGCACGATTGTCAACTGCAAGGCATTTATTTTTTGGTCTTAGCCTAACTACATGCGTACACACTAAAGGCACTCATCCTCTCTTTCTCTGGTGCGGGTCGGAGAGAGCTGACCTTGAGTGTGACTATCTACTGTCCAATAGCATTGACAAGGCTTCTCACCGGCCCTCTAGGGATGCGGAAGCCTTGGCTTGTTGCCTATCATCGGGGCCACCATAAAACGATCCCGATGCTCGATTCGCGCAGTTAAGGATGCCTACGGCTGAGCTTGATTCGGTCACCGGTTGATTCTCTGGGGATACTCGAACTCAGCAGCGCCTACTGCCACACTTCTGGTGGTGGCTTGGAGTGTTGATGATCATCCAATCAACATAAGTGCAATCAGGCTCACGATTGAGTTTGGGTTTCGAGCATGTGACAACAGACATACGTCTTTTGGTAATGATTGCTAACTGGTTTGCGAAAAGCATTTCGCCCTGGAGCCTGCTGATTCATCCCAACGTTGGCTGCGTCATCTACTGCAACGTGTGGCAACTCCATAGACTCTTTCTCGGGTAACCTCAAAAGCAGAAAATGATGAAACGTAAAGATCCCTTGAGAGCCCCAATTACCGCGTTTCAAGAACAGCTGTGAACTGACAAACGTCACATCTCATGTGAGTACATGATGCCAATATTACTGCTCCCACATAGCTTAGTGGAGCAGGTAATAGTTCTATCATCACATAGCAATCGAGCATATTTCTGTTCTGTGTGTACTACGTCTTCTTACACCAAATCTACCACCTCCGGCGCTGCGTAGGCGGTAGTGCTTCACACCGTACAAAGGTTCTACGAGAAATACCTTACCTTATATTCTGACTGATGCAGCAAGGAGATGCCTACAATAACCACCACCCAAACCGACTTTACCAGCGATGATATTCTAAAGATGTGGTTGCAGCACGATGGGGGACCATTCACAAAGCTCGTTTTGAGTCCAGGTATTCCCGTTCACGTCGAGGGGCAGATTCAGTTCGATCGAATTATATACGAAGATGTGGATCCGCCCATGGAATTTGAATACATAGGGGAGGAGAGTCATGTGTTCAACAATGCTGATATGGAAGTGGATGTTGATGAAACTTTAACGTTCATAAAAGTCAAGGTCACTGCACAGGGGGGCGTCACCACGCTACCATTCCACAAGAAAGGTTGAAAGTACGAGGCGCCGGAGAGCTTCGTATGAGCTAGGGGCAGATATTCCTCGTATTCCTCGAAAGACCTTTTGAATATCAATAGGTCTTTTGGGAATGCTGCATACGTTCATGAAAATTTAGTTCATGTAACTAGATGGTAAAGTTCCTAGCTGATAAATCAAGATCTAAGAGGATATTTTTTCTCTCTGCCACGACCCCTTTCTAACCGTGCTATTCGTGCGAATGACCATTCCATTATAGCACAGATTAACCATTCGTTTTATACTAATGGTTTTCCTATCAAATCGTGATCCTTCGGGTATATGTTTGTGTTCCAATATTTGTGTCAAATTATTGTAAGATTACATTAAATAATTTGTGCATGTACAGCTACGGTGGTGACGGCACTTAAATGCGATTATCTCCAGACGAGTGATGAGTACGGGTGTATTTAGGAAAGTGCTAGTGGAAGATGCTAATGGAAGACGTTACAATATCGAGGAATACTTTGGATCCCCAATAAATATATATAATACAGCCTGACCTGAAACAGATCCGCTCGACGAAACTTGAACAAGGAATGCAACAGAGCTGAGGAATTGTACGGGGCATATTCCTTCAATTATTACCTACCAACTCTGAACTAGAAGGTGAATGAGGGTATTCGGTGTTTGGTCCCGACCTGGAGTGCCTTGGCCACATTAAGTGCAAGACTCACGTTATCTAGATGCATATTAATCCCTCAGCTTCGAGTTGTGAGGCGCTGCAGTGGCCGTCTTGATACTTGTGGGTCCAAGCGGTACTATTATTAGGAGGTGAAAGCCGATGAAAGGCCTGATTTGAGACACAACCTTGCTAAACAACCCGTGTGTCGCGTCAGCTCCTCAGGGGGGGACAGCAGCTGACCTGGGCCTTGTACATGTATCGGTAGGGGTGAGAAGTAGAGAAGTGGAGAATGAAGAAAGGTCCAGGAAGGGGCGCAATCCGACACCTTAAGGCAGACTGGGTGCTCCTTGCACGGGGGTGCCAACAGCATAAAAGGTAGCGAATTTCCTGTTGATACTTTGCAGTGCTCCGTTTGTCCTCCTCATCTTCCTTCCCTTCTTCTTCCTTATTCACCGTCTCCATTGCGAGTTCAATCAACAGCATGGCTTTACCCGCCAAGCGCGAAACGAGCACCTTTACCGGGGGTCCTCCGCTGGAATCCTTTGTCAGGGTGAGTAATTTGTGAGACCCAAATCAAGCGTTTGAGGTGACTTAATAGGATTTTGCCATGGCAACAAACGCAACGGCAGACACAGGCGGTCCATACCAGCAAGCTATCTCAGGCACCATACTGCTCAATAACCAATGGTGTAATGGCACGCAATACCAGAAATACGCATTTGAATAAATCTCCGGCACGACCAGAGGCAAATTCGCCGGTTCGTTGGTGAAGATCCCTCCTTCATCATGGACGGTGGAGCAACTGGCCCCAACGGCAATGTGGGAGTCAGGAAAGTCTCCCAAGAGCCAATGTCTATGGTATTCAATCTTAGTATCAGTGGTGCCTGGGGTGAGATTCTCATGGCCGATTTGGTGTTGCCGACTGTGATGCATATTGAATATGTGCGGCTTTACCAGAAGCCGGGACATGAGAACATTGCTTGTGATCTGCCTGGTTATCCGACGACGGATTATATCAAGAATCACCCTGTGGCGTATAATAATCCGAATTTGACTGTGAGTTTGTGCTTCCTCTGGTTGCAGGAACAAGAACTGACTTTGCAGTTGGGGCTCAGCCGGATTATATTGGCCGAAAAACAAGTTGACGGGTTGTTGAAGCGTATTCCAAGTGGAAAGCAGCTCCTTAAAAAGGCTGACTTCATGACATATATTGACATCTAGATATATATTCTGCGTATTAGATTTGGAACCTGACGTTCGATGAAGTTTATCAAATAGAGTTAAGTCAGTAAGGATTGACGGGTTAAGGCTGCTACGAACTCGGTGTTTGGGCACGGAACACCACAGTAATTGGCTGTTCAGATGTGTGGAGGATGTATAATTTGCATATATAGGACGAGTGTTCATATGGCAGATGAGTTTTTAAATGAAGATATTTCTGACTCTCTCATCCACCCTTGATATCTTGATTACCCATCCCGACTTTCAACACCTCGAGTGAATCTGCTCTGGTTTTATTGCACATCGCACTCAATGTACGAAAGTTTCTGGTACATTGAGCTTGAGGTTCTCCTTCTAGAGGTGGGAGGTGAATTTCTCCTCTCAAATTGTTGCACATCGCCCAATGTTCGAGGCTTTCCTAGTACAATGAGATTGTCCTCCACGGAAGGAAATAATGAATCTCCAAAGTCTACTTCGTCAGAACCTCGTTGGGAAATTGGAAATACGGGATCGGGCGGGAAGGAGGTGTCGCCTTAAGAATTGACTCCAGAGGATTTATTGCCTGTCCTATTTCGTCCAATGGGACAGATGGGTCTCACCCAAGCTCAAATCTCTTCTGACCACAAGTACCACCGATCGCAAGTCTCATCTGATCTTGTTTTTTTAGTCCGGAGTGAATATCTCTAGCTGAAATCCGTCTCAAGGATTTGTAGCCTACCGCCCAAATTTCCAAAGTTCTCTCGAACAATGAGAGTCTCTCTTGGCAAGTTCAGAGAGAACATCTCCCCACAACGCTATCTCGTTGCACATCGCACCCAATTTCCAAAACATTTTGGTACATTTAGAATATCCTCGCATTGGATAATGGCTCCCAGAGATCGAAATTTTGTTGCATTTCGCACCCACCGTCCGAAACGATGCAGAAGCCATAACCTTGCGTCTGTGTGATACCTCACCAGTGAAGCTCTTTGAAATCAAAGATTTCGTTGCACATCGCAGCCGTTGTCCGAAGCTATGCAGTAAAGCCATCAACTTGCTCCTTGTGATCACTCACGATTTTGTGGGATATTGTTCTCCATGTCCGAAGCTGTGCAGTAAACCATGACCTTGTTTTTTGGGCTCGTTCACGTGATCCCTCTTCAAACCCCAAGATAATGCCCTGAGCTGTTAGGGAGAATCCCGTCGTACTGGGAGGGACTACGAGGTCTCTTCTGTTTGTGCAATACAATTTCCGCAGCCGTTAGTCGGGTTGGACATCATCTAGACTGAAAGAACTTCAATGTTCCAACATCTGTGGGACATGTGAAGGAAGAAGACTTCGAATGTTGCATAATGCGAGGAAACATTTAGAGAAAAGAGGATCTGAAATGTCCAAATTGGCATAGGAGATTGGAAAATGAATAGTCCTCATTGCGTGCAGCATCTCCTGGACCAACCCAAGCCCGTCGAATAAACATTAACGCAGCCATTCGAGGATGACAGTATCGAGTGTAAAGACAGCCCGAATGAGAAGCCAATATACATACTTGGCAACTATCGACTTCTAAGTCGTGAGGCATGATTTCCTTCTTTGGGTATGGTATCCCAGACTTCTGGGACGCATCAGGAGATAATACTGGAACGAAGTCGGTCAAGCCGACTGAAGACAGGGCACGTTTCTCCACAAGCCTGAAATTGCACCACTCAGAGCGATGGTCACAAAGCCTATCGCCGCGCCATTCTCTCCCCTGCCGCAATCATACGCCTATCTCCACATTCACAGCCCCTCAAGTCAGTGACACAGATCACACCGCAACGCCATTCTCGAAACTGCAACACACACGAGCAAAGAATGACAAAAAGTCTCTGTTGTTGTTCCAGCACCGCTCTCTGCCAACCCTAGCCAAGAGAAACGTGAGCTGGTATGTGCGCTGAAAACCCTCAGGGCTGGCCTCTCTCGGACGGGAATATCCCATCACGTGATGCATTTGCAGCCGGTACTCGGACACAATGCAGTGTGGCTTCCAGAACAGAGTAGCAAAGCATTGCAAAATTCGCTAGTATCAAGCTGGGCCTTAAACTGAAGGGAGTCTGGATAGCGTTGTCTTCGGGCTATAATTCCAAATCCACGGAGACATATATCAATACCCAGCTCGTTGCAAACTTGACTTGTGGAACCGGGTGCAGCACACCCAGATCACCCAGATCACTCAGATCTAGACCTCAGGATCTGGTTTGTCAATCGATCATCGCCTGCTTGCGCTTATCTTGGCTGGCCACAGAACAAGCCTCGCCAGGTCTGAACATGCCTGCAAATGCGGTGGCCCACTGCCCCGCGTGGGATCGACCCCTGCAGAGATGTCGGCGGGCTCGACTTTCTACTCGGCCATTTCTGGTGGCTTGCAACGACGCCCTCCTTCGCTCTTGCACTAGATGCTGCTCTTATCTACTTCCTCTCCCCACACTTCGCAAGCTGAATTGCCTCTGCCAACCTAGACATACACCTATCCTCACGGATCTATATATCTCTTCCTCCCATCTCCGTTTCTGGGGCATTGGCGGATCATTGGAGCGCACAGCCCGGAGCTTCCGAACGAGGCGAATTGAATGCACGAATTGGATCCCGGCCTCCCCTCGAGTCCGAGAACTTGACACAAAGCAGGTGATTCAAGCAGCATATGACTGTTCCGACGGCGTCTGGGAGACATAATGCCATCGCTGCAAAGACGGAAATACAACCATGGCGGACGATAAAAAGGGAGAAGACAACGGCCGCAGTCTCAGCGGTGGCCTGTCCTTGACCAGGACCGAGGTCAGCACCTTGGACAGAGAGGAGGGGATTCGGAGGATTGGGACGCTGAAGCTCAGAGGGAAGACCGATGATCTGCCTCAGTAAGTCCTGAAGATACGTCCGAGGGGCTGGCAGTCGAATTGCTAACTCAAGTTCAGGGATTGGTGGTTTGCCTCGACGGCCATTCCTCTCCTTGCTGCGACAATTGGTCCTATGGCAAATGTGCTGTCGATTGCAGCTTTGGTCTCGAAATGGAGGGTTACACTGCCGAACAATGGACAATTACCGGAGGGATTGGATGCTCTGGGAGTAGACATCCCAGATCCGCACTGGTGAGTCCGCTTCTGCAATATCTCGAGGACCGATATTGAGAAATGCTGTGATAGGGAGGTCATTTTGAATGCGATATCTCTGGCTTGTGGTTTCTTTGGCAACTTTGCCTTGTTGCTGAATTTCACAAGGAGAGTGAGGTATATTGTTGCTTTACCATTGACAATCATCTCTTGGTACTTTGCTACGAGCATTGTAAGTGTCTTTTCAACCAATTCAAGTCCAGATTCTGACTGTATATTCAGCTCATTGGTATCATCGTGGCCATGAACAAGTATGTTCCTCCTATAAGACCCGGTGAAACCTACTCTCAAGGCTTTTGGCATGCTATCATCGCAGCAGTGCTCTACCTAATTAGCTCTATGCTTCTGATGATCAACATGCTTGGATATTTTCTCGGCCACTACCCACAACATTTTGACCTTGACGATGACCAGCGAACCCTCATTCTTCAAACCATGATGTTCTTCCTCTGGCTCGCCGGCGGCGCAGGAATTTTCTCCAAAGTATGTGGCTGGAAGTACGCTGATGCTCTCTATTTCTCGGATGTGACAGTTTTGACCATAGGCTTCGGAGACATAACGGCCAACAACGACCCAGGCCGTGGATTCGTCTTCCCGTTTGCAGTCATAGGTATCATCTTCCTAGGTTTGATGATCAATAGTATTCGAAAGTTCGCTACCAGCATGTCTAAAGAAAAGGTTATCAAGGCACATCAACTTCATGAGCGAGAACGGACATTTGGCCGCTCAGTCACCAGCGAGAAGGAACTACGAGATCGTCTCGGTTTACCTCCACGTAGGGACTCTGACGCCCGACGCGCTTCCACCGGGATCCGGAAGCAGTCCACTGTTGGCACTCTAAGGGATCGCCGTACCTCCCTTGAGCAGTACGGACATTTCGATGTCCACGGCCGCACCATCACTTTCCACGAGCACAAAAGCAAGGCTCCAGCGGGTGGTGGGGGGCGTGGCGGAGCGGGCAGAGCCCACAAGCCTAAAGCACCCCTGAGCCGAGATGCCAAGATGCAAATGCGAGCAGCTGGCAAAGACGCCCACGTGAAGCGTCAAAATCGCCGTGAGAAGCTCATCCTTCTCAAAGAAGAAAAGGATCGTTTTGAGGCCATGCGGGAGATCCAGTCCAACACCAGCAGATTCAAGCAATATTACGCACTTGCAATGTCAGTCTTTGCCTTCGGCATCTTGTGGTGTGTTGGTGCTGCCATCTTCATGGTTGCCGAGAAACGGATTCAAGATCTCACTTACTTCGAAGCTCTGTACTTCTGCTACGTATCCCTGCTCACTATCGGCTACGGCGACTTCTCACCCAAATCCAATGCTGGAAAACCATTTTTTATCGTCTGGTCACTGGTCGCTGTGCCCACCATGACAATCCTCGTCTCAGACATGGGCGACACCGTCGTCGCGGCTGTGAATCGAGGAACCTTCACCCTTGCAGATTGGACCGTGATGCCGAAAGAGGGCGTCTGGCACGATTTCCTTCAAAAGCATCCCCAACTTAAAGAGTGGCTGGAACGGAAAACCAAAGAGCGAGAAGCGAAGAAGAGAATCGAGCGAGGTTTCGGGTTGCAAAATCCGGACGAGGAAGGTGGGGCAATCGAAGAAGCTGAAGCAGCTCAGCCAACGTTGGAAAAACTCGCAGAAGAAGCGCCTGAGCAGACAGAACATGAACTTGCAAGAAAACTGGCAGTGACGATAAAGCACGTAGCCAATGATTTGCGGACTCCTCGCCCAAAGAAGTACAACTATGAAGAATGGGTAGAGTTCACACGCTTGATTCGCTTCAGCAGGAACACGCCAGAAGAAGTAGCGAACGAAGAGGAAGAGGAGGGCTTAGTAGAGTGGGACTGGATAGGAGAAGATAGTCCCATGTTGGCAGATATCAGTGAGAGCGAGTGGGTTCTCGACCGGCTTTGCGAGAGCTTGAATCGGTACACGAGGAAGATGGCTAAAGATGTAGGGCTTCCTTTCCCCCCGCTTGCTCATTTACTAACACCGCTTCCCTCTTAGGGCAGAAAAGCACAAGAACTCCAAGATCTTCACGACAAACATTATGCTCCCCGCTCTCCAGATGAAATAGCGGACATTGATTTCGCGCATGAAACCCGCGGGAAAGCCCATTATCCTGCACACCCCGGTCCTCGGTCCCCGCAGCACTCCCGACTCCATCGTAACCCGGACTCGGGTACCTCGACCGTCTCTCCTGTCCTCTCTCGCGGTCCTTCCGGTGACCAGCAAGTGCAGATTTTCCACCGCAAGAAGGATAAAGAGAAGGAGAAGGAGAAGGGCATTGAAGGTGGGGATGTGGGGAGTAGTGAGGGTGGGGGGAGTGGGACGACGACTGTGGAGGAGGAGAGCCTAAAGCTGGAGGAGGAATTTGAAGGGCGAGAGGTAAGGGAGTGGGCTACGAGGGTTAATAGCCGGGGTGATGATCTTGATGATCAAGGGGCTGTTGTGAACCCTAGCAGCCACGACTTTGATTACACGGTGTTGGGGCATGGGTGATCTTGCCTGCATTTTATTCGGACGACGTTGATGTTGCATGAGATATATGGATTGGCCAAAGGGAGTTGTGAGGTGAAGGTGGTTATGATACCCGGGATATGGAAAGACTATGGATCGGCTATGAACCATAGATTGGGAAGACAGGACAGATCTATTTGCATATATGAATGTTACGGTATCTACGTTGATGAGATTTAGCGTCCTTCAATATCCTCTATTCATCATGAAAGCCTGCTGGGTCGACCTGCTGGAACAGGGGAAGCTTTAGCGCGGGCTGAGCAAGCCACCAACCTGGTGGCCGAAGAAAGGGAAGTCGCAGCCGCCGTGAACTCAGCCTACCAAAACACCCACTTCCCCTCTCGAAACTCGATTCCGTCGTCAATCATCACTATGATCAACCACCATGTCGTTTGGCTTCTCAGTCAGGGACAGCATCTTACTCATCGACGTCGCCCGTACCCAGTACAATAACTGCATCGCCGCTGGTGCTGAATATCACGACCTTGCCCGAGACGTCAAGACACTTCACAGTGTCCTCGAACTTCTTCACGATGAATCCTTAAAGGCTTCGTCCCCCCTCTTGCGTGGAGATCGAGCGTTCGCAACCCAGCTAGCCCCAGCTATCAATGGCTGCGAGAATATCCTTGAGGATCTACAAACTCTCCTGGCGAAATATGAAGGCTTATCTGGCAACAAGCCTGTCAATCCAACAAGCAAATTATGGCACAAAATACGCTTCGGCTCGAAGATACAAGCACTAGGAGAAGTCAGGGGCAAGATTACCTTCTACACGACCACAATCGCCGTGTTGTTGGACACCATGCAGCTCCGAGCCACGGGAAGGCTGGAAGACAAACTCGATGCAACGAGCACGGCTATGATAGATGGCTTCCAAAGCATCAAATTAGCAATGGTTGAGGAAGCTTTGAAGGCGAAGTCTGGGTCCCGGTGTCAATCCACGGCTTCCCTCCTCTCCATGTCTACGTACAATGGGGATGACAAGGAAGTATAGCGGGAGTTCCGTCGCCAGCTTATTTCAAAGGGTTTCAAGAGCAACCAGCTTGATAAGCACAGTGATATGCTCCAGGCTTACCTGCTGAAACTAGTTCAGAGTGACGTGTTGAATGAAATGGGAATGCATCAGTCCGCACCAAAGCAAGATCATGTATTCCCCGCCCCGACGGATATCTCGGAGGATCTTGCCCCTGTCGAGCAGGAGCATCATTTTACAAAAGCTCCGCCAATTCAACAGGATTTAACTGTCGATACATCTGCATCTCAGCAAGCTGGATTCGGATCTATCCAACCACGAGATCACGAAGAGGAAATGCCTCCGACGTCTGCTTCCGCCGAATCTGGCACCTCCACATTTCTCCACACAATTATAAGCCGCGCTGTCTCACAGGGACCGGAAGCGCTCCCACAAGCCTTTGATCCATATCCCCAGCTTCGTAAAGACCCTTGCTTAGATGTCGCAATCTCTTCAGGGCCATTATCAAGGGATCATGATGGTCCGCAAGCTATGGTTGCCGCCGCTCGGCAAGAGACCTCCGTCGCTCTCGAGGAGAGCCGGTCTAATTCAGAAATCACGCCTCAACCAGTGTCAAAGTTTTCCACTAAGAGCATAACGCCCGTCATTGATATTGCCACCCTTTTTACCCCTTTCAAGAAATCCAGTATCATCAGCAGAATCGGGGTGAAGCTTTTGGCCCTGTGCGTTCGAAAGTATCGTGATACTATTGAGGAAGGACAGGAAGAAGACAAAAGATGGAGGGCGTATCTTTCGTCCCTGTGTTCGACCTCCAGAGGGGAGGAGCTATTTGGAGAAGTGGCAAAAATGAAGGCACATCTCGCTCCGACAGCTGCGGCCCTCGACAAGATCAACTTTAATCGTGTGCTCGAGGGATGGCCCAAAATCAAAGTGCTTGAATCACGAAAAGCAGCAATCATTCCAATTTTAGATGAAGGTTTCTTCAGGCTATGTGAGAACCTCGGACGCGCTGAGCGGTACTCGGGGATTGACATGGCCAAATTCTGGACTATTGAAATCGAGGAGTTTAAAGGGATTAGGCGACTGATCGACTGCCAATATATAGCTCTTTCCCAGGGACATAGAGCCAAAGCGCGAATGACAAAGTCCTGGTGGTTAGCAGCCGCATTGGAAGCGACAATGACTGAAGACTTTGCAACCAGCATGTCACAAGGTATAGGTTCTGATTGTATAAGTGGTCACCTGTACAATCTAGTACTGACAACACTTAGATTCATATACGGAATCGAGAGAGGAACGATTAATGGTAGTAGGGTGTTTTCCAGCGCTCCTTCTCACTTGTTCTCAGTGTGCGAAGCCTCATATTGAATTCAACATTCATTACAACTGCGACAAATGTTTTAATGGAAGCTGGAACATATGCCTGGAATGCTATAGAGCGGGCAAAGGCTGTCCCAACTGGTTTGGATTTGGTTCCACTGCTTGGGCTAGGTGGGAGAGGCTTAAGTCTTCTGGATACTTATCTGCGGGAGCTGAGCAACCGCATACACTGATTGCCAGTCGCTTTGCAGATCTGGCATCCACATCGAGCATACCACTGTTACGTTTGGAAACAGGAATGTTTTGCTCCAACTGCCTGAAATGCGCTAATGATTGCTATTTTCAATGCGATCTCTGCAACAATGGCGACTGGGGTTTCTGCTATGACTGTGTCAACCAAGGAAGATGCTGCACCCATCCTCTTATCCCCTGGGCGTACACATCATACGAGCTTAAGACCTCACCAACGCCTGGCCCGCGGACACGATTATCACCTTCAGCCTTAACCGGCCAGGGAGCCGTCTCTCGTGATCCCTTCGAGCCACTCACTTGGACGGTCGCATGCGATATCTGTCTTGGATCCATTCAGCCATTTGCTCCCCGGTTCCATTGTTCATGGTGTGCCTCTTCGTCTGATGACTGCGACATTTGTTACAGTTGCTATAGCGAGCTTGAGCGTAGGGGGCGCATCGCTCCAGAAAACGGACAGAAAGGGTGGCGGCGGAGGAGCCCTACGTCTCAGATTATGGCGATATTCTCGATACATGCCTCAACAGCGTTCGAGTCGGACCATCTGTCCGATGACCAGTGCCGGAAGCAAGAATTTGTTGTCTGAGAATGAAAGTGTGCACCTCAAGGCAAGCACTTGGGGTGATGACAGCCACTGTATCACAGAGCGACAGCTCTAGCTATCTTCTGGATCACTTCTGACATATATCAGAGAGTTGTGGATAACCAAATTGGGGAGTCCGTTTCCAATTCGGTAAGATTGTGTTGATTATGATTTCCACAATTCTGTCTGATCCCTGAAGTAAGGATGTAATCTTACTGACGGTGTCAAGTCGAGACAGATGCTTCTGTGTTTTCAAATTCGATTCCCCTCTTTGCTTTAGATTGGGGATTTAAGCTTGTCTCGAGGTGGACCAACAAGCGGCGGGTCAAAATCAGTGCCTATGTCAGTTTGAATAGCCGTCAGGAGGATCTAGATCCTACAACCCAGAACTTCTGCGACTGATGAAGGGAGCAGACTTTGAATATGTAATCATATAAAGAAAATATTTCGGCATCTGAGATCTCCACCTTGACTTGATGTAAGGCAGAACAGCTCAAAACCGAGCAGCGCTAGCCAAACACTTTCTGGAAATAACTATAAATCATGGAGTAGTGCGAATTCACGTTTTCTAACTACTATCAAATGAACAACGGGTCTAGATTGCATACGGCATGGCTAGTTTAGATTCTCCTCGAGGAAGGAAGGAAGGAATTCTGTAATCTGTGATGTTACGAAGTACAGATAAGGAATAAGGTTGGCCCGCCCCGCCTTGCGTTTTTATCCGAAATGTGGAGTGGGGATGATAAGGAAAGGAGGGAGGGTTGAAAGCTTGCCTTATCTCTCCCGTCCGCGTGTGGGTGAAAATTTTCCGCAAGCTCCATCCATATCTGAGATCTCTAATCGACAAAGGGGAACAGAACACGTCGTTCTCACCAGAAGGATGGGGATACATAGATAGATAGATAGATAGTATGAAATCAATCATGAGACTTTTATTTTTTTATGCCTATATCAGCAGAATGCAGTGACAGACCGTGTCGCGCCGTGCAGACCCAGCGCAGAGATCCTGATGCATGCATGCGTGAAAAGCCCTCCAGTATTCCATTCCATTCCTCCCCATCCATATCCTTCCATTCAATTCATTGCAGTTCCGTATCTACTCCCACACTCCATTCCATATTCATCCGGAGAACCGAATCCCTGTCCCCTGGTAGTCATCCAGTCGCCATCTCCAGAGCACATGTCTAGATAACAGGTCGAAGGAGAAAGAGGAAAAGCAGACTCCGAAAAAGTTGTTGTTTGTTGTTGTAATTAATCTGACATTATAGAAACGTTTCGCGCTGGTCATCGATCGAAAGAAGCGCTATTTTTTTGGTGAGGAAAATGAAACATGCAATAGCTAGGCGTGATGGTACAGCTCCACGGTTGAGACTGAAGATCCCGACCTGGAGGGAGTTAGTGACACGTCACGAGCGTCTGGAACTGAATGTAGAGACGTACCAGGAGAAAAAGAGTTCGTTATGGTGGTATCATCGACGGAGAAGCAAAGAGGAGAAAACACCGCCGTCCGAGTGATGAATGCCTTGCGCCTGAATTCATGAAATGCCTATGTGGTTGATTGAGGAGTTGAACACTCAGAATCGCCGACCATGTCCGCAACGCGCATCTTTTTCGCACGAGGGGCTCCGTCACGCAACTCGCCGAGTTCGCGCTCTACGTCGTCGAGGCGGCGCTTGAGCTGGTTCTCGCGGCGTTGCGACTCCTCGAGACGTCTCATCAGATCTTGCTCCGAGTCTCGACGCATCTCTTCGCCTCTCCTAGCGTTTTGCTCGTCTTGCTCAAGTTGTGTAACCCGGCCACGGAACAGCTCGTTGATGAGGTCGAGTTCGCTGACGCGGGTCTTGAGGGCGGAGTTCTGGGCGATAAGCTGCTCGAAGGTTGGGGGGACTTCAAGGCTGTGTGCTCCGTTCAAGGGGGAGGCAGAGCGGCCGGGAGATGGTTGACGAAGGTGGAGTTGTGGCAGCGATGGGGAGTGATTGTAGGGATCATCGAGGGTGCGGCCGTTGAAAGTGGGCATATGAGCATACAACGAGGGCGTCGCAGTACGGGAGATGGGAGAGTTCGAGCCATCAGAGTGACCGTTCGCGGATTTTTGGGAGGTTCGTCGATGACCGATGGCTCCGGGGGGTGGAGTTCCTCCTTGCGATCGCGTCTGCTCGAGACCATTGGAGTCGAATACACTCTGCGACGACGCGTCAATATCTGCTCCCTTTCAAGGACGTCTGCATAAAACAGAGAACTACTCACCTTCTTCTTGGCTCCCTGTGCAGAACCGGAACTCTTAACGCGGTTGCGACTCTTGATAACATCTGTCTTCAGGCTTATCGGCCGAGGTCTGCCGTGGAGTTTGAGGAATAGGCCACAGGCATTGCAGAGCACGGAGCCAATCTCGTCTCGTCGCCAGAGGGGAGTCGTCGAGGTAGTGCAGTTTTGGCACGTAGGCTGTGTGGTTTCGCGATCGTTAGCAGCCATTGTTGCCATGGTTATGGTGTTGGGGAAAAACTGGAGGTTTGCTATCGCAGGAGAGATTGTGCTTATCGGGAAGGGAGTTGGAAAATTTCGCTCGAGAGTGCGCTGCGTCGGGCGGCCGAAGCGCGCCACCTGTGCAACCCAGATATGATAGGGGCAAATGATGGATGAGATAAAGGGTGGGTGCGACAGAGGTCAAAACACAGAATAAAAAATATAGCAATGGGCAGAATACATCCCGAAATCGTGGAAACTGCAAGTACGTACCGGTGAATTGCTCTGGCCTCCTCCCGTGGTGGCAGAGGGTGAGGATGTCGAGAAGCCCATCGGACTGGGAACGTTGAATGCCCTGTTTGACCAGCATCAGCTTTGAACTCCTCTGCCTGGGTAGCTTGCAACACAGCTCCGAAACAGCATCCCCAGAAAAACTTGGAAGGTTGCAAGATATGCAAGGCCGAATGTTCCTTGAAAATGTTCCCTTATATTTTAAATCGTGTCAAACGTTCCTTGACTTGACGGCGGAACCCCTTTTACAGTCCACCGCGACCACAGATGTTCACACCAACCAAGACATTCCCCACGCCTCTTCCATGTTCCAACGTACCTCAATTGCGGAGAGTTATTCGTAGACGCGAGGGATGCGAGAGCAGAGAGGCCAGGAAGCTGTGGGAGCGAAGCACTGTGGTGCAACGTCGAGTTTTGTGTCGAGGTCGAGGAAGGGCGTGAGATGGGATCCATCGTGGGGAGCGACTGCCGTCCTTCTTCGAAGGTATTCGCCATCTTGAAGGAAGGTAGGTCTCGGGCTAGCTCTCTTGAGGCAGGATGGATGTGGTCGATGGCCGAAGCCCTGTAGGGAGCAAGTGTGGACGCCGTGGTGACGGTTGGAAGGAGGAGCGCGAGAGAGCGATGAGGCTACGAGGGGAATTATTATCGCATTCGTCTGGAACGCGTCTAGTACTATGTATCGAAGTAGGAGTTCGAGATGAAGAGGGGAAACAGTAGGCGTATTATTTCGTGCTGGATGGACGAGTTGAATTATTGACGTGCAAAAGAAGCAAAGAACTCGAACGCGCTCAAACGAATGACTCGAGGGGATCAGAACGACCGAACCGGTATACAGGAAGATGCAGCGAGTGTGGTTGGCAATTATAATGTCGTTGAAAAAGAGTATGATGAAGGTTAGATGGCGAGAAGGTTAGATTGCACTTGTTGCTGCGAACTACCCCTTATCCGCGCTTCTGATTAGAGATCTATAAAAAGCTAAGCACGCAGCACCTTGCGTCGCGCACAATTCCTCTCTTCTCGAGATCCAATGGAATGGGCCGCATTGTCACGGGTGAAGAATGCATTTGAGATGAGTAGCAATCAAATGCGGTAATAAGTGGCCAGTGTATGGCACGGTCAAATGTGCGCAGGCGCATCGTGGGTGAATGTTTTGTTTCCTTCAATCTACACAATGTTTCTCAAAGATTGATCATATCTAGACCAAGCCCGCCCTTGCGATACACAAATCGGATAAACTGGGCAATTAAACAGATAGGCCGTGCCTGCACATCTTATATCATGTGCTGCCTGAAGCGTCAGTGTGTGCCGCAAGCAAGTATACGTGTTGATGTTCATGCGCTGCATCGAAGGATTCTTGTGCAGCGCGCTCTCGTAATGAAAAAGGTCAAGCTCATAAAAGCCTCCGAGGTGGATAACGGACGCGGCTGCGGATTCGAAGATCCACTCTGGGATCGAGCAGTTGGCGCTGCGGCACAGGTGGATCTGATCGAATCGGCACGCGGCGATTGCTCTGATAAACGATGTCCCAGCGCCAGGGTAGCAGGGCTGACACTCTTGCGCAAGAGATATGAAGCCACGTCGGTCCAAAAAGTGTGGCGGGAAGCCCCTGGTATCGAGTAAGATTGTTGGACGAGATTGGGCGGGAAGCGAGAGGAGATACAGGTAGACGTTTGCCATACCTACACAGAACAGTAGTACGAGCAGACGCATGGCCTATGGGGGGGGGGGGAGGGGAGTACGGATCGAGTTTAGATAGTTAGCACGTCTGGGAAAAGTCAGATCAGAGAGGGAAGCTTCTGCCGATTCTGACTTACTGCGTAGGGTGGAAAGTTGTCGATCATCAGGACAGGGATTGAAGTTCGTCTCGAAAAAGGGGTAACGCACGTGATCTACATGCCTCAGGACAAGCAGCTGCCAACGCTCGACTTAAGCGGGAAGCCGTTCCCAATAATTCTTTTTCGTTCGCGGGAGACATCAAAGAAACGAGCTGCAACTCTGTATCCTGCTCAAAGGCGGCAAAAATAGAACCCTCCCCAGAATGTACTTTCTGCAGGGGTGTGGTGTATCGCGGGGAAGCAGATGGCTCTGCCACTTCGAATCCAACATTGAGATGCCTTCTTCAAGATCTTTCCACCTGGTAAAGAAGATGGCCTTGGAACCTCCTATCCTCTTGAAGTTGAGACGGAATTCTGTGAAACAATATTCGCACTAGTTCAGGTCGAGGGATGCTTCTAGCTCCCAACAGATCTGTATGCACAGAAGGACAGTTCCAATCAGAGTATCTGAATATATGCTCGCCCATCGATCATGAGCGCAGATTTCTAAGCCATGGTCGAATGTGACGTTTTGTCGGCCGTTATCAAGAATATACTTTGCTGACGAACAAGAAGCGACCCCAATGTAACACCAAAAAAATAATATGCTTTATACATCCATCCACTGTAAGGCTTTATCCTAGGTTTTCTAGTCAGTAGGCCCAGAAGTTCAACGGTGTCCCCTCTGTTTTGACGATGTCTTTTCATGGCCATATGGAAGACTGCAAGGTTGAAGTTGTAATGGATGGAATCGTGGCCCGACCTTATCTACGCCGAGACAGCAAATTTCTGGGAAGTTGAAATCTCCGTGCTTGGAACATCTCTGAGTAAATAAATATATTTCGGCGTCCTTGATTGCAGTAATAACAAGCAATGTGATTTAGCAAATCGCGAGCCAACCGTTCCAGGAATTTGTATCGTTCGTGTGCCAGGTCTTCGTTCTCCAGGGCCAGGAAGGGTTAGTTTCCAATAATAAAATTATGGGGCCGACAAGTGATAGAGAAGGTGACGGTGGAGATAGTGGGGAAGCATTCTGCAATGCGTTGGGTGACCTCTCGTGGAAGGTTGCCAAAACTGGAGGGTTGGAGGGCAGCGATGCCGGACTGAGAAGATGACTCAAAATGCGAGAGGAGGCGTTTCAGGGGCGACATATTTTCGATATCCGTTTGGAGGGTTTCTGCTACGATTGTCAGAGTCAGAAGGTGTTTGGGATTTAGAGAATTAACATGTAAATATTTAAGAATCGACTGCAAGTTTGAGTTAGTACTGAGTGGACGTGTTGCACGTGATTAGTAAGCGGCGCCTGATTGGCTGAGTTGCCCCGCAGAAATGTATGGCGGTTGAACCTATCTGGAAATTCTTCCAAACTTTTTTGAACCTCACTCCAAGCTTCTCAACCCCACCACAGAACTCAAGATGCCTTCCACGCACAAGAGGGAAAAACCTTGGGACACTGATGATATCGACAAATGGAAGGTGAGTTCCACGAAAATCCAATCCCCTAAAACGGCAATTGCTAACCAACCTCAAGATTGAAGCATTTACACCCGCCGACAATGCAGGCGGAACATTCACAGAAGAATCCTCCTTCGCCACGCTCTTCCCCAAATACCGCGAAGTTTATCTGCGGGAAGCCTGGCCCCTGATTACCCGCTCCCTCGAGAAATTCGGCATAGCATGTACCCTTGATTTAGTCGAAGGCTCCATGACCGTGAAAACGACCCGAAAGACCTACGACCCCGCCGCCATCCTGAACGCCCGCGACCTTATAAAACTCCTCGCACGAAGCGTGCCCGCTCCCCAAGCTGTCAAGATTCTAGAAGACGGAGTAGCATGCGACATTATCAAGATCCGAAACCTGGTGCGAAATAAAGAGCGTTTTGTGAAGCGGAGACAGAGGATATTGGGTCCGAATGGAAGCACATTGAAGGCTTTGGAACTTCTAACGGAATGCTATTTACTTGTGCAAGGAAATACTGTTGCGGCGATGGGACCATATAAAGGCTTGAAGGAAGTACGGAGGATAATCGAGGATTGCATGGCCAATATCCACCCAATCTACCACATCAAGGAACTCATGATCAAGCGGGAACTCGCAAAAGACCCCGAACTGGCAGGCGAAAGTTGGGATCGATTTCTGCCGCATTTCAAGAAGAGAAATTTGAGTAAGAGACGTGTGCCACTGAAGGTTACGGATAAAAGTAAGAAGGTGTACACGCCGTTCCCGCCGCCGCAGGAGAAGAGTAAAGTGGACTTGCAGATTGAGAGTGGAGAGTACTTCTTGGGGAAGCAGGCGAAGGAGCGGGCCGTGAAGGAGGAGAGGCTGGAAAAACAAAAGGATAAGAAGGCCGAGAAGCTGAAGGAGAGGGAGAAGGAGTTTGCAGCACCGAAGGAGGATGGCGAGAAAAAGAAGCGAAAACGGGACAAGGTTGGAGGTGATGAGGTGAAGAAGGACAAGAAGAAGAAGCGGAAAGATGCTGAGGTCGAGGATGATTAGCTGTGTATCGATGTTTGATTGGCATATTGGCGACGGCGTTCCTGGAGATATTAAGCTGGGACGGATATTCAATTTGGCAAATACGTCCTGATACATTGCGTCTGAGAATACCAGATACATTGTTCCGTAGGCCCCCCGGACAACTAGGATTGTGATATTGCCTGATATGGGCCTGACCTGGGCAACCAATCTGCAGTGCTTGTTTCTTGTCATAACCTGATTTTGAATATATCACCAGCACCCGGGATACTCTCATGAGGCCAGCGCTCTACCATCCTTTACCCTTCAGGATCCAGTATTCCTGTCTCCACCAGTCCTTTGCTGAAACTGTGAGATATGGCATCTGTTTGATGCAGCCGATCTCCCTTATCAGCGTCCCTGATATTGCCTCACCTTAACCGCTCGTTCTATGTAATTTTATTTCCCCAAACCTCAATGGATGTGGCCTTCTGGCAGTCAGAACATGTTTGCTACCAAGCGGCGGTGATATGGATAAGGCAGCTTCTCAACTGTTACAACTCCTTTCCCTAATTCCATGTGCTCCAACCTGCGCCAAGAGTAACGACTTGTGGACGGGGGATGCTTGCTTGGGGAATGAATCTGGGCATGGCGGCTCTCAGAGACCATTGTAACGGCAGCAATATGGTTGCCAAAAGAATTACTATTGAGCTTCTGGCGAAAAGGTGATCTCTGACAATAACTTAAATATTTGCATGCGAGAATGGGAGCAAACCGAAAAACAATAGCGGCAAAATGCTCGGGCCAAGGAGACCTCGACTGAGCGGACTGCCCGACTTAATCGAGTTCGTAAGTGTATTATTAATCTAGTTACAGGTGAAGACGACCCTCAGATTGAGATAGCCTCTACTTTTTATTTACAATACTGGAACTGCAATGAATAAACCCCTTTCTTTTGTCTCAACTTCTTCCTCGAATGTCATCATTTGAATCTTTCTAAGTGCAGTCTCGAATCAAGACGCAAATCCTCCTTAGGATTGGCTAGCTCTCACAGGATACCCCCACTTATGGTCAAGCTATTTCCAAGGCATACCGTCAGTCAAGGCGCGATGCCAAATTTCCCGTTATGGAATGACCAATTTACACTATCAAGCCACTCCGGTACGAGAAGCAACTAGCTATTGAGCTAAGCTACGATGTGGCCTGGGCTGCGAGGCATCTATCATAAGAAAAACTCTCTTTCGAAAATATCCTTGTTTTTTAGGTGCCAAGAGTAAGCTTGCTTGTTTTATTCTGGCCTTCAATACCTCACTTGTTGTCAATAGTCACATGGCAGCTGACGTGTGAACCAGCACTCAGATGAAAACAATTACTTTGTTCTGAAGAATTTACTTAAGTTCCAATATTCACACCCTTTTCATCTCAATGGCAGTGAAATTCCCTACCTTGTCAGGTTCAAAAGTCAGGTGATAGTAATCCTCAGCCTTGTCGTAGTGCCGGCACACTAAAAATTTCTCCCCTATCCAACTCGACTAAATTTCCTCTTTGCGTTAGTGTCTCGTTCTCATCACAACAACATCGAAACAAAATGGATTTCGTCAAAGAGATCCAAGATATCGTTCGTAATCATCTCAAAGAAAACAATATCATTGTCGACGAGATGAAGGAAGCGACTATCAAAGACCTCGCCGAGTGCGCCCTCAGTGCTGTCAAGGACGAGCTGAAAGCAGCCGTCCTGTCCGATCCCTCCATCTCCTCCCGCCTCGGCCTGTTGCATGCGACAGTCGCTGGCCAGATCGACGCGCTTCAGGCGCACTTTATCAAGACCAAGGACGAGCTGGTAAGCCCTCCTTCGGTGTCCACTAGCTTATAGTACATTCGGCTCTGACTCTTTCATAGATCGAAGATGCCACCAAGGTCGCCAAGAAGGACCTCACCAAGCACGTCCTGGACACGGTTGAGAAGATGGTCCGCGAGTCCGTCAAGATCTCGTTTACGGCATGTGCATGCCTTCCTCCTAGTCCCTACTATGCTATGCTAACCACGAACATATTTACAGGCCAAGGACATCGAGGAGATCCGCGAGGAGGTGAAGGAAGAGATCAAGAACGAGATCCGTACGGGTCTGATGGATGAACTTCGTGCGGAGCTGCGCGAGGAATTTTAAGACGACGTCTCCCTCCCACACCGTCCAGCACCATCTTCCTCCGGTGGAAGCAGCAAGAAGCGCGGTCGAAAGTCACGGGGTGCTTGATTTCTCGCCACTACATCATACATCACGGTTCTACGGTACGACGTTCACACAGATCGACGGCATACGAGAGCTCGTGTCCTCTCTAATTTCATAATGTCTTTCATACTGCATAGCGTGGCGTTGGGTGTTTAGATCGGTGGATACGAGAGCCCGTGTTCTCTCTTGATAGTTCTGGGTTCGCTGGGGACGTCATGGCACCATGGGGAGCTCGTTTTCTCTGATAGCACTACGTCACTACGGTCATTGAAATGAAAAGGTCTTCTACGGAAGCTACAAGTCATGAACGTTCTTTCCACTTCTGATCTCCGTGCCCTAAGCCCCTATCCCAGAAGCTCTAGAACGTTGCCCCCGAGATAAATGCACCCTCACGTTTCGTATACTCGAAATCCACTCTCTTCAAATGTCCCCTAGTCTTTCGTACCTTCCAAGTCTGCTCTCTTCAAATGCCTCCGAAAGTCTGGAGCATTTTACCATCTCACAGTATCACGCCTTGTACGTGTTTTTAAAAGAAATATTCATTCGGATTTAGGGTATCTCTCTATCAACGCCATTTTGTGCCCTCCTCCACGGATGAAAGAGCGGAAATTGTGTAAAACGCCGCATAAACCCAACGCCAAAAGCACAATCAAGTGGTCACACGAAATACAGGCCTCATTGTTCCAAACCACCCTGGCACCTTCATTTTGCGAAGAACGACCTTCCAGCGCGCATGACCAAGCATTCAGAACTAGAAGATGCGGTTGGAGTCTCCTTCTCAGACATCTCCTTTTCGCCCAAGCCACCTTTCTCTGACAAATCAAGTGTAGAGGGAGTGGCAATGGGATTCTCCATGGGGTTGAGGTTTGGTCGGCGCGGCATCTCCTTCTCACCGTCAGGATCAGAGTCGTTGCCAGTATTGTAACCCTCCAACTCCTCCGCCGGAACTTTGTAGTCTCCAAAGTAGCCAAGCACCTCCTGGGGTTTCATGCGGCGGATCATTTCCTCTGCGATTGCTTTGTCTTCCATCCCAACAGCCTTCATGTGCTCTTCAATCCACTTCTCTAAGTACTTTCGTTGATCACTGATTGTACCAGCATTCTCGGGATCAATTATGGGCTCCACTCCAGCGGCAGGATTCGGCTTGTGGCATAATTCACAGTTTCTCTCTACCTCCGTGTCGATGCCGCACTTCCACCAACCCATACGACGTCCAATGGAATACCACTTCGGGTGCTCATCGTGATACTCCTTGTCCCAGACCTTCTCCATAGATTGGAGGCTACTATGCTTGAAACCACGCTCCGCCTCCTCGCAGAGAACGATCTTGTTGTACAAGCCTCTGAAGTTTTCCCACGGTTGTTTATAATTGTGAGACGGGAACCAGTCTGGCAGGTAGGCACCGCAGGTATCTCTATCTGGAAGGGTGACTGGAGATCCGGGAGGAATATGGTTCTTGCCGCACTTCTTGCAGTACTCGTAGATTATTTTGGTGTTGGCGGGATCAATGACCGGAGGAATCAAGAGATGTGGGCCATCGCGACGGAAGCCTTGGAGACTAGTTTTAGCGTAGTCGTCGATCACTTTGATGAAGTCAGCACGCTGCTCTTCGGTTGAGTAGATGTTAGCAGCTCCAGGGACTGGGGCTTCCCAACCTGATCTGTTCCAGTCGATTGTACCAGCGAGCTCCTGTCCTACAGTAGGCTCTGGACTTGTAGATGTGCCTGTACGAGAACGGGTCGGAGTCGGTGTATCAGACAGAGATTCTCGGCGTCGGTTGACATTTTCCGCGACCTCGACGAGACGTCCGCTGGGTTGAACTGTCTTTGTCAACTCGGTGAGCTTCCGACGACTGGGCATGGTGACGATGACCCTGGCCATGTCGCGAGCGAACTTCGGATCGTGGCCATCAGAGGTGAGGTAGTATGCTTTGTTGGAAAGGGGTGGGAAATCTGGGCCAAATGGGACCGGATCGTATTGGGACTTGTCCTTGGCTGGCTTCGGCTCAGGTTCAACAGGGAAGAATCCTTTGACGACTTTGGTGTGCTCCGGCATACGCTCGATGTACGGGGGAAAGATCTCGGTCTCAGTCTTTTGATGGGTGAGGTAGCCTTCGACAAGTAGCGATCTGGGGACCTCACTCGAAGAAAGCGAAATTGGGTCTCGATTCTCCGAGGAGTAATCATCAGTGTCATCATCATCTGGAAGGAAGAACTTGGTGGTTGGTGCCATTTTGACACATCAGACGATTGCTCGTGTTGGTGGTGGAAGAATCGTGAAGGAGTGTGGTTGCTGTTGTGGGAGGTTCACACCAGTAGTGCCTTCCAAATTATGCGACTCATCCGTGTGAATTTTCGTAAATTGAATCGCATCATTGTGACATCTCTATGACATCGTCTTTTAGTCGCCAGACGCCTAGGCCAACATTAATATGGGAGGATACGATTCGACAATGTCCCAAGACTTCTGTAAACAGTCGGGGTGAAGATCCCGTGGATATCCCAAAGGACTCTTGAACATTCAAGTGCAGGCACCTGACAATGCCCTCCAGCATTTGTAATACTAAAATTATAATTTACGAAATTGTTAATTTTCCAAGTGCGTATGGAGTAAAAGCAAGATGGAACGAATCCATCAATGGATGGCTGACAGGTAAAAATGGCTGTTCATTTCAAATGCAGCTGAGCACCATGTGCTAGAAACCCTGGGACTTTGAAAAGGGAACAGACTTGAATGTTCGTAGCAGTCCCTGGGCAATGAAAGCCAGGGCCCTTTTAAGACTCAACGAACGGTAGAACATTGTGCAACCAAGCTTCAAAGAATGTCCAAGGGCCCTGGAACAATGGTCAAACTTCCCTGGCGGCATCCATATCCAAATCGATGGATCCCATACTGCTGAATGCCCTAGAAGATCTCAAATATTGAGAGAAGCATGTGCTTGAATGTTCCAGGGAGGAGCCTGGACATTGGTATCAAGCCTCAGAGAAGTACTGGGTCTCTTGAGAACAATAAACCAGAATCTAGAGATTCCATTTTCAGCGAACGTATTGGTCTCTGGCTCATAGGAAAGTGCTCAACGGCCTCGAGCGATGCAGAATTCGAACAGTAGGCAGCGACAAATTGTACAGAGCATTAGGAGAGTAGAGGATTCCAATCCGCCCTCTCCCAGCGCGCACCCAATTACCATAATACACTGAAAAATATGCATAGCTCCATGGGTATCGCAGACTAGACAAAGGCATAACATTCATGAAATCCCGTTGGCTCTTCAATACAAGAGAGGCCCAACGCTAACCGTTTCCCTTTCCTTCAACGCCTTTTCCTGCTCAAATTTGAGTCTAGCTCTCCCCTCTTTCCTCCTATCTGCTTCTATATTCGCAAATCGGCGTTTAGCGCCATGCTTAACCTTTGTGATCATGTCACCAGCTTTCCCTTTTGTCAGGGCTTCAGCGGTCAGTTGATCATTTTTTGACCTCAGCTTGTTGAGGAATGCCAGTTGCCCTTCTGTTGCTGGTCTATTCCTCCATGCTTGCTTCTTGGAAATGAACTGGAACGGATATCGCTTCGAGGCAAAGGTATCTGCTGCGTGGATTGCGTTTGTGAATGTAATTGCTCGTGCAATTGTCCGCGGCCGCATGAATGGAACTTTCGAAATTGCCCGGCTGAGAGCAACTGTTTCTGTGACAAGGTATTCCTCCTGCCCAGACTTTTCGTTCACACCCTTCTCCAGCTTGACGTATGATCCATTGGAATTGGAAAGAATGTATTTGTCCTCAGAGACGCAAACCCAAGCATGGGGAGAAATCCGTCTAACATGCTGTTCTCCAGTAGTGTCTTCAATCAGGTCAAAGACAGAGTCATAATCTGTGAAGGTCACAGTTCTGCTCACTGGCTCAGCATTCTTTTGGGAGGCTTTCGAGACCTCATTAGTCTTCTGCTTCCGTAACTCCTCAGCCTCCTTCCGATCCTGAAGGCCCTTCAAGTCATCAACATTCGCATCCTCAACTATTTCCGAAGGATCAAGTCCGAAGAGCGTTGGAGTGGTAACAATCCCGGTCTCGAGACTGGCAACCATATCAATGATGTGGCAATCCTTCTTTCCAGGATGCAGTCTCATCCCTCGGCCAATCATCTGCACTAGCAAGTTCCGTGACTTGGTAGGCCGGGCCAACAAGACACAGTCAATATTTGGGATATCGGTTCCCTCTGTAAAGACTCCACAGTTGACAAGGACCGGAAACTTCCCCGCCTTAAAGCCATCAAGTCGCTCACCACGCTCAGACTTTGGTGTATCTCCGGTAACGAACCGAGCATCTATTCCGAGCTTCCGGAATGTATTTGTCAATCCCGCCACATGATTGAGGTCGACACAGAAGACGAGTGTTGACTTTCGTCCTTGGGCCTTCGACAGCCAGCTTCGAACTGTGATCTCGTTGATCTGTTCTGTATTGACCACTTGAGAAAGCTCGCTGGGTTGGAAGTCTCCATTGACTCCCTTCTTGACCTTCGATATATCTGCCTTCGACTGCACCGTCGTAAAGATCACGTCCGAGAGCCAATTCTCCCCAATCATGTCGATGTAGTCCTTATGATATACAATCTGGTCGATAGCAGCCCCGAGCCTAAGTCCATCGAACCGTGACAGAGTTGCTGAAACTCCAACCAGTGCTGGAGAGTGTGGCTGGGCTTTTGATAGACCAAAATAGTCTAACGTCCTCATGTATCCCGGCGCAACGATATGATGTGCTTCATCAACGAGTACGAGCTTGAACCGGTCTGGATCGAACTTGAACATCCGGTCCCCGGAAACGATGCTTTGAAGACTTGCCACAGTGATATCTGCATTCCCACTGGCATGCATTGAACCCATCTCGATCTCGATCAGCTTATCCGGGTAGGCATTGGTACAATGTCGAGCAGCTTGCTCAACAAGCTCTTTTCGGTGTGCCAGAATCAGCGTCTGATGTGCAGCTTCTTTGTGGGGTTGAACCCGATCGATGAGCTGGGTGAAAATGACCTTGGAAGAAGGTTAGCTAGTTGTCTATTCTCTAGGGATGAAGTCTACTTTACGGTTTTCCCACTTCCAGTAGCTAAAGACACCCCAAGGCGCTTATGGCCTTGATCTAGGTGAGAAAGAACGGCCTGGATGCATTCTTCTTGGTACTGCCGGAGGCGAATCTTCAACGGGGGCCCGACTGGACTAACAATCGAAGAAGCTGTGGCGTACCGACGCAGAACCAGAGAGGTTGAGCACAGTCTCCATTTCTGGAGACGAGTCAACAATCCTCTTGATGCAGGAGGCATGTCTGAAGCCTTGAGTGTGTCTCGACTCAATGATATCGAGAGTGTGGTCCATCTAAGAACGTTTCGCGCTTGGCGCGGGCCGACGCGAATCCCTGCAAGAATTTCATCACCAGACAAAATCTCAGGACGCTTTTGTATTCCGTTTCCACAGCCTCCTCAACCTTTTATTTTCTCGCAAGAAGACTCCCCCCCCCGGAATTTCTGTCCTGTTCGTCTCCCACCAAAATCTTCTCCTGCCGACTTTGAGCCTCTTTCACCACCTGGAAATTATGCCGAGTGTCATCCAACTCACGCTCTTTCATCAGGATCGCCTGAAGTACTGGCAGCTGCAAGAGAATGGACCTTGAAGATGCAGAGGCTCTTATAGAGCATGTGATATACCCCGACGAGTCTTCTGCATCAGCCTATGAGACGGGTTCAGAGGATGAAAGCAGCTCATCTCATGACGAGCAAGCCATTATTGCTCACTCTTCCAGAGCTAGCTCTGTGAAGAGCAGAGGCACAAGGACGAGAAAGAGAGGCAATCTCGTTTCTGAAAATGAAGAAATATCAGATTCCGGAGAAAGGCAAAGTGCTATAGGGGATCGAGCTAGCATCACTCCAAGCGTGGACCACCAAGTTTTCGAAGATGCTAAGGAGTGGGCATCCACTTTTCAGGCTCCTGAATCACCTGGTGATATCAAAGATCCACCAAGACGTGCCGCCGGAAGTCGTACCAAGAGGAAGACTCACAAGCCAGCGAATGAAGTCAGAGCCAAGCGGCTGAAGCGGTACTACAACAATGATTACCGAGAGATTTTGAACATCGATATTGAGGATACTGCAGCCGGGAGAATTCAGGAAGACCAGTATCCGCTTCAAGAAAGTCAGATTGGATCCTCGATATGGACGTCTTCGGAGAAAGATATGTTTTTCACGGCTTTGATCAGATTGGGACGAGACAGTGTCCGTGATATCGCAGCTCGAATTCGTAGCAAATCCGAGCTGCAAGTACAGGAGTACATCCAACTATTACATCAAGCCATCAGTGAGAGACGTTTACATGAGAGGCGATTACTGGCACCAACAGATATGCCTGCAGCCGTCCAGATCAGCGACGAGTGCAACGGCGTTCTCGAAAGAGCTGGCGATGCTTTAGCCATCCGCCAAGAACTAGCTGAGGAGAAGATTGAGAAGATCAAATGGGGCGATTCTTGGCTGCTCACCAAAGAAGTCAGTCGGTTTATGGAGAAGCGCCGAAAAGAAGAAGGCGGCGAGGAGGCTTTGGAGGAGGCCTTGCCAGCTGTGAATCTGTTCAATCTCAAGCATTGGCTTGAGTTGTCCGAGAAAATCTTCATGAATCCTGCTGCTCCTAATGAAGAGGGAAATTGGGAAACTCTGGCCGAGGCGGGAGAGAAGCCTGCTATTCGGGCAACTGCATTCACGGACTTTCATTCTCTTGCTGTCAATATCACGAAGCGGCTTGTGTCAACCACCTTCTATTGCACCATGTCGAGATCGCGAGCAAGAGAATCGAATAAAGTCAAACACGCGGAGGTCAGCCCTGGTGACGTGGAAGCTGCTGTGAACATCTTAGGCTTGAAGGCCAACAGTAACGCATTTTGGATTGGCTCTGCCAGGAGGTGTCACTTAAAGGTAGTGGACGATGATGCAGAGGAAGAAGAGGACGAGGAACAGGAACAGGAAGACCAGTACATGGTATACAACGACGTCGAAGCAGCCTTATCTTCCTCAATTCCTCCACGATCAAGATCCACAAGCCGACAAGCCCTCTCCAGACCATCATCCCGCTCCTCAGCACATTCAGATCTCCCATTATCCTCTCCATCATCCCTCGACCTCGACATCTCATCCTCAGACTCTTCAGTAGCAGACTACCCCACCTCAACCGCCGAGAACTCGGACTCCTCTTCCATCTCCTCCACCTCATCGACACATTTCCATTTCTCCACCCGACGGCAAGAAGCCAAACTGAAGAAAAAAACAGCACGCAAAGCTTCCGAGAAAGCTCAACACGCCTACACCGAAGCATTCGATATACGAGCTAGCCAGCTAGAAGAAGCACGTCTTTGGGCACTTTTGAAGCAAGACCCGCCGTTTGAGGTAGAGGAAGTGGAGCCGCTGGAGGAGCCGGAGATGGGAACGGGGACCGGGAAAGGGAAGCGTAATGGTGGGGACGGGAATTGGAGAGAGTGGGTGGGGTTTCGGAGTCCTTGGGAGACAATGGAGAGTCCTGTTGCGGAGGAAGAGTTTGAGAGGACCAGGAGGATTTCGAGGAAGGTGAAGAGGAGACGGATTGAGAATGTAGACGAAGGTTTTGGGTCAAGTGGTAAGGCGTCTGGTGATGAGTCGAGAGAGTCGGAGGATGAAGAGGAAGATAGTGGGGGTGAGAATGTACAACTCATTGAGGGGTCAATTGAAGCAGTAGATGATCTCCAGCATGAGGACGAAGCTGCAGACGCTGGTAGTTCCGGGCACACGTCTCCTCAACAGTACGAAGACGATGAAGTTAGCATTAAAATGGAATAAATCGTCAGATCACGTCACTTCACATGCCCGAGATCTCGTTCTACGTCCACTTGCATTTCTAAGAATACACAGAGAGAAATCCAGGGAAAAGCCCCAAAGACTTCGAAAAAGAAAGGTTCCCATACAAAGTGCCTACAAATGCACAAATTTTCGAGGTGTGACCACACTTTCCAGATCCAACCCCGAGACGCCTTGATTGATCGAATTACACCCGACTGCCATATCCGCCATCCATTCTTATATATCGTAGCTCTTTATTTGTCCCTCAGCACTCAAAGGTTGAATACTTCCTGCAGGCGCAACTTGGCCTTGGAAAGTGAGTCTCTCGCCTCCGGAAATGCCGTTCTGAACCATCTTCATGCCCTGATCTCCGCCTTCGGTTGCGGCCATTCTCAAACCATCCTGCACATCCTTGACCCGCTTCTTAAAGGCAAGACGGTCGAGGAATAGCTGTTGACGGCCTCGCTCCAGTTCTCGGCGCTCAGCTTGCAAGATCTGCTCCATCTCGTTGAACTGCTTGAGCTTCAACTCGAGCTTTTCAAGAGTGGCGTTGACTGCCGCGGAAACTAGGCGAGTCATCTCACGCTCCTCATGAGATGCAAGTGCACCAGCTCGACCAGCAACAGTTGCAAGCGGGACGGTTGCCAATGCGCCGACCGACTGAGTGGTAGTTGTCGTAGTTGTAGTGGTTGTCATAGTCATATCAATATCCATCGAATCGGCATTTTCTTTCTCTTTGCCCTTCTCCGATGACTGAGGCTTCTCGAGCTGGTTTCGCAAACTCTGCTTCATCGCCTCCACAGTCTTGTTTGCAGCCGCAGCTGTAACACTAGGCTCAGTAAGTCCAGCAAGGAATCCGATGACAGACATGACAGGGTTATCTGCTTGGCTAAAGGGAAGGTGACCTTGTTGCGAACCTAGCATGCTAATGCCGGTCGACTTGTTGACGGGCTCCGAGTCAAGGTATTTGTCTTCGATCTCGAATTGCAAAAATTTCACCACGCACTCTTCCTTCGTCCGGGTACCAACGTACTCCGCAACCTCGGCCCAATCCTCATCGTATCTCTCCATTGCTTCGAGAAGACGAAGAATCTCACCATCACTCCAAGGTGCATCTCGGTCTGGAATGGAGGAGTATGTAGGGTTCTCGAGTTTGGTGTAGAATGCTTGCTGGTGGTTTGCTGGCATCCGTCCCTCGGCGAAGCAGTTCGGACACAAATCATACTTCACTTTACCTGCGGCAGTGCCAGAATCGGCCTGCGAGTTGTGATGATGCACACGGGTACAGTCGATGCCGCAAGAGAAGCAATTGACCTTCGAAATGGACGGCTTGACGATGTCTTCAAGAGCCTTCGTGGTTGATTCAGAAGTGCCATTTGTGGTAGCAGCCTCTCCGTTGGTTTGCTTTTCCGGCGACTTGGCGGTAATCTTGCTTTCCTTCGCTGATGCCTCGTAGATGTTCCGTCCAACCTCCAGATTTAAATTGGCCTTGGGAGCATTGCCAGCTACAGCTTTAGCATCAGTGTCCGCATTCTTCTTTCCCTCAATGACCACTGGGTCTGCTGCTGGTTGCCAGGGTTGAAGGCCTCGAGGAGTATCACAGATAACCTTGAAATGTCCTGTGAAGGGAGGACCAACACTCGAGGGTCGCGCATCAGCATCAACCTATCACTTTTGTTAGTCAAATCCTTGCAGCACATAAACAGTCAACACACTTGATAGTTTATCAAACCCCATTGCTCTAAGAAAGCATGTACACGCATGATTGCGCAAACATCCCCAGCCAGGTTTCTCCTACAAGCGGTGACGGTCAAATATTCGATTGGATTGAGACGATACGTGTTAATCATAAAGTCTCTGTAATCCTTATAGACAGCTGGGGTTTTGCTTCGATTTCGATTGTTGAAAAATTCGGGCAGTGCTTTTCTTTCAATGCTGTTGATTTTGTTCATATCAAACCAGGTACTATAACTCGGGAGGATGATTGAGTGTGATTGGGAAATTAGGTGTTCCCGTGCTGAGGATTCGATGGATGTCTTCGACTTCTCGACCTGGCCGTCAGCCGTACCATTCTCTCCTCCATCTTCCCCCTGAGCACCTTCTTGAATTGGCTTAACATCATCTTGGGCATCTCTCATTTCTTCATCTTTGTCATCTCCTTCGCGTCGAGGTGCATCTGGTGCATCAAGGGGATTGTCAGAGACAACAGCTGGTGTGGATGTGGAGGTGTCATTTTTGATCGATGGCTCCGCAACATTATCTGCAGCGACTTCAGCCATAGCAACATCAGAAGCTGGGTTTGGTTAGTGGTCTTAAGGGTATGCAGATGTTGAAATTCACTTACCCTCACCACCCTCCTGGCCTGAAGCTCCCTCCTGAGTCAAAGGGGAGCCATCTTCCCCTTGCAGCGGCGGTTGCGCAAGAATGGAATTACTGCCTGGGGTAGCGCCAGCAGCGTCAGAGCCGAAGTTCAACGAATCGTCATCCATATCTAAAGTGTTGCCTTGCTTAAGGAATTCGTGTTGTCGCAAAGAGTCCCAGATCGACAGAATTCCGTCCGTCTGGAGCTGGTGCCCTCAAGATCCCAAATGTCACCGAAAGTTATCGCATCCGTCACAAAAGTATCAAGAAATCGTTATGCGACTATTCTTCAATCACTGTCAGTCGCAATGTTGATGATTTCGTCGCGTTTGGCGGTTGTTGGATTTCTTTTCTTGAGTTTGTCAATCGCGACTTCTCGACGCGAAAGACGAAGCTGAACAATAAAGTTTGTGCCTGATTAGTGCCTAAGGCGGCAAGATGCAAGAGCAACCAACCCTGTCACCGCAGCCGCAGCAGCCCGCTTTGCCTCGGATAGAATTTAAAGAATTAACCCAGCCTTTCTGGGCCATTGCTCCCTTCAACTTCTCAAACCAGCTTTCAAGATGATTTCAAGGGCCGGCCTCTCTGTTGTATGCCAGGCGCGAATCCAATTGAGATCAAGGCCTAGGCCTGTTGCCTCTCTCTCAGCACTTGCTCGATTATTATCTTCTCTGGCAGTGCTAGAACAAAGGGATGGCAAACTCAACCATGGCTCGCTCGGTGCGGTGACTGCAGCCAAAGAGTTAGGGGGGTCAATCACTGGCTTTGTGGCAGGTGGAAATGTTAAGGCAGTAGCAGAGGAGGCTGCGAAAGTCAACGGAATTGAGAAGGTCATCGCAGTCAACAATGCAGCTTATGACAAGGCAAGTTCTTGACTCCTGAGGTTTCTCTAATGTATCCTGACATTTCAGTCAGGGGCTGCCAGAGAACTTTGCTCCTCTGTTAGTTGAGAACATCAAGAAGGGCGGGTACACACACATCATTGCTGGCCACACTGCGTTTGGAAAGAGCTTAATGCCCCGCGTTGCCGCATTACTGGACGTGCAACAAATATCGGACATTACCGCCATTAAGGATGAGAAGACATTTGTTCGCCCAATTTATGCAGGAAATGCAATTGCCACGGTCGAGTCATCAGACAACATCAAGATCATCACAATTAGAGGAACTGCATTTGCACCAGCGGAGGCAGAGGGAGGATCAGCATCGATCGAAGATGGGCTAGATCCCAAGGCAGAGTGTAATACGGAGTGGGTATCAGAAAACCTCGCAAAGTCAGATAGACCTGACTTGGCAACGGCTGGCAAGGTCGTTTCTGGCGGTCGAGGTCTGAAGTCGAAGGAGGAATTTGACCGAATAATGCTACCCTTGGCAGACGCTTTGGGAGCTGCAGTTGGAGCATCAAGAGCAGCTGTGGACAGCGGATATGCAGACAACAGTTTACAAGTTGGCCAAACTGGAAAGGTTGTGGCACCACAGCTATACCTTTGTGCAGGTATCTCAGGAGCCATTCAACATTTGGCAGGAATGAAGGACAGCAAGGTCATTGCAGCAATCAACAAGGACGCTGATGCACCAATCTTCCAAGTCGCAGATGTTGGACTTGTTGGAGATTTGTTTGATAAAGTCCCTGAGCTTACTGAGAAGCTCAATAAACAGTAATGTACATATATTATGACACTAGATTCCCTTGTTCAGTCGAGGACCGCCAGCATGTCTTCCACCTTGGTGAACTTTTCCCGCCCCTTGCCTTTCTTCTGCCCTACGGACTTTTCTACCTCATCTATTTTCTTCCAATCCTGCCAGCTCACCCTCCTGCAGCCCCTCGTTTCAGCATCCTCCTTCACTCCCTCCCAACCAAGACCACTTCCCTTCCCCTCATTGAGGAACGGGAGATGGCCATACCAATCCATTCTGATTGATTCTGCAGTTGAAAAGGCGTCATCCATCGTACTAGCAATAACACCAGTCGGCCCTCTCTTCACCCACCCAGCACAATACATTCCAGGAATGAACTGTGCTGTGCCGGAGTCTGACCAGCCTTCATTATCATTGATAACTCGGCCCAAATGATCATTCGGAATAACTCCAAGTCGATCATCAAACGGAATCCCCAGCTCAGAAAATCCTGGAAGTGCTTCAGACTTATAACCTATTGAGCGGAAAGCCAGGGACGCAGAAACATCAGTTATATCACGCGTGGCCTTTGCTTTTGCCTTCAAATCGAAGGGGTTAGGGTCGAGCCTCGTCCTTGCAAACGAGACGCTACCTATCTGACTCGGTGAGGCCCCGCTTGGGTTGAAAGCCGATGGTGATAGACAGAAGTCTAGGGACCAAGACTTCGGTGCTGTTGAGACGGAAGCAGTGGACCCCTTTTGCAAGACTTCCATGATCCGTCGAGTAGGCCGGGGAAGACTTTTGATATCTGCAGGTATCAGACATTCATTTACAGGACGAAATGCCACGGGGGGTATCTTCATGAGTTCTCGGACTTCCTTGATTGTGAATGCAGCCTAAAGGGGGATTTAGTGTCGAAGGCCAAGAGAAGATGCTCTCAACACAAACCTGCAGCGGCCCTCTCCTTCCCACAACCCTCACTCTCTTGACTTTGCTCTTCTGTAAAATCTCTATTGCACTTTCAGTAATGTCGGTAGACCGTAGGATATCTGGGTCCTGGAGTAATATCCTAGCCACGTCAAGAGCAACATTTCCTTGACCAATGACTACTGCTTCTTCTCCCTGTGTAAGGTCTGGCGCAAGATCGGAATATTCAGGGAGGCCATTGTACCACCCAACAAAAGCTCGAGCAGAGTATATGCCTCTCAAACTATCCTCTCCCGGTATGCCCAATGTTCGGTCTCGAGATGCCCCATAGGCAAATAAAATCGCATCATAATGTGGCAGAAGAGTTCGCAGAGGCAATGCTGCATCGTGGTCTCCAATTGATATATTTCCCACAAAGTTAAATCCTGGGGATTCCGCGACTTCTTCGAATTTGTCCTGGCAGTTCTGGACTTTGCGTTAATCTCAGAGTCGGGTCTCGGGAGAACCAAAACTTACCTTCACTTCAGGATGGTCCGGAGCAACACCAAATCGTACCAATCCAAATGGCACTGGCAGATGCTCATACATATCCACCACCGAGTTCTCAATTTTGGACATCACCTTGTATGCAGTGTAAAATCCTGCAGGTCCGGAGCCGATGACCGCCATTCGAAAGGGCCTCCCATCATGAGCTCGCGGTTTCTCTGTATATGCTCTTCGTTGTCTAGTGGCATTCGTCCGAGGTAGTCCTCGACTTCTCCGTATCAAAGCCGTCGTACATCGCTTGCAAATCCAAGGTCCTGCAATGCCGTTCATTTTCTTGTTCTCGCAACGTCATTTCAACTTTTTCGGATATCTTTATCGCGAATCCTGATAAAGCCCGTTGCCATGGCGACGGAGCTTGTCCCGCTTGTTGACCTCAGCGTTCCCTGAAACATCTCCGGCTCCACTGTTAATAGCTAACACCTCCACATTCCTCGTCGCATTCCATTGCTGAGCTCTTTGCCCATTGACCAGTTAATCCTCTCCTCTGCGAAAATGGGTGTTCAGCCTCCTTACATTTATGATCCGGTCAAGTCGGATGGACCAAGAAGTCCATACAAGGAGTTCGATCCCAAAGCTGTGACTCGCGAAAGCCAGACACCCAAACCCCGCCGCCAGAAGCCAGAAGGCCCTTTGGTTTCTTTCAGCCAGTATCCTGAGTAGGTGTTTGAGTTCGCGTATCAGAATTATGCTAACATTGGCACGTAGTTCCTACCTAATTCTACCATATGGAAATTCGAATGTAAAGCCAATGAGCGCCTTGGTGAAGAAGTGGGTGAAATGGATGAGGAAAGTCCAATTGGTTTTGAGATGCTTCGAACTATTGTGTGCAGTTGGGCTGCTGGTTGTATTGATCCTTATCAAAGGAATTGACGCAACTACTGGTTGGATCATGAGGATAGTAGTGAGTAACTCGGAGATTTAAGAAAAAGTCCAAATACTAACACTTAACAGCCCGGTGTCGCCATCCTACACACGGTCTACGGAATATATCATTTGGCACGGAAGGCATCAGGCAGACCTCCAGGATCCTCGGCGTCATACATGGTATTTGCCGCGTTCTTCGATGTTTCCATCTTAGCCCTCTATGCCTTCAGCGCCTTGTTCGCCAAGTCGAAGAATGTCAACTGGACCTCCATACTTCAAAATGGAGACATCACCACCTTTGAGCATGCAGTCTTCCTTCTCGCAGCCGTTGGAGCTGGTCTCCATTCCATTTCCCTGGCAGTCTCCCTCTATCTCGCCGTCACTTTCCATAAGATCGCAAGCATGCCACCGGATATGAATCCCCTGGAAGATAACCTCACCTCCCGCCACAAACGTAATAAGTCCTCTATATCTATGGCCACAACGGTGTTATCTGAGAAAGAGAAAGGACTTTCCATGCCCCTAGAAAGTAGTCACAGTTCCGGAACGATGTACGAAGACCTATCTCGCCCACCAACCATCCCATTCTTCAACACAAGAGCTCAATCTACCACCTCCTTGTCAACCTACAAATCCACACCACCACCATCTCGAGATGCAAGACTTGACTTACCAAGCAGACAATACCAAATCCCGCGCTCGGACTCAAACCGCTCTTCCATGGCTTCAGTATCAGATCTAAAACGCAACTCGGGCAATTCCTTCTCACCAATGAAACGATCAAACCCCTCCTACACCGTGGTCCCCCTTAGCGAGTATGAAGCCAATATCCAAGTCCGTGAATTAAACATGCAAGGCACTCGACCATCAACTCGCATGTCGGGAACGAGCGAAGCCTGGTTTGCCAACGACTCAGCTCCCATCCTCTCTTCTCCCCGAATTCGTAGCTCTCCCCGAAAGACACCAGGGAAATACACACCCCTTCACCAGCGCCGCGACTCAGGAGACGAACTCTCTTTTGGATTGCCGCATCCGCTCGAAGCAAACCCAACTACGCCTCGTCACATGCTGGAGCCTACTCCTCCTTCCCCGGTCTCCCCATTGTCCGAGATCAGCGCAAACACCAATAACAACAACAACAATGTTCCAACCAAGCACCTCAACAGCTACAAGAACCATACCTATCAAACATACAAAGGCGCCGCCGAAGACCGTGATATCGCAGATATGACCTACGAACCAGAGCCCGCTCGCGAGACTTTCAAGGCTAAGTATTATGGCGAATTGAAGCCGGGTATTCCACCGATTATGATTGGGAAGAACAGCCGACAGATTTCGTCTGGGAATGATTTCGGCGAGAGCGGGAGTAGATTGCGGGATGTGAGTGGCAAGATTGCAGAGGAGGGACGAGGCGGCGGCGATGCAAAGACTTGGGGGACGAGATTCAGGAAGATTAGTGGATTGTGAAAGGAGAGCGTCCCCGGATGTGAACGAATTGTTTTGAAATTTTCTGAGTTCTTGTTTGGATTTGATTTTAAAATTGGTTTTTTGGCGTAGATGGAACAGAAAGGGAGAAATGGACTAGCTAGGGTTGGGTATCTCAGCGGTGTAATGGACTTTGTACAAATATTGAATCAACTGGAACTGGAAATCGATGCCTTGACCGCTGTTTTAGTCCTCTATCTCTTCTCCTCCCACAAGAGTCTCTTCATCATCCAAAAGTGCTGGTGTACCAGGGTCGCCCCTATTTAATCTAACATAAGCTGCCCAATCCGTGGCCCTAGGATTTTCACCATCAGGCTCGAGACCTTCTTTCCAGCCAAGTTCGTCCCAGGCACCTAAGCCACATAGATGTCTCATTGTAGGTCGGCCGTGAGGACAGTTCCATGGTTTATCAAGTTCCCCCAGGTGCCTGACGGCTTTGCCCATTTGCTTGTGCGTCAAAGTCTTGCCAATCATGATGCTACTCCTACAAGCTCTCATCGCAAACATCTTTCTGACTTTTGACGGCCGAGGGACACTCCCAGGAGGATGATCGGCCAACAGAGCTATCAACTCCGCGAGGTCGTTCAATGAGAATGTTGTTTCTCGGCTCGTCGGGAGACTGATGACTTGGCATCGTTGCCCAACCGGTGCTTCGCTAGACTCATCAACCTTGATAATGAAGCCGTTCGTCTCGAGTGCCGGGAGATTCTCCATGACGATCTCTTCTTCAAGGGCCGTAAGATCAAGAGTTTTAGGCTGGACCAATGGTTGAGACTGGACAATCGTCGTAGCATAGAGACGCTCAAAGTTGTATTTCTCATCCGATGCATGCTGATCGATGATGAATAAATCATCTGCAGCCACCGGTCCATCGTCAGACTCCGAAGCACGAGATGCGAGGATGAAACCAAGATTGAATTGACCGATGATTCTCATCCTGGCAAAATCAGTTTTGGAGATTGTCAACGACAGTTTCTCTTCTGCTTGCTCCGAATCTAAGGCTTCGTCCTCGGGTTTCTCACCAGGCGATGTTTGATATGCCGTGAGTCTGTCTTCAAGAGCCCTAAATTGCTCACCGATTTTCAAAGCACTTGTCGATATGGACTTAACCAGATCCAAAGTCGCATCTTTCTTCTTTGATCCACCTTTGAGCATGATCTTGGCCTTCTGTGCGTTCTCTTGTGATGGAGTAGCGCCGGCCGTCTCTGCGTCATGAATCATCTCTTGGACCTTGGCGTCCTCTTGAGCTTTCTTCTGATCTTCATCCAGATACTCGCCATCCCCCTCGATTCTGGGAAGGATAGTAGAAGAATCCATTTCCTCTTCCTCCTCCTTTATGACGGGTGCCGTCGATTGCATGGCGATGTCTTCCGCCTCCTCCAGCTCCTCCAGCTCCCCCTCGGCTGTGTTTTCAGGTGAGCATTCCAACAGGGGCGGAGGGGGAGGCGCTTCTATTACTTCCTCTTCGATTTCATCCTCTTCGGGATCAGACTGTAGAGCTGTTCCTGGTGCAGCAAATCGCTGGCTGAGAGTTTTCCCGAATGAGGGCAGTGTTGAACCCGGAGCTTGTGATGGACGCTTATTGCGGGATGTGCTTAGAAGACTCTCAATCCTCGCCCGTTTGGGACACGGAGTACCAATAGAAGTAGTTACCGTGTGATCTCCGATGGTAATTGTTGCAATTTCAGCAGGTGCTCGATACGATCTTGCGGTACTAGAAAACCTGTCGGCAATAGAGGGGGTCCCTTTCGCAGGAGATTGAAGAGCGGGTATTGGAGTCTCACGCTCAACGGAACTGGGGCTGTCATCGGAGACATTCTGAGGTCTATCCTGCTCAGGAGCTTGCGCACTGAAGTCAGGAACGGGAACAGGGGGGTTGTGTGAAGGCGTGAATGCGGTTGACTGGCTGGTGGCGACAGAGCTATCCGGATCTTCGGAAGGATCCCTCACAAGCTGTTCACTCTCCCTTCCAAGTTTTGCAATAAGTTTTTGCTTCTCTTTCGACAAGCTTTCGGGAGCTTCATTGTTCTTCTCGCATTTGGAGCCTGGATTCGTTTGATCCGCACGGTCTTCTGTTTTCTTACCGAGCCAGTTGGAAATGAGACTGACAGATTCATGGTCTTTGCTTATGGACTCCCTGGAAACGGATCCGCTCCTGGCTTCAATAGAGACGGCACTGCGACTGAACTTAGGGTTATAAGGTTTTCGTTGGCCCTCGTCATCAGTGCTTTGCTCCATTCTCGAAGACCGGGATATATCTTCGGAATCCTCTCCTTCGGTAGATTCAGCTGGAGTCTCTGGATGTGGAGTTTTTGATTGCCCCGCATTGGCATAGCTGATTAATGGAGTCTTTGGCTGTGCTGTATCCTCACGGGTAATTGTAAGCTGCTTGTATGATGGTTGCTTCTGTGCAGGCAGCTGGGAAATCGGTACTCTGTAGTCTTGAGACTCAAAGAGCTCCGTCAGAGCTACTTTTAGGTTCTCCAGCATGCGATTCTGGTCGTGTAGCAGAATAGTCCGCTTGTCTGGACTGACATTAACATCATATAGATGAGTGTCTAACTCAATGTTGGCGAAGATAAATGGTGATTGGGAGCCATTGTAGGCCTTGTAGACCTCGTTGAACGCTTTTGACACCTGTGGAAGACCACAAGGCCTGGAGTTGACGAAGAACATCTGCCTGTCTGGAGTCTGACGACCTTCACCAGAAGCCGGGCGTGATATGTGTCCCAAAATTCGGATGTCCTTCTTCCCTCCAACTTCTTGAGTGCTCCATCTTTGGCTGGGACCACTGGTGGGTTCCAATTCCAGATTCAAATCCAGAGTTATCAAGGCCGTGAGCGTCTTGGCTCCAAAGACATTGACAATATTCTCCCTGGTAGATTGATTTCCCTTGGTAGAGAAGAGGGTGGTCTTTTTCCCCTTGCTGGCCTGCTGGCTGACGGAGAACTTGATGCCCGTTTGGATGCAGGCATATTGACCCAAAACTCCGACAACCCGGTTCCACTCCCTCTTGATATTTCGCTGCAGTTCTTGTCTTCGCACTGGGAGGTTATTGAAGAGATTTTCGACTATGACAGTGGTTCCCTTCTGTGCCGCCACCACGCTCGTTTCTTTCAGCTTCCCCGACACCTCGAATTCGAGCTTAGTGCCCTTCGGCGCATCTTGTGCCTGACATGTTATGACCGAGAAATGCGAGAGTGCGCAGAGCGAGGATAGAGCTTCACCACGGAAACCGAAGGTTTGGAGAGTTGTGAGGTCGGAGTAGGTCGAGAGCTTGGAAGTATGGTGCTTGAGAGCGAGCGTCTCATAGTTTTGCGGGGAGATGCCGTCGCCATTATCTTGTACTTCTATAGACTCAAGTCCCTGGTTCTTGAATCGTACGTCTGCACATACTGCGTCAGAATGAGCCGATTTTGCGGTTGCTGGGCCATACCAATGCTCGTCGCTCCTGCATCTAGACTGTTCTCTACCAGCTCCTTCACAACGGAACACAAATCGACAATGACCTGGCCAGATTGGATTTGATGAACCTACAGATTTATTAGTTATGTGTCAACTCATTAGAAGCGTCTTGACTTACCGACCGGCCCTCTATGGGCTTTATGGTGGCCATGGCATGGTTGCACGTTCGGAGGACGCGGTTGACGCGGCAGGATTTGGAGTGTTTCTTGACGCGATTGGCGCCTTCCTGGTTGCAACATTTCCACATCAGCAGGAAGCACCCATTTCTGGCCGGAGAAGAACTACTTCTTCGAGCCTTGCTTGACCCCTCTGCCTATTAGTGAACTCTTCGACAATATTCCCTTTCCCCCCTTCCATAGAGCTTGGCGCATACCCGCCTGGAGAGGGTCTCAGCGGTCCCGATTGAGACAAGAATCACGGAGAGCTCATTTTTGCGATTTGTTCAGACTCTTCATGAAAGCTTCTCATGGCCTGCAATCAAATGCTTTTGAAGCTCTTGAGCTATCGAATCCCACGCCGGAGCCTTGAACGCGATTCGACCAGGGCCATGTCGGAGCTTCAAACTAAACATCAGACAGAATCCTCATTTCGTAACTATTGCTCTATTTCTTCTGGGGAACAAGAAGTCCGTAATGCAGTTCGCCCTCTTTTCTCTCTCTGATTAACGCCATGCGAGAGTAACTTCATCGAACCCTTCATATCTCCCTCCCTTCATCAATTAGGTTCTTCGTATCTGCCTTCTCAATCCTACAATTACTATTCAAACACATCTTCTTCTTACTTGCTTGCTTCCCCTCCATCCTCCTCTTCTTAAAAAATCATGTAAAGCCAGCGCAAACATCCAACTTTCTCATCCTCACGCTGCTGATCCATCTTTCTTTCCCAATACTTTCCCTGTTCATCATCAGCACCCTTCGCTCCCTTCCTCTTCAATCTCAAAGCTAGCAAAGAGAATAAATCTTACCTGCCCCTTCAGTTCCATGCCCTTGAATCTATTCTGCATCTCCCTATCCAACCAGCTCGCAACCCCGTCCTCAAAGCCCAGCAACCGCAGCTCCCGCCTCAAGCTTCCCACATGAAGCAACAACCTCAGATACGCGCCATCGAACCAGATTTTACAGGTCGCTGCGTCGATGGGAGTCATCAAAGCCAACGATCTAATCGATCTGAAACTCGGCAGCGTACTCAATCCTCCTGCTGGCTTCTCTCTCTCCTTTCCCTTTCCCTTTCCGGCGGAGCTGTCGAATGAGTGGCCTTGACGTTGGTTTTGATTGTTGGGTGGGTACGTAGCCAGCAGAGCGCGAATATAAGACTTGACTTCTCCCTTCGTGGAGGTGATGGACGGGAATGGACAAGTCATCTTGGAAGAAGAAGGGGGTGTTGCTGGAGGCGTGGGGGCCGAGAGAAATGTTTGTCTTTCTGGATGGTAACGTGAGGCCATCGCGGCGTGGGAGCGGGAGTCGCGCATCTCTCCCGCGAGATGGAGATAAAGAGGTGGTGGTAGAAAGAACGGTGTTGTGGACGTGACGACGGACGTGTTTGTGAGGTAGCCACCGCTTGGTTCGAGTTTTCATAGCCTTTGGTTGATCAAACGATTACATCGCTCCAACTCCGCTTCGTGAATCGCCTCCTTGCTTTCGAAATCCTGACCTTCAACCCCGCAGCAGTTGCGATTCACCCAACGCGTTCCTCTGTCAGATAAAGATAAAGAAACCAGACATAAATATTTTCTGAAATGCACAACTATGTCTTGCATTACACCTCATCTCACATCTTCACACGTCCAAAAATAATACCGCAGGGGGCTCTCCCCTTCTCGGCTCGCGGAGCAGTGCTATAGGGCTGCTATCGTTTCAGGGCCCAGCACCCATTGGACGATCCAACGACCCAGAGATGCGGCTTATGTGGAAGTTTTGAGTGATCGACGTATACCGAGGGGTGGGATAGGAGCTTATTTCTTGTTCAAGGGGCGAGAGCCGGATGCATGAACTGTGTGGGGAAATGGAAATAGTACGAAGAACGCGAAATGGAATCCAAAAAGCAGAATCACAGAGAAATGTGTTCATTTATGAGCTCAGCAAGTAGCTCAGCCCAACTCCGAATCCATTTCCTCCCCATTTTCCTCCATGCATAACATCAGAATAACCGCGCATCATTCAGATGCCTCTTCCACCATCAACCTCCAAACAGGTACCGGTAATGAACTTTGCCTCATCACTGGCCAGAAACAGACAGTAGTTCGCTACATCAACGGGATCTGTCAAGCGTCCGAGTGGGACGTTGAACAGGAATTTCTTGAAGTTCTCTTCGGTGGGGGGGACGCCGGCGAAGGCTTCGAATCTGCTATTCGTTAATTGCTGGAGAGGAGGTGTGGAAAGAGGGCCTACAAGCCAGTTCCGCTCAAGAGAGGACAGACGGAGTTGATACGGATTTGCTTCTCGCCATATTCGGATGCCAGGCCTTTTGTTGCCTGTCTTCCGTCAGTTTCTCGTTCTGAGAGCTTTGATCTGGAGGGAAAGGGGGGGAACATACATTTGTAACAGCAGCCTTGCTAGCATTGTACCAGACGAGTCCTGGCCTCGGTCTGGTTGCGCCAATGGAAGCGATGTTGATGATTGAGCCACCTTCTCCTTGATTGATGAGATTTGGGATGAAGTGGCGGGCAGAATGGAAGATGGATTTTACGTTCACGGCGAAGACTTTGTCGAATTCGTCTTCGGTGACTTCTACCGTTGGCTGGGAATCTGTCAGCAATGCTCTTTGAATTTTGCTTTCTCGTTGTCCGAAAGATGAACGAATCGAAATGAAAAAGTTCAAGTAAGGGATTCACCTTGTTCTTGTAGCTTGTGCCAGCATTGTTGACTAAGATGTCCACTCGTCCCCACTTCGCCAGCGTGTTCTCCATCAATTGCTCCCAATCCTCTTCCCTGGCTACGTTTGTCTGGATGAAGTGCATAGAATGCGGATGGGTTGTATTTGCAACTCGCTCTCCTCCAACCGGACTAATTACAGTGTCAGAATCAATACCTTGAAGTTAAAAGTTCTCCAAAGGATTTTGCGCCGGTTTAGGCCAGAGATCAAAAGGACGAAGCCACTCAGGTGGTCACGGAACGTCTAATTGCAAAATGGAGGCGAAAAGGGGACTTTGACTTACTCCATATCTGCAACAATGACTTTTGCTCCTTCTTCCGCGAACCGCTTGCAAATTGCTTCTCCGAAGCCAGAGCCACCGCCTGTGACGATCGCTACCTTGCCTTGAAGGCGGGTGCCGAGGACTTTTTGTTCAGCGGCCATTTTTCTGATGCTGTATGAGTTGGAGATTAGGAGGTGGATTGGTCCTTTAAGGTGGAAACTTCTGAGAAAGAGGAAGGAACGACGGGGTTAAGTGGAAAAAGGGAGAGGATCAGGTGATATCCTCTCGGTGTCTGACGACGAAATGGGGTGAATCTGATTATGGGGCTTTCCATCTACCGAGTATTGCGAAGAAGAAAAAGCTTTGGAAGATGAGTTCAAGAAGGATATATGCTCGGAAATAAATAACGGGATCAGCCAAGAGAGAGGGGTTGCCGATGAGGGGTAACACGTGACCTATGCGGGGTTCAGAGTAAGTGCTTGTGTTGGCAATCCTTATACCCGAGTCTTTGAGGTTCTTCAAGATCATCCCTTGCTATGAATTGTAGAGAGATACTTGCGCTTCATGGTCGCTAAGGCTGGGCAGTTTAGCTCCTTCAACTCACCCTCAGGGTGAAATCTCAAGTGTGGACTCTGAAGAAATGGAAAGATCTCATCTTATCGGGATTTCCCCAGATCTCCACCTGATTTTTCTCAGGCCAATCAGAAAAAAACGATGTTTTGGCCAATTGGGTCCTGTTCAAATAAAACAAAGTTCGAGACTAGAAAGTAAGAAGTCCACGTGCTCGAAATCGTGGAAACGGTATCTTTTGGCTGCTAAGTAACTTGGCTGGGCGTCGTTTCTCGTGAGCCTTCTTTGCCAAGGGTTTGGTGCAGATGCGCCGTCCAGGACAGCACGCCACAAGCGCAATCGACGCACGTCTTACGCGGCTTCGTGTTTTGTTCTTCGTCGCATGTCACCGCAGAAGTCGTGGAATGGGTTGTTGAAGGTGTCAAATCTGCTTGATCTTAAGATAAGGCGAAAAGCTGGCACTATGCCGTGGATGAGAGAAGGGTATTCATGGTCGTAAACCCAGAAACTGTTCATCCTTCCATGGGTATTTCGCGGCCACATGAGTTCTCGATGACTTCTTATCTAAAAGCCACCCGCTCGTGTCATTGAAAGTTTATCCTTCGTAAATCGAGGCGAAGAAAGCAGTTGGGTGAAACCGCACGAATCAATCGAGCGCCATGGGCAGTGCAACGTCATGATAGGAGACCTCATGCAGGCCAAACGCCACTTCTCGGCGATGAATGGCGAATTGGCGATGAGATGGCCAAGGGCCATCCATCTCTCGAAAAGCCATTTCTCCCCAGCGCCAAGTCTCTCGTGAAGATTTCACGACGGATAAATGTCCAGGTGGTGGCCTAGGTGGTGGCCTGACTCGGGAAACACGAAGGAGTGGAACAAAGATGGGGGCAATGGATGCACTGCTGCAGCTGTATGGAGCATCTCGTAAGTACAAAGTTGGTATTCTTGGAAGTGTTCCATCTTCACAAGTCTTACCAGAGAGCTAGATTTGGCGCCAGTGCGGGGAACAAACACTGCTCTGGCAGTATCTTCCGCTTTTTGTGCCACAGAAGTCTTTTTCCAGGTTAGGTCGTTAGATGAAGCAATTTTATACCAAGCCTCTCGCGCCAAGCACGCCGAATGAAAATGCTGGCATCCCTGAACCTTCCCCAGCCTCCCAGGTTGACAAGCTTTTTGGGGGAACAGATGGAGATCGGCTACAGAGAGTGGTGAAAATACTTAAAAGCAGTTTGATACCAGCAGGCGGTCGCCCGGCCCCTCTTTCTCCATTGTTTCCACAGTGGATGCTGAACAGACGAAAGTGAAGCATTTGGACGTGAGCCTTGAGACGATAAGGGTCTTAGTGGGTCCGGCGACTGCTTCAAGAGGATCAAAACATGACGTTGATTCGTTGAATCAAAACGTTTCCCATGCATCTCGGTGGTCGGCAGCCTCTGTGCTGCATTGCTTGGCCACTCGGTGCCAGCCTTGTTCTCGCCAACATCACATACATCACACTACGGAAAGCTCCCTGCACTTGCAGCACCAGCTTTCGAAGCTCCAGAATTCCCTGATCATAACTTCATGTTCCCACATGTCACTCTGTACAGTACTCTCTCCAGCAAATGACAGCAAATGACAGCAAATGACAGCCGACGGGCGAATTGAAAGCAACACTCCAGCTCTTACTTAAGTCGAGTCAGGAACAACCCAGCAATCTACCAGACCGCTTCCTGATTCCGCCTGCAAATCGGTCTTGGAGCTCGCCAGAGCTTTGTGTTCAGTGGCCGAGTGACATGCTGCTTCTCCCCTGCATGCTGGTATAATTATCACCCGCACTATTACAGATGCTCCGAGCCTCTTGCTATGACAGCGGAGATCTCGACGCCGGGGGAAACTTTCCTCTTTTCTTTCCTTTTCTTTTCCTCTCTCTCACTCTCCAGCTCGAACCCACTGTCGCTACTTGTGTGTTGCACTCATTTGCTGAGATATCCGTAATTGATATATGTGTGTTTGCCGCTCAATTCTGCCCCGACTCCCTGAGCCTGCATGTGCGTGTGCGCTTGCACCTGCGCCTGCTTGAAACATTTGCACTGACAGTCGCCTGGCAAGAATCCGTACTGCTGCGTAATCTGGTGACAGGCTCGCCGCCGCCGTTCGAATTGTCGGTCGTTACAGCCTGCGAAGAGAGAGGGTGTTTGTGTTCCATTGGTATTCTATTATATGGTTGCTCCCTTCGGCCCGCTAGAACATTTGGGTGGCTGAAAACTCCAAGCTGCGTCGCGAGTCTCTCTCTCACCCGCGAACTTTTGTCCTCTCCAACAACGCCTTCCTGACAGCGATTGCATCGTCGCCACGGAGCAGGACAGTCGTGCAAGTCTTTTAGATGCGGATGCGATCGTCTGGATCCGCCGCAGAGGAAGAAGGCGTTGATTCAGATTCGAATGCCGACGTGATCACATCCTCCAACGAAGCAGGGGGCAGCTCCAAATCCGACGAGTCGACATCGAAGACAGAGTCCAGGAATCTTCAGACGACCGCACGACCTTCGACGACGCAACCCACCTCGCACGAGCTCGACCGCCGGAAAAGCACCGACAAGAAGGCCTCGACCGCCAGAATCCGACGTCCAAGCAATACCAACTGGAAATTGACAGAATCGCGAAATGGCCACTTAGAAAAGAATCGACCTGCAGATCTGGATATCATCAGTGTGCCCTCGAAAGAGGCCATTGCCGCCGATAAGATGCCCGATTCCCGCCCAAATGCTCGCCGATCGAGACTGCGGAGTCCGTGGTCCTGTTCCCCCCTCACGCTCGTTACTACCTTGTTAGGCATGCTCTCTCTGACATCCATATTACACTCGTTTGTTAGTCGACAGTTGGATACAAAGGGATGTCGCATGTCATATATGAGACCTTCATTTGCGAAGCTCACTGACTTTGATACGGAGCACACACGTTTTGCAAGCAAATATTCCGTTTATCTCTACCGGGAGGGGATGGTGGACGAAGACACGAAGGTATGGAATTGCAACTGTTAGAGGTATTAATACTGACCAAACCTCTAGGTCAAAGGTGTTCCTGTTCTCTTCATCCCTGGAAATGCTGGCAGTTACAAGCAGGTTCGACCTATCGCCGCGGAGGGGGCGACTTATTTCCACGATGTTTTGCGGCATGACCAGGCTGCAATTGCCGCAGGAGCTCGAAATCTAGATTTCTTCACCGTTGACTTCAACGAGGATATCACTGCTTTTCATGGACAAACATTGCTAGACCAGGCAGAATATTTGAACGAAGCGATTGCGTACATATTGTCATTGTATCATGACCCGCGAAGGTCTGAACGAGACCCTGATCTTCCGGATCCTACTTCAGTAATAATATTGGGGCATTCAATGGGAGGAATAGTTGCCAGGACGATGCTGGTAATGCCCAATTACCAGTCGAACTCGATCAACACGATTATTACCATGTCGGCTCCTCATGCACGACCACCGGTTTCTTTTGACGCCGAGATTGTCAGAACATACAAGCAAATCAACGACTATTGGAGGCAGGCATATTCGCAGAAGTGGGCGAACAACAATCCATTATGGCATGTCACATTGATATCAATAGCAGGAGGGGGTCTCGATACTGTGGTTCCCTCTGACTACGCGAGTCTGGAATCACTGGTCCCTGATACACATGGCTTCACAGTCTTCACTTCGTCTGTGCCAAACGTCTGGACCGGTATGGACCACCAGGCCATTCTCTGGTGTGACCAATTTCGGAAAGTTGTTGTCCGATCCCTATACGACGTAATCGATGTCAACAGGCCCGCTCAGACAAAACCAAGGGCAGACCGGATGAGAGTCTTCAAGAAGTGGTACTTGACCGGGATGGAAAATACTGCAGAAAAGACTCTCTCCGAGAAGGAGCCAACAACCCTCCTCACGCTCGAAGAAAATTCGAACTCGATCATTGCCCAGGGAGAAAGACTAACGCTGAGGAAGTTTGGGCAGAATCACAAGCCTCGTGCCCATCTTCTACCTATTCCACCACAAGGAACACCCGGCGGGAAAAGGTTTACTCTTTTGACGGATCAAAAACTCGACAAGTCAGGCGACTCGGGGAAGTTGGAGGTCCTGTTCTGCAGTGTTTTCCCTCTTCACCCAGGACAATCAGCAACACTGTTTTCAATGAGCATGGACTTATCCGGAGATAGTCTAGGGTCTACCAGATTGGCATGCAAGAACGCTGCTTCGGATGTGATTGTGCTACCAGCCTCAACAAGAACCACCAAGAAACCGTTCTACCTGGATGAAGAAGAAGAACTTGTGCCATTTTCTTACCTTCAATATGATTTGGAAGATATACTGGACCATCAGTTTGTTGCCATTGTCGATAAAGCGGTTGATCCTACCCCTGGCTGGGTTATTGCAGAATTCAATGATAACGTGCGGTCACACCGAGTTCGATCCCTGAGTCTCCGACGTCTCCTGGCTTTCGGAATGGGGATCAAGCTGCCCCCGACCCGGCCAATGGTTACGGAAGTGAAGATTCCGTCTTTGCACTCGAGCTTGCTAGCGTACAACCTCGAGATGGGTGGCCAAACCTGTGGGGATGATGCACAACTATTCACACCTTTACTCCGACAATATATCTCTGAGCCATACGAGTCGAAGTACTTTGTGAACGTCAAGCAAGCGAGCATCAACCTTCATGGCGTCTCACCCTTCATGCCTCCCGCACTCAAGTACAAGAGTATTCAGGACGGGTTGAGCCTCCAATTCTGGACCGACCCTACCTGCAACTCCAGTGTCAAGATATCCCTGAAAGTGGATGTTCCTGGGAGTCTAGGGAAATTGTATATGCGGTACAGGACAGTCTTCGCTGCCTTCCCACTGCTTGTTGTTGCTTTGGTCCTTAGAAAGCAGTTTCGTGTATATGACGAGACAGGAATCTTCATGTCCTTCTCTGAAAGCTTGGACATGTGCTTACGACAATCTTTGCCTCTTGTCCTTGGTGCTCTGACTTGCCTGTCCGTGTCATTAGCTCAAGCAAGCGCAGTACCCCCTTACTCTTCATCTACTGGGTTTTGGGGTTGGGGTGGCAACGTAACAGAAACGCAGATCGACTTCACGAAGAACGATCTCCTGGTTGGCTCACAAGATCCTTTCTTTTGGTTCATGGTGCCGCTTATTGGACTGGTTTGCGTTGGGGCTTGTGTGCTGGTAAATTATGCAGCACTTGCAATCACACACCTGTTCAGTATTCTGTACTCGTTCTTGAGCGTTAAACCTGCCTGGCTTCGAAATGAGGACAAGCGAAGAGCAATGTCTCCTGCATTTGCACCATCAACACCTCGGCGACGTATCTTGACTACCGCAATGCTCTTGTTCCTTGTTTCGACTGTCATACCTTACCAATTCGCCTACCTGGTTGCATGTCTTGTCCAAATAGCCACTTGTGCACGCGCTCTTCGATTCGCCAGAGAGGCCCGTTCGAACACCAACTACAACTTTTACAACTACGTCCACTCGATTCTCATTCTCATGCTATGGATTCTCCCGATTAATCTTCCCATTCTCGTCGTCTGGGTACACAATCTGGCCGTTCACTGGCTCACCCCATTTTCTTCTCACCACAATGTCCTCTCCATCATGCCTTTTATCCTCCTCGTTGAGACCTTGACCAGTGGCAAAATGGTACCCAGAGTGACATCTCGCCTTCGCCACTTCACCAGTGTCTTCTTCTTCTGTATCGCCATCTATGCTGCCGTCTATGGAGTCACGTACGCCTACATGCTCCATTACCTCGTCAACTTCGTGGCAGCTTGGCTAGTGGCAATCCACTCTTCCACTTCCACTTGGACACTGTCTGGCCTTAGCACGATGTTTGAAGGGGAGAGCACCGACATACGGAAACGAGGGAAGACACCTTGAACAAAACCCGTCATCCTGTAGCATCCACCGATATACGATTGAACGATTCGATGCAGCATTATCTTCTAATACACCGCTAGACTTCCATTCTCTGTCGAATTCATTCATCATACTTCATTTACCGGCGTTCGCATTCGCCTTCAAGGCGCGGTTTCACACTCTTGCGTCATGCAAGAGCTCTATAGACTTTTCATGAGTGTGGGAATCGAGATGTATTTTGCCGCACGCTGTACATAAGGGTTTGGACTGTCAAACTCTGAGTTCTGCACGCTTGCATATTGTACCTGCGGCTAGCATAGCGCTGGCCGTTTGTAGCTTCTCACTTCTGCGGTTGAGAAGCATCGCATAATCATCTCGGCAGGTTTGAGGGCCTGCCGGGGCGACATATTTAATGTCTATACCTCTTGGAGGTGAGTGGGAGGGAAAGAGGCGGGATCTAATTCGACATGATGAAAGAGGCTGAGTTTTGTATACTTCATGATTGACGGATGGAATAAAGGAAAGAAGGGCAGGTCTTGGAGGCTGGTTCCGTTTCATTGCTTTTCCTGGCTGGGCTGGCTGGAGTTCAGGCATGCTGCTTCCTAGATTGCGTGCGTGCTGGATACTTTGCGAGAGACGGAGCAGCAAAGGAAATGGTAGGATCAGAGAAAGAGCAGAGAATGCTCCCTTGCTTGAATATAGAATCGAGAAAGGTTGTTCATACATACGATCGATAAGAAAACATTCCCATAGCCGTGTGCTTCTGGATCGAGTGAAGCACACCAGTCATTGTTCTGAAGGATTTTAGGATAATGAATTTGAAAGGTTGGAAGGTGCGTCACACAGACTCATGTCATCTGAGCAGTAACGCAACTATTGTTCAAGGCACGGACCACGTCAGAAAACAACACCCACTACCTCCTTCTACTATGAAGCACTTCCCTTTGTGTCATTTGCTCACATGCTTCCTCTTCAGAGTCAGAGACGCTCCTGCTCTGCAAGCCAGCAACGCAACGGTGGCCATCGCCTCAGGAGCCATGAACGGATCCCTCGCACCCGTCTTCTCAGCACCCTCACCTCCAAGGACCCAGATTTGGCCCCTGGATGGCCACGGCTCGGGACGAAGCTGGTTTAGAGTTAGTTGATCAAGGGGGCACAAATCGGACCCGGGGGCCAACAATAGATCTAGGTGAGGTCGACTATGTTTGTAGGGTGTAGGATGTTATTTTGGACTTGCAGGGCTGCTGACTGTTCCAGATCCGGGTAATCCCCTTTGGCATCAAGAACGAGACGGTGAGACTGATTGCGAAACTTCGAGGAGTCAGAATCACCAGGTGCAAGGATTGCGACCTAAACAACTGCTTTTGAGCAAAGCTTTGATTTCTCAATACCGCGAATTGGACACCGAGTGGAAAAGTCTTCCAGAGCGAGCTCTACATTTGATGTCTCAGCCCAGGTTAAAATAACCACGACGCTGATTGGCGGGGATCTGCAACCACACGACACGGCACGCCCGTACTATTTTTGGAAGTTAGCCACAATGCGCCTTCACATCACTCCTTAAAACTTTCTCCTTTATCTGTCTACAATCATTATTCCGCAAGACTACGGCATGTCAGGAAATCCGACTCTTTCTCCTACTTGCTCATTAGATATTCGAATATTTACGCCAGCAACATCACCGATCACGAACGAGTCCAATACGGCACAAACCACCCAACCCTCTCCTTCTTTGAGAGATCTATATCAAACCCAAGGCAGCAAGAAGGACGGTCCCACGACCCTCGAAGAAAGAGATGTTAAGCCCTATACCATAGGAGAGCCTCTCATCACGATAACCCGGCGACTGCCAAAACTCAGCTTAGATATTCCTCTAGCTGTGTTGAGTCTACGAGACTACGATGCTGGCGATACCACGACGCCTCCTCTCAGTCCGGAATCCGACTCACCAGGAAGCACGACGGAAAGTAAAACTCGCCAAGGACATCTAAAGCATGCTTTACGCTCCCTGGCAGGAGTTTCTCGTCGCCCGAAACTCGCGCTCAATATCCCGTCCTATCCGTCCAGAGCAATTCGATCGCCAGATGCCGGAGAAACTACAACACCACCTCTCAGCCCTCGATACCATCCCGAGACAGCCCAATGCCTCAGTGCTCACGAAGACGGTCGCTTCAAACTCACGAGAAGATCTTTGAATTCCAGACCCGGCCGGAAACCTACGCTAATTAACCTTCATCCGTATATCCAAGCTCTCATCATCCACTATTTGGCGAAAGACGAGTGGTTGGATAAATACTCGTTGAGAGCAACGTGCCGACGTTTCTCAGCTCTCATCGGACCTCCACGCCCTGATGGATTCGACCGGCACCAATGGTCCAACCTCACAGGCTCCTTCTTGTCCTGCAAGGACTGTCTGAGACTTCGATCCCGAACCGAATTCGTAGATGTCATGCGCGACGGCAAGTTTCGTCCAGGAGGGAGCGCTGCGAGAGGGAGATACTGCATTGATTGCGGCTTGAAAGAACAATTTCTGGCTGGAAGGAGAATACCGCCGAGGCTGAAGAAGAGAACGAGGTTAAAGGTTGATTGCGTCGAATTTGTGGTTTGCTATTATTGTGGGGAGTTTGGGCAAGCACCTAATAAAGAGGAGACAAGGTTTATGGATTGTTGTCGGCAGTGCCTTGTCGATGGCAGCAGATGGATGGGAGGGTTGAAGGATGGTACGATTCTGAGAACGGCATCTCTATCGAGGAGGAAATGGGGCCTTGAGAAATTGTTAGATGGGTCACCGGTTGTTGTTCCTAGTGATGGGGAATGAATTGCATACTTGCATTTGGCACTGGAGTTTTTGGTATGACGATATGATTTATGTGAGTTCTAAATTTATTTTCTCTCTCTTGTCGAACCATGTTTCTTTTCTATTTTGCGTGAGATGCCGAGGGCGTTTCAACAAGTGGAGAAGTTTCTCAGCGCAGGCAAGGGTCGATCAGGCGTGTACCATGAAAGCGGTCCCGAAATGCCACCTGCCAATACAATGACCAGAAAACCTGGAACATTGTGTACGGGCCTTGAGCGAGACATGCTACTTCGAACTTAGAAGAACTTCCCCTCTTTATTTCTTCCAAAATAAGAAGAACTCAGCACTTGCCAGAAATTGTGAAATGCAATGAAAGGGGGAGGTTTCTCTTCGTTGCACATCTCACTTTAAGCGAGACTACACTTCCTCGAAGTTAGGGGTCCTTCCCCTTTCTGTTACAACTCTACCATATCTTGATGCCTCAAAGACCATTACTGCCCAACGAGTTCGGCTTGAGGCCTGAGATGCGAATTATAATGGCTATTGTCATATGACAATACCATCATTGGATATTCCCTTACAGATGCCCGCGAATCGAGCGCAAAGCTGAACTCAAACAACCAGCCGTCGAGAATCATGTCATGTTACCCACCATTTTTCTCTTTTCCTCTGAATGTATATCTGAATTGTTATGACAGCAAAACTTGTGAACACCGCACCCATGTAAGTCAAATGCGCCACTTTCCGTTCAGTCTTCGATACAAGTGTCGGAAAATTAGATGCAAGGAGAATTTAAACTTCATCAGCCCAGACTTCATATCCTGTACGCATATGTTCAACTTTCCAATGAATATAGAGTTCTCACCTTCGGCGGCGAACGTTGTTCTTGTCGCTTCCGCATAGCTCGAAAGCAAGTCTTTCGCCCTCTAAAACCCTCTAACTTTCCAAGATGATTATATAACATCTCCAAGGCCACTCCCTAATTCTAAGTCTTTAAGAATCGAGCGAATGAGCTATCCCTTCGTCCGGTGAGACATTGCCACATTTGCGGCCGCACATAAATATCCCTAATTCGGATTATGTTCCGGCTGAATTAGGGATATTTATGTGCGGCCGCAAATGTGGCAATGTCTCACCGGACGAAGGGATAGCGAGAATTCTAGAGTCTCAGGGATGCAAACTTCATTGACGGCCGGCTTTTTTTATTGCATCCCGCCATCAAATATCCGTATTGTGGAGTCAGGAGAAGCATTGCGTTCTCCTAATCACACAGCAGATAATGTCTAGATTGCTCAACCTCCTCTCGGGAAACTCGTCGATAGGCGAACCTCAAGGAACCGGCTCAAAACGAGTTGACGAAACATCCTAGGCATCCGGCCGTTGAGCGGAGTATTTTTTAAATTGCCCCAATTTACGTTTCTGAGGAGAGTGGAGGAAGGGCATGATTCTGGGAAAGACAATAAGAAAAAGGGGGGAAAGCAAACAGCCCGTTGACTGAGATGAGGCAAGTTCGAACCTGATCTGGCAAAATTGAGGCTATTCCAGGCACTTTAAGCCATTGACCTGTCACTCAATACGATGATCCCTTGGTACTTGAACTCGATTGGCTGCCCAATGCCACCTATTGAGAAATCAGGGAATCCAGTTTTGATTCCACAAGCTCACCTAAGCACTAGCAATCTGAGCGTTCACCGAGAACGTTGTTTCTTATTTATTGAAAGAACGCCAAGAGTGGTTCTGTACAATGTGGTAGACCCTCTCTGCAGTACCCCGGCGAATTCCAAATCCCAAACATCTACATCAGTGATACTCGTCCTCCATAAGAAATCATGGATCATCCGCCAACTTTTGAGCTTCTTCCTGCAACTCGCGAGGATATCCCAAGACTAGCATACATCCGCGTGATAGCATGTCTCCCAGACAATGCATTCAAGCTCTACTTCTCAAACCCAAAGAGTTCAAGAAGCGCGTGACAGAGATACTCCAAGGGCAAAAAGGGGACCCAGCATAGACGCATATCAAAGCAGTTGATAGCGAGACTGGCAAGCTCTCTTCATGGACATCATGGAACACTCCCACCGATGCTCAAATCCAGGAGCGAGATGAGAAAGCTACAGTAAAGAAAACAGAGCCTGAAAAGGAGAAGTTGGTAAAAGGCGGATTTGACTTCCCTCCCAGCCTCCCTCTGTTCGTGTAAGCAGACACAAACAGATGGTTGGAGAAATTGACACGCGGGAAACGGCATATGCAATGCAAAGCGCCGTTCACAGATCCCTCTTCCCAAGGTCAGGGGATGGGGAGTGCGTTGGTTGGGTATGGAAATCACCTAGCTGATGAAGCTGGGCTGCCCATTTTCCTCTAGGCGAGCCCGTACAGGTATCCGGTTGACGAGAAGCATGGATTCGAGACGGTTCAGTACTTGGATGTGGATGCCGGGTGCGGAGAGCAATGATAGGGGTTGGGGAACTATCGGTTTTGATATATGGTGAGGTTACCGCGGACACTGCGGAAGATGTCTTGAGCTTGTAGATTAGAATGAACTGCCTGAATGAGGGCAAGAAGTGGGGAACATCGACTCTCAATGCATCATTTAGAAATGCTTCACCTTTGCGAGATGATGACGGTCATCAACACGTGTCGGAAATTGCAAGCGAAGGTCCGAATGGGTTGTATATATCAAAATAAGCATTTTTGCTTCTGTCCACCGATCCCGGGGTAAGTTACATCCACTCGCCTCCAAAATTGGGCATCACTAACAGCTTCGCAGACAATCCAGATTCCTACTGGACTTCAAATTGGACCCCGGCGTGGGTACGGTGACACCGTAAGTGGTGCTACGAACAAAAACCTTGAGTTTCTCCGTGATGAAAAGTGCCCTAAAAAGCTGGACCACGGTTTGATGATACGGCAATCGATCGGAATAATCCTCACCGAGAGGGTTTGTAGCACAACCTCCAGGTGGTCGGCGACTCCGGCCTGGGGCTTCGTGTGAGTTTTGCCATTTTGACTCTTACTTCCGATTAATTTTTTTTTTGTAGAGTTCTCTGGTGTCTCGCTTAAGCTGTGTATTCTTATCTAGGCTAGATACTTGTGACTTTTTTTTGTAAGATTTTACCTCGCTTAAGGAGAGGAGGATATACTTTTTTCAATTAGCCTCTCGGATACCCAGCCCTAGCCACCCCTAAATCAAAAAACTTAATATCCTCCATGCCTTTTAACCCCTCCCGAATCTTTAAGCATCTTTACAGATCACAGTATGCACGTCTTAGTGCCTCGGTCTCCGGAGTCCGAACTAGTCAAAATATCAATTTCAAGAATCAAGCAGCGAGCGAAATAGAGCCCGCAAATCCCTGAACAAGAAATTGGGAATAATCCCGAGAGGCTGGCGTGAGGGTGGATAGAGGAGATAATAATTATGATTGAGGAGACCATGGAGTGGCTATCGGTTGCTAGGAAGGGGATAAACATTCATTGTTTTTGGCGGCGCGAGGGGGAGGCTTGGCAAGGAAAATGATAATAATGAGGAGGGGAGGGATCACTAAACCTGGTTCGACTGGTAGCTGTTTCATTCAGTCACTAGTGACTTTGATTTCTCTACTACAAGCACTGTCTTCAAAGTGTATTCATTTCTTCGGAAAAGTACGCAACGTGGTGCATAGACAAATGCAGGAATTCTAATACAACAGCTAATAAAACAAGCAGTCTTGCCTTCGCTCCGTTTATGAAAAGTCGAATCGATCAGGCAAGACAATCGGCGCAACCAAGGTCCATGTGTAGATACCGTAGCAAACCCATGCGCTAATGATCTTGACCCAACTTGCCCAATAAGTCCTTCCTACCGGCGCAAACTCGTCGCTGTTGGTTGCATCCTCGGTCTGCATCGTAAGAAGCGTAGCAACCCAAGTCGTGGCCAGGAAGAAAATGAGGTGGAAGAGGGCGTAGTTGTATTGTGTTGAAGTACGTTCGTCGTCCTTGGCAGTGTTTCCTCCGTCACTTTCGTCGTCGTCGTCGTCCAAGAGGGCATCGGCAGGGAGACTTCCTTCATCAACGGCTTGACGAAGGGCTGCAGCTCGCATCTCACGGCGGCTGTCTGGTTGTTGAGTGACGAGACTGTGCTCATCATCATCAGGGAGTTTGATGTGGCCCTTTCCTCCGAGAGCAACACCTTGGGTAGCCGCTCTGGTTGTAGTGTAGGCGACTGTCAACATTGTGACAATTGCGCCAATAACGATTGAAGTGGTTCGAGTGCCTTGTGCTCGAATCAGAGGGTTGCATTGGCGGTCATCCGGCTCCATGGAAACAGCTGACATGGTAAGGTAGGTGCAGTAGATTGCCACCATGGCTGATTGGGCGAGACCAGCTTTCGGGTTGTATTCCTGGATTGCTGGGTGAACGGAGATGAAAGAGACAACCAAGAAGAAGATTAAGTTGAGCGTGATGGCTGTTTGGTTCATCGAGCAACCGCTTTTCGCAAAGAAGATGTACATGACAATCGTCATTGCAACAGAAACCGCGTACATGCCAAGGGTTGAGCCGATAAGAATGCCTCTCCAAGCGCGGGAGTCAGTTGCTTCAATTTGTGCAAGGCAGTACTCGGCCCAGGTGTGCGCAAGGTCGACCAAGAGAATCAAGCCAAGGAGAAGGAAGAGAGTCGCTCCAGCGAATGAGATGTACTTTCCCCAAACAAAGAAGAATGACTCTGGAATGAAGAACGACAGAACGATCAAGGCCAGCCAGGCGAGAATCTTCGGTCCCCAAAACCCGTTTTGTATATTGGCCCGAGGATTCTTCGAAGTCTCAACGCCGAGAAGGAGCACACCCATTATAATATGGAAGAGCCCCAAAGCGAAACCGATTCGGTGCACTGCAACCCATCCATGGCAAGGACCATCTGGACACTTGATTGTCATGTAATCCAACGTCAAATGTTGCAGCTTATTGATTGCCCATGGTGTGAGCATAACCCATGATAGGATGGAGTTGATGAGAAGGATGAGGGCGTAGGCAATTCGAGTGGCAACGCTTCGAGCTGTCAGAATAGAGAATGGCAGAGAGGATGGGGGTTGACTGACCTGTTTCCGCACTTTCCACAGGCACCGAAGACTGCAGAACAAGTGGCCGCACCACAGCAGCTTGCCGCGAAAGTAAAAATCTGTGAAGTCAGCGTCTGCCTTCCATCAGGTGCTTGTGTTGACATACGGTTCCCATGCTAGGCACAACCAGCAACGGGATAGAAAGAAGAGCGCCCATCGTGCCGGCTTGATAGGCGTTGTCGCTGTGCAATAAGATATCTTGAGAGATACTTTGATCACTGATTAAAGTCAAAAGGGTGGTGATCAATGAAAGCGCATGCAAGATGGAGAGAGCCTTGAGGTTGTCCAGCACGAGACCTCCGATAGCCGCGCGGATGTCACCGCTCCAGTTCTTGTGCATGGCTTGGTTAATGATGCTCATTGATTGGTGCGGATGTAGGGCGGTGTGAGTAGATGGAGCTAAACGCTGTTGAGAAGTATCGGAGTGGCAGAAAAAAACAGGCCGGTGCTAGTTTGGCTGCAAGGAGCAATCACACTAAAACAGCGCGAGTGGTCCCTGCCGGTGCCGGAAATACCCCCCTGTGCCGCTGGTGTGCCGTGATGCCGATGATGTTCCGACTGATAACACAACACAACAAAAGGGTGCACGATCCACACCACATTCACTCAGCAGGTCTGGGAACACCACCACTCTTCGCGAGTGACACTGCATCTTCCCCCATCTTCAACTTCAACTTCAAGACCATGTCTTCATGATATCCAGACTGCGACATTCGCTTGTCTGAATTTTCACCACCTATCTATCCTTGTCGCAATGATCAAGACTTGACACCCTCCCCCTCCAATCGAACATCCATCCAGCCCTCTGTGATTATGTCTGAAAAATCCCTCCACAGGGCGAGGATTGTATCGAGTGTTGCTGCCACATGTATATCTTTGGCATGCGGGACCAATGTATGTTGATTACTGCCAACAACTAGCTAGACTGACAAGCGTAGTATGTCTATTCTGCATGGGGTCCTCAATTCGCGGAGAAGCTCAAGCTCTCCTCAACAGAGCAGAACCTGATAGTAAGCTTCCCGGCCAGGCATCACTACATAACTTTCCTAACTAATATAGGGATTATCCGGTAATCTGGGGATGTACTCGATGGGAATACCCGTTGGAATGTTGGTCGATGCGAAGGGACCACGACCTGCTGTGATACTGGGCTGCCTACTGCTAGGTGCAGGCTATTTTCCGTTACACCAGGCATACGATAAAGGTTCGGGGCCGATGTGGTTGCTATGCCTATTCTCGTTCATGACTGGTCTTGGTGGCTGCGCAGCCTTCGCTGCTTCTATCAAAACATCGGCCCTGAACTGGCCCCATCATCGAGGAACGGCAACCGGTTTCCCCCTGGCAGCATTTGGGTTGAGCGCGTTCTTCTTTTCAATGTTTGCCGGATACATTATGCCTGGATCGACTGGAGACTTCCTTCTAACGCTCGCATGTGGGACATTTGGCATCGTTTTTATTGGATACTTCTTTCTGAGGGTGCTGCCGCACCCCCACTACTCACGCCTTCCTCGTTCGTCTGGCCTGGCGAGGGCCGACTCAAATCGTCTCCACAGGACAAGATCAGAGGAGGCCAAGGCCCGCACACAACGGGAGGTTGTAGAACCAGGTAGGTCTCTATTCATAGCCACACATCCTCAAGACGGAGACGCCCTAAATCGTTATGATGTAGGAGGAGAGGCACCCGAGGGCGTCACGTCCACTGACACAGACGAAACCTCCTCCTTGATGTCTAAATCCACATCGTCCAGTTCTGGCGACCTACCTGAAGAGACCATTGTTAAGGATCATGCTCATCGTGTAGATATTCGAGGGATCAAAATGCTCCCCTTGGTTGAATTCTGGCAATTATTCGCTCTCATGGGAATATTGACTGGTATTGGCTTGATGACCATCAAGTGAGTAGCTAAAGTTCCGGTTTTGGGACGTACTGACCCGGGATACAGCAATATTGGCAACGATGCAATGGCATTATGGCGCCACTACGACGACTCGGTCACTGAGGACTTCATCACGAAGCGTCAAGCAATGCACGTTTCCGTTCTTTCCGTAGGCAGCTTCTTCGGCCGGCTCAGTAGTGGTACGGACTCCCTTTTTCTTGACACATGCACAGCTAAATCCGCCCAGGTATTGGATCCGACTTCCTTGTCAAAGTTTTGAAAGCATCTCGGTTATGGTGCCTCACTTTCGCCTCCCTCATATTCCTCGCCGCTCAGCTTTTCGCACTTTCCGTCGAGAATCCGCATTATTTGTTCTTCGTCTCGGGACTCACGGGACTGGCCTACGGGTTCCTCTTTGGTTGTTTCCCTTCGCTCGTTGCAGAAGCGTTTGGAATTCATGGCCTAAGCACGAACTGGGGTTGTATGACATTGTCTCCTGTTATCAGCGGGAATATCTTCAACTTATTTTACGGCATGGTCTACGACAAGCACAGCATTATCAAGCCAGGAGGGGAACGGGAATGTACAGAAGGGCTGGCCTGCTACAGAAGTGCGTACCTGGTCACAATCGTGGCATGCTTATTAGGATTCGTCGTCAGCTTGTTTAGCATCTGGAATACGCGCCGATTGCGCGCAGAAGAAGAGAGGTTACGAGATCTAGAAGAACGAGAGGCATAAATTTGCGTTGAGAGCAGTTACCAAGGCGCGATCTAGAGACTTTCATGGAACAGATGGGCTTGTATAGAATTGGCACAGGCGTTGACTAGATATTTCCTTGCGGGCAGATGTTCTGGCACTCAAATCCTAGAAAATGAGATGCAGCTGGTTGCTGTGCTTCTCCCGAATCCATGATTTACAAAATACCACGTTTTCGGGATCTACTCGATGCTTTCCGCAACGTGCATGTTCTCACGCAGCACTCTCTTCAGCATACAGAATCTGGTGGCACCCCACAAAACACATCTTTACTCGTTACGCCAACCCCAATCAACAGACGGCAAACCTTTCCTTACATCTCGTCGCTCCTATCCCCCTCTAATCTTTAGGTTTCTTCGGCCACCCCCACCTCAAAAGCACAACGCCCTTCTTCCCATGCCTCCTAACTCTCTCTCTCATCTCTTCCTCCACCTTCTTCCTCGCATCCCTTCTCTCCTGTTTTCGCATCTCAATCGCTACTTCACGTTAGCCCCTCTTCCCCAAGCACCCACTCCCTTATCTCACTTAGGAAATAAATACTCACAACTCTCGCTCCGCCCCCTCAGCCTATCCCTCCCCTCTTCAATCGCCTCCCTCACAAACACCCCCATGTTCGGCCGTCCGTCTTTGTCCCGAAGTTCTCCGGTTCTTGCTTTGGCCAATGTGTAGACGAGTGCGCCGATTAAAGAGATGGCTTTGATTTTCAAAGCGGTTTTGGTGAAAGGGGGGAGGGAGGTGGAGGACGCGGGTCGGTTGAAGAAGGTTAGGAGGCGGGAGAGGCGGGTTGGAGATGTCATTTTTGTGTTGCTGACGTGGAGAAACTTGGAGGTTGCTGGTGGTTTTGGGTTTGAAGTTGGATGAAAGTTAAGTTTGAATTGAGGGATTTGAGTGGGGATTTGAGTGGATATTTGTAGAGCTGAAGTAGTTCATATTGCAATGCAATGAAATGCACGGACACGTGCTGGCTTCCGCGCTCCCCCTTTCCGGGTCGGTAGCGAGAAGAGGCCCATGGGCCATGGTTCTACTCTCTCCTTTGACTTAGTAGAAAGCTTTGAATTAACCATCGGCCCATGGCTCCTCTCTCGGGCCGTGGCCGTGGCGATTCCCACATACCACATAAAACAATCTCCTTATTGCAATTCTTCTTTTCTAGAAACTCAAAAACAGGCATAAATGTATCAGCCACCAAAGGGCCTTTCCACACAATGTCCTGCACCGTTGGCCCACAAGAAATTGCCCTCTTTATGCCACCTGCTAGCTGCACTTTGGAAAATGAACCTCTAGTTGTGTTGGCGATCGGTAAGCTAAGTCTTGAGCCGAAAAAGACGACAAAATGGACCAAAATTTGGGCATAAGTGATCTTGCATTGCCGAAAACAGTGACGAATCTCCGGTGCTGCCGCTATGTACCTGATGATCTGTTAGAGCTCGTAGCGCTGTGAAGATGGTGGTCACACTCACTCCATCTATTGCATTATCGTTATTCAGATATGGGTGTGTGTATCTAATAGCAAGGATAGTACCGGCGAGGAGGAGAAAGGTGGCTTCGAGTGTTTCCCTCGAACAGGCTCTGAGGGAGTCAGGCTTATGCCTCCAGTCAAGAAATAAAAGAATTGTATGGCCGGCAATAGCGCCAATTCGTTGCAGCTCTGGAACACTGAGATGGTAGTTTTCCTCTGAAATTGGCTGAGTGTAGGCGAGAGATTCAGCATATAGCATGCGCTGAAAACTGACGCCAATCTGGGCTCCAACATAAGGTTCTACAAGATCCAGAAAATTGGGAGATGATAAGAGCCTGACCTTGCTCGTGTTAGAGAGATGTAGATTGTTGAGCCATTCGACAAGCTCAAGTACAATGCTTGATAAGTCCCATGTGACCAGCGAGCTGAAGCTGAGTGTGATGGATCTCAATGCCAACTTGCCCGTCTCTTATATAGATAGGTGGTCAGCCCGATGCTATACTTTAAGCAGCCAGCTCAGAGTCTTACAGTATTCGAAGAGGTTCAATTCTTCCAATCGAGTTCTGACACATCCACAAAATGAGAATGTCCGCTTCTCATGTGCGTGCAGAGCGGCCTCGACTAACTTACCACAACGCAAATGTCATCTTGGGAGTACTTTGAGTAGTCAATATCACTCAATGCAGTGACAGCCGATGACTTACTGGGATTCGTAACATGGAGCATCTCAAGCAAGCTCTCATCTCACGCACTGTCTTTAGTTTCAGTCGATGGTTGGGGTCAAGCTTCCCTTATCTTCCCCGAGTCGACGGTGGCTTATGAACCCGCCATATATGCTGGGCACTTGCTGGCAGGGCTGAGGCGGCTGAGGAAGACATTTTACTTGCAAGTCTGGTGTGAAATTGATCTTGAGGTGGTTGGGATGAAAAGAAGCAGCCATCTTCCATCTGATGCAGAACATCGCAGAAGTCTTATAGACCACGGCATCAACTGACCCCCAGACCGAAGGTTGACGTTGCTTGCTTGATATTTGCGGCTGAGACAAATGTGGCTGCTGCGATCGGAGCGCCACCAACACACTCACCGAGCTGCCCGTTTTGGGAAGGGAGGTTGCCCCCACGTGACAGCACAAGAAAGCAGAAAGACAAGCCTGAAATCATAACACAGACAAGGGCAAGAAATTTGCAAGAGAGTACTATCAAGTATCAAATACGCACATAAGCAAATGGTGGATAGAGTGAGATGAACTGCGATGCGGCGACCGCAACAAAACTATGAAGAAAGACAATGCCGTGCAGCTACTTAACTGAAGTCGTCACATATGAGGCAGCTTGCCTAGAGCCCTCCTCTTTTCACACCTTCGAAGTCGTGAAGTTGAAGCTGGCTCGAGAAGGCAGAGCGAAAACAGCTGAAGATCGTCGGAATTATGTACCCTCCAACGCCACCTGATTTCGGATCAACTTTCCGCCAGCCGAGGATCTGACGTCTTCTAATTTTTCAACCACTCGATCGTCATCGATACTCAAAGCCCATCAGATGTCATCCTGCACGTACCCCGATAATGACGGTACCTAGGGTCCCTACCCCCAAGTTGGGGTGCCTTTCGGCCTTTATGGTGTGAAGTATGGATGCTCGTGATTGATCCGGAGCATCCTCTCAGCAATCGGACCAAGTGGTCCGTCCTTTGCATCTTGCTTTCTCTTTTATTCACCTTCAAGGCTTCATAATGCTTCGAACAGTCAGGGGAACTTCAATTTGGAAAGTTGCGACGTCACGAAGTGGCTTGCCTGTCATATCCTCTTGCTCATCCCCAAAGAGATACCCAGCTGCATATATGAGCAGCTTCCCCTTTACAAACCCTTCCATCAGCCGCTTCCAACAATTTCAGGAGCAGTTCTCTACAACATCCGCAAGCATGTCTCAAACAAACAACAACTTCCTCCTCAGCGAGGTATTCAATGTCAAGGGCAAGGTAAGATTACTTTTTCTCGATCCCACCTTTAAGCGGTAAGATCAACATGCTAACCATTGCAGGTTGCTCTTATCACCGGTGGAGGAAGTGGCATTGGCCTAATGGCTACGCAAGCACTTGCCGTCAACGGTACCAAGGTCTACATCGTTGGACGCACAGAGGAGAAGCTTCAGAACGTTGTCAAGACCCATGGGCAAGGAATCGCTGGCGAAATTATCCCCATCACGGCAGACATCACATCGAAGAGCGAGATTGCCAAGCTGGTCAAGGAGATTGAGTCGCGGGAGAAATGCCTTTGCATCCTAATAAACAACGCAGGAATTGCAGGGAACACACAACAAACGGAGGCGAAGACAGCTGCGGAGATGAAGAAGAACTTGTTTGATGACGAATCCTCTACAATGGATGACTGGGTCAATACATACCGGACCAATGTTCCTCAACTCTTTTTCATGACTATGGCTTTCTTGCCCATGCTTCAAAAGGCATCTGAGCACCAATACGGCTACTCTGGCACCGTCATCAACATCTCGTCCATCTCAGGCATCATCCAATCATCCCAACACCATTTTGGATACAACGCTAGCAAAGCTGCTGCCATACACCTTACAAAGATGCTTGCCTCTGAGATCGCGAACAATAATATCAAGATTAGAGTCAACAGCATCGCACCAGGAGTGTTCCCATCGGAGATGACTGCAGGAGAGAGCGGATCAGATCAGAAGAGCCATATTGAGAAGGAGAAGTACGAGAAAGTTCCGGCGCATAGACCTGGCAAGGACCAAGATATGGCGGGGGCTGTGCTGTTCGTGGCTACGAATCAATACTTGAACGGTCAGACTGTGGCTGTTGATGGAGGATACATTTTGCATGCAGGTGCTTAGATTAAGGAGGCACAAATTCTGGATATCAGGAAATGGCGTTCTTGTTTACCACTGCCCTTGGAGAGCATGCATAGGATACCTCCAATGGAGTCTCTTCTAATTCTTAGACCCTTTTGCAATCTCCTTGCGTCATCCGGTTGCAGCTAGCCTTGCTTCATCATTCGAAGCTCACAGTGATTGTTGCCTCGATTTCGCCTGCTGCATCTATAATTTTCTTGGGACGCCTACGGGAAGGAGGCTTTCAATCTGGTTAAAATTTCCATTTTTCCCTTTCTTCTTCTTCAAAATCTATATCCAGGCGCAGCAATACCCGCCGATGCCGAAGTGCTTCAAGCCGTTGCTTACTAACCGCGTTTCTACACTCTGGTGGGTTACGCTTCCAGGTGTGAAAATTGGGAAGAGGTTCCTAACATAGATCCTTCGATTCCGGCACCTTCTCACCTACCTTTCTCGCTTTCAACTTCAACCAATGCTCGTAAAGCAGCTCCTTCGCCTACTCCTGGTCTTCGAAATAAGCAAACATCAACTCCTCAGTATTCACTTGATTGTGTGCCATATGCTCAATACATGTGCTGAGAAATATCTCATGTCGTTCATGGAGATCTTTCTCCTTTATGAGTTTAACAAGCACCTCACCAATTTCTTCCAGCTCCGAAGAGCAGAAGTCTCCGGCGAAAGGACCAGAACAATTGCGTACAAAGCAAGAAACAGAGAAATCCGAATATGACTGTCACAAGAACTGAACCGTTGAATATTGTAGTTTTGCACCCACCCATCATGTCGGTCTGATTGTTCGCCGTGTCCATGTCAAAGAGGGTTAGATGTCAGTTACCGCACTTGGGCATTGTGATATTGAGAAATTAAGATGGCTTGAGGGAGATCTGGAATATGATGGTTTGTGGTTGGATTGTAAGACAGGAATAGAAAAGCAGATTTAGCTTATTCAGTGTTGTCAAGCCTACAGTTAAGAAGTCTGAAGTATTATTGGGATTGTGGAACCTAGTTTCCACTCTGCCGTTCGCACAATCGTACCCAGTGACAGAGCTACACCAAAACGAACCAACATTGTCATGACGCTTCTGAGATAGATCCTTTGAGTCAGTTACTAGTCTGTCTGGGTTGTCATAGTTTCTTCAGCACTCGAGATCTGAGCAACATGACTTTTCAGAAACTCGACAGCATCGTCTATTCCCATTGGCGAATTGAACCAGTGTCCACCGTCAGGATACTCCTCCCACGTAACTTGCGCTCCAAATCTCTTCAAAGTGTCTCGTAGAATTCGACCCCATTCTACCAAAACAAGTGGATCATTGACGCAATGTTGAAGTAATACAGGTGTGTCTCCCAGGGCCTCATCAGTATCCGGTGCGTCCTCGAGACTGAGCACCCCACGAGTATGCGCGAGTGATCTTCCTGGGAAAGGCATCCTGCATGAGAATCCAAGAAAAGCACCAAGTTTCTGCGGGACATTCAGATTCAGCAACGTATGAACACCAGTCGCAGCTCCTTGACTGATTCCGCCCAGAATAATGCGATCCCACTTTCCATCCAACATTGCCGCCTCTTTCGCAAGAATGTGCCGAATACTGGCAACACTCTCCCTCAACCCCATCGCCTGGAGCTCTTCGTGATCAGATAAATCAGTCACATTCCAGATGTCGAACCACTGAGAAGTTTTCTGGCCCCCAAGGGTCGTAGTTTGCCGCATCTCTGCTTGAGGGAATACCCAGCGGAAGGAGGGGAAGCTCTCCAACAGGGAGCGGTTGTGGGAGTCCTGTGAGAAGTTCAGTGACGAAGCGAAATTTTGAGCGGTGTCTCCACGGCCGTGGAGAAAGACGAAAGTGTGTGTATGGGGTGCGGAAGGTGGAATGATGGTGGTAGAGAGCTCCATGTTGTGCAGAGGTATTTTGCCGGTGTAAATCTGTCCTTTGGTTGGACGTCAATTGATGTGTAAGATAGATCCATTTCAAGAGCTCAAGACCGATCTTATTAGGCTTCGGTAGGAAGTTGCTTTGTAGGCAGCCATCGAGTTCAGGGGACCAATAATTCTGCAGGGTTCAGAAGGGTTCACCAGCCAACCGCCCAAATCACTCAACCGCCCAAAAAATAGTTTTACTATAACCACACCACAACCACATTCCAAAATGAAGAAAATAAGTTAATATTCGTGATCTATGACCTCGCTTTAGTCATTCCACAGATTTTCTGAATTTTCTGAGCCCTTTGAAAATTTCCAAAATTTTGCTTGGGCGGTTGGCTGGCTGCTGGGACCCCTTCTATTTCTCGCTTGTGGAAGCGATTTCGCCAGAGATTTTAGGGGCAATTTCAAGGGGGCTCGCCGTGCATAAAAAGACCGTACTATACTCTCAGCGTCCCAAGCTAAGTTGGATATGTCCAATAATTCCCCTCATGGTGGCTCCTTGAGTCATCGTATATTCAAAATCTGCTCACTTAGATAACTTATCATCACACAACCCCCTGTTCCTCTCTATCCGTCCATAATCCAGACTCCAATTCATGCGCTAATCCCTCAAACCTCCACAACAATTTTCTCATCATATCATCCGTCAGCTCCACTCTCTTTCAAAGTTCGAGATCTCAATCCCATGGAGCGTGGCAGAAGCTGCCCATAGCACGTAGCTGAGAGTAGCAAACACGGCGTCTGCTTGAGATGCTATGCACGTGGTCCCCATACAGGCCGGATTCTTGGACAAGAATACTGCGAGGGCGATGAATCCTCCCGGATAAAACAGTGAGAGTGTACCTTCGGTGCTGAAGATCAGGCGTGGAAGATGTGGATGAGTTTTCAATAGGTTGTAAGTAGGCCTGGATGCTTCTAAGATTCGAAACTGATATTTATGAACGAGATACTTGCCGTTTGGAGCGAATTTGTGGACAAGTTCAATATATAGAGTCATGATCGTCGAAAATCATGGGGCGGATATCAGGAAGTTGACTTCAGTCGAGGAAGGAACAGAGGATTTGATAGTTTGGGAGGTAACGAATTCTTCATCTCATTTCCCTTGTCGAACAACCGGTTACGGAAGGGAAATCTACCATAGATTGAGAGGCCTAGAACCACCATGGGTGAAGCTAATTGTGCAAATCGGAGAGGGAGTTGGAGTCTTGAAGCCATTTTGAGGATAGTAGTGTCTGTGGGAGAAGGTATAGGTTGATAGAGAGAAGCGGAGGAACTTCAAGGGATACGAGAGAATCAAATTGTGCCACCCTGCTCAGGAAAAATTAGGCATTTAAATATCCTTCTGTGCCGTGGCGAAAGACTAATGGCATATGTGGGGAAACCAGTGTATCCCGAACCTTGAAATCCGAACCCTTGCAATCATTAACAAGGTCTAGGAACGGCCGGGACTGGAAAGCTGGAGCTCCATGTTGAAATTCTCATTGGTTCATATAGATAAAGTACTGGCAATTCTTGGAGCAATGGCTACAATCTGTGGGGTTTCTTAGCTGACACAGTATTGAGCTGCTCTTTGTTACGTAGCGTTGCGTAGCACTTGCTTCGTAAACTCGCAAGATCGTAAAATCGTAATCATGCACCCAATAAGAGTAGGCGAGATTCAGGTCGAGCGAGAGCTTCATTCATTGATAACCAGTGAGGGCATTACTGAGATGAGGATGCTCACTTCCAGAGAATTAATTATTGGTTCACGACGTCTGAGCACTGGTGGTTCAGGGGCTGCCAACGATTAGCATTACAGAGACCCCCTGAAAATATTTCGAATCTAACAAAGGGGGATTTCACCTCACCAAAGTTTTGGGGATCTAAAGCAACCCTGCCTCATCTTGACTTTAGTAGCTAGATATCGAAGCGGTGAAGCACGAAGAGCTTGATGCTGGAAGTGGCGTTGGCAGATTTTCAGCTGTCGGCCGCCTTACCTCAGAGCTACTGCGCGGTATTAAACAGCACCTCGGTTTCATTGGCCATCGTGAGGTCTTTGGAAAAGACAGGGGCTTTATTTACCTTGCTAAGGCTTGTTGACCCATGGCAAAGGCTTAGATGTAAATAGTACTATTTGCTTAACGGCAGCCACAGTATCTACTCTGGACCCACTGTTACATTTAATTAGGGGATGGGGGAGAGTAAAATCTTGCTGGCGGAGTTTTCGGAACATTGAATTCATTCTGTCACACCTCTTTTTAGCCGTTTTGAACCCCTGCTTTCGCCACTGGCGGAGCTGCTGACCCCCACAATCTCTTCAGCCCTACTCTGCGGTGAAAACCCAGCGTGAATCCGCTAATTTAGTGCTGTTCACATCCAATCCTCCGCGCATGCCCTTACTTACTTTGATTTCTAAATAACCACCTATTTAAATATAAATCTAACTTTAAAAAGCAAAAGCGCATATTCTAACTGCGCTATATCTTATGTCTTATAAATTATAAATACGTGGATATTAAGATATTAAGAAGTCGAGATATCTTTGATTTTTAGTGTCCTTACGCTCGCAACGCCCGCGACCACTCAAAAACGCCCAAAAACGCTTAAAAATGCGGTTTTTCGACATTTAATCCACTACCTTTCAATTTAAACTTTGTCCCATTTAAAAGAAGGTACTTCTATATATAAAAATATTCTATTAGGTGCGGATGCATTTCTATGGAGATAGTAGATTAAAGCTAGAAAACCGTATTTTGGACGATTTTCGGTGTGGTTTGCCTTTGCTAGAGGAACGCTTAAAAATCTCTACTGTTTACTAATTTGCTAATAACTTTTTAACTACATAATTAAAATATAAGATACTTAAGATTATATAAGATTTATATATCTTCTAGGCGTCTGTAAGATTTGGTATTAATTCATAAAGCAGTTAAAAAGTTATTAAGGTAATAAGTGGACTTGGCGAGGGTGTGCAGGATTGAGGGTGTGCGGGCGCTAAATCAGCTTCTCACGCTGGGTTTTCAGCTGTAGAGCTTACTCTCGCACGTCAGCACACTCGTTCAGCCTCTTGATTAGAAGTTTATTACTCGGAATTTAACAATCTTAATGCCTGACAACAAACCGAAGATGCTTCTGGGTGGCTGAGGACTCTGCGGCCAACTGCACGGTCATTATTTTGGGATTAGGATGCTGACAAACTGATCCCCAGAGCATATCATTTGTTTAGTAATACACGGCATGCCCGTGTTCTTGCCTTGTTATAAATGAATAGGCTGAAATCGAGTATGTACATTCAATCTGACTGTGCTTGCACTCTCCACTGCAGATGGGCAACTTCGACTGGGTACAAGGCTCAAGTGAGCTGCTTCAAGGCAAGCAATTTGAAATATATAAACCGAATGATAATCCTCTTTCTATCCTCGTCCCAACAAAACAAAAAGATTCTTTCGTCACAAACTCAAATTTCAGTAAACCATTCTCTTTAAGAAAATTCATCTTCTATCAAAATGGGTTTCACGTGGTACTCAGGCCCCGCTTCATCATTCCCTCCCATGAGCACATGGAAGGACTTCGAAACAATCTTCAACCTAAACAAAGCTGAGATGCTTCAAACGGGTGACAGCGGAGAGGACGTTGGCCGGATCTGGAATGCAGTCCTGGAGGCTGCGAAGCTCGGTGTCGAGGAGCGGGTAATTTTCTGTATCATCATGCAAGAGAGTACCGGAAATGTTGGTGTTGGTACTCCCAATGATATGGACAACAACCCCACCGGAGGCTTGATGCAAGCCGAGGAGAGTCCTGCATTCCCTGGGCAGCACAACTTGAGCCAGGTATGTCCTCCTCCCGAGTAATAAAGAGTGATTTGGAAAGAGTTGCTAATGTGCTCTTAGGAGCAAATATCATCCATGGTCATTGCTGGCACCAAGCACTTCAAGGGAAATTTGCAGCAGACTGGCAACCAGGACAATGAGAAGTCCATCTACGAAGCTCTTCGTTATTACAATTCTGGCTCGATAAATGTCAACGTGAGCGATCCATATCCGAAGTATCAAACTTGTTTCCTAACTTTTCGAACAGAATCTTTCTGATGGGAAGGGAGCCACTGATAGCTATGTCTCTGACATTGCGAATCGTCTCCAGGGAAGGACAAACTAGGCCTTCGTTGCGGTTGCTTTGCTGTCTTGAAGAACATATGTATTGATAATCAATATATAGAGATAAAGAGACAAGATCTGTTGGTATGAGACTTAACTTGAAAAGGGTTGAGAAATATAATTCTTAAGAGATCTTGATGTTCTCGAGGTTGTTGAGTTGAGTCTCGGAGGTGACTTGAGAGTTTGAAAGGTTAACCGTTCAACCGCACTTTCAATTGACGTACGAAAAAAGTAGGGACATCGAACTCGGCTTTCGGGTTTCTGCGTAGGCGAATATAAGTCTGGGTAGATTCTTCTTATGCAGAAACGTGATGAAAGTCACGTGGGCTTCGATTTCATCTTTATTGGAAAGTGATCGATTTATTGATGGAAAATCGATATATTGGAGGTTGACAATCTGTAGAATGACTAGATACAGGAGAGTGAAGTGTAAAAACAGAGGAAAAGTGTCTAAAGTAAGGGATTTATTCCCATTACCCTTCGGCGATACCGGTGATGCCGAGCCCGCTTTCTCCGATACATTATCAATCAGCTGATAAATCAAAAGTAATCAAAATGACGATATACTAGTAAGCTTGGTAAGCTCAGCGAGTGACGCATGACAAATGAGAGTGGAGAACCCTAAATTAGTGGTTGAACCTGGTGCTGGAAGGACTGGTGAGCTAGCTATGGTAGCGTACCAATTTCAACAATCTTACTCGCACTAGCGAGAGAGACGACCAACTTCCTCTCATTCCAGTGCGCAGAAGTCGAGATGGAGTACGAATCCGGAGGGCCACTCCTCAAGGTATTGCTTTTAATTCGCGCCAAATCCTCTCACATGGGAAACCGCAAGGAACTTTTCCGATTCCCGGATGGTCGGCTCGCGATTGAGCATGCCCTCGAGACCTTGCACAGCGCAGTTCCCTCTGCCTCGACGATCTACATCTCTCTGCACGATGAGTCTCAATTGGGAAGTATCGAAGCCCCGCTGAAAGATGTAGCCGTCCGGGCTAGAGTTTCCAAAGATGCCGAGCATGGTGAGCATGATGAGCATGATCACGACCTGCACAACTTTCCTGAGTTGAAGCCCGTCTTCGACGAGCAGGAGGAGGACATTGGGGCAGCATCTGGCCTCCTCGCTGCTCACTCGACACACCCGGATGCCAAATGGCTTGTTCTTACCTGCGATTATCCTCTCTTGCCTCCGCCGGCGCTTCAACAACTCATTCTCGAGTATCAGAACCCGGTCACGTGTTTTGTCAATGAAAGTGGGTTTACGGAACCTTTGATCTCTATTTGGGATTCGGAAGCTTTGGAGAAATTGAAACTGAATGTTAAGAATGGGAGATATAGTCTGGATGGCGTCATTGAGGAGATAAACGGAAGATTGATCAAGCCGTTGCGGGCACAGTGGATCAGTCGTGCTGATACTGAAGAAGCATGGGCTGAGGTCATGGCTGTTCTGGCTTCAAGATGAAATGTTTTCAGGACCATTAGCATCAAGACATGGCTCTATTACTGGATCTGAGGTCCGCGAATCTACGCCAGCCTTCTCAACTTGGGGCAACCCTAAGGCCGATAATGAAGTCCTTGCTGGCATTGCGGGAGGATATTTATGTGTTGGAATCGAGATGTATATCTCACGCTAGATGATATTGCACGGCCGACACCTAGAAGTAAGGGACAACCTTGATCTGAGGTAAATCTACAGTTCAGTCAGGTTGGTGACTTTTGCTCCGCTTTAGCTTCTTGCGAATCTCCATCTCGGCCGTTGCTTTCCACTGCTCTGCCAATTTTGGCACCGGGTCGGCCATAAATGGTCAGCCTCAAAGGCTCGCAGAGAAGAAGTATCTAGACGCCACGTCGTCGTCTGATTCGGCGTGGAATCTCGGCTTATGCCAATACCCAAAGCTCTGATCTTCTTCACATCTTCCCTTGCAGCAAACTCCCAACATCGGATCCTGTTAAACCTCGGGTTACTCGTATGTGGTTCGTCCATTAAAATCTTGTCACGGGTAAAATCGGCCCAAATTCGCGGCTCTGGGTTTAACATGATTGGCGTAGGGCTGGCGAACTTGGGAGTTGTACTGGGTCTTGCGATTGGCTTCATTACGAATATTTGGCAGGAGAGATACTATTTACGGAGGGTCAATGAACGGGTGGGAAGAATGTTCCCGAGGCGAGGTTGCAGATGCCGATGGTTGCTGCTGTTGGTGAGTTTGTCGTATGTGTTTCGGGGAGACAGACCGTTGATGGGGATACTGTTTCCGGTGGCTTTCTTTTGGTTTGCCTGACGACTTATACCTCGATATATGTAAGTATCCTCAATCCGCCAGACCTTGTATGGTCTTTCTACGCTACGACATTCAGTCCGTCAAAATTAGAGTGGAAGAAGTCTCTAACTAACGGATATGCAGTGGATTCTTCCTACCATCCAGTGTGTCAAATGAATAGATTAGATTAGAATACTGGCTACCCGGGGGGGAGCTCAACGGGCTGATGGATAGCTGAAGCAGCTGGAAAGGTCTGTATCCTCCTGCAGAAGCTATTACTAATTTAATTGAGCTTTTCCTGGGAACGCACACCGCCAGTATACGTTCTCCTGTACGAGTTTGACGCCTTGACGCGGTTATAGAGCGGGCTTATAGCTCGATTAACTATCAGAACAGCTAATATAAAGAGAATTATATTAATCGGGTTACAAAATAGTCAAATACGGTATCTTTCAAGTTCTCGGAACTCTGAGCAAATACCTCAGAGAATATAATTAGGTCAAGGCCCAATAATATTAGTATTAGAGATAGCTTTACTATTACTCCGGGCCATAAAATTTTTTTTTATTACCCTAATAATGAATAATTACTTGGCTAGAGATCCCGAGACGTCCTTATCCCGTCCTAAATATATAGGGATATTAAATAACTATAGAGTACCTATTAATAATAATATAACTATACTTGAATATAGACCTATCTAATACTAATAATATTAATATGAAATCTACTAATTCAAGCTATAACCGAGATAATATTAGTAAAAATAAAGCTTTTCTTAAGAACTTGGCTAATAGGCAAGAAACTAGAAACCAGATTAATAAATTAATAAGTAAAGAGATACTTATAGAATAATTACGGGAATTAGACTAAAGCAGGAGCTAAAGCTACTAGTTCTAGTATTACTATAAATAGTATTAGTAAATAAAATAAAAGAATTCCCTTAACCCTTATGCCTTTAACTAATTAGGCTACTAATACTAAAGATTATATAAATAAGAAAGAAATAAAAAAGGCTTAAAAGAAAAAATAATCCGAGAAATAATAAAGATCTCCTTTACTAGCTAAAGATCTTATTTCTATTATCTCTACTATAAATATACCCGAGATAATAGTAATAGAACTTGCTAGTAAAATAGCTCTAGTAAAGAAAATAAAAGAAAAAGTAGGGCTATAAAGCCAGAGAAAATAATTACTAGATTATTTATAAAGAACCTAGCCAGGAAAGCTTTCTTGCCTGCTTTTTCGAATAAAGTTCCTGATTTCTTTATTAATTTTTTTTAGATATACCCGCTATCTAAGCCTAAAAGTAACAGAAACTATTACTCAAATATATACTAACTAAAAACTTACTAAGTCTCTTTAGGACTATAATAAAGATAACTCGGATACCGAGATCCTATTACTTATTTTTCCCTAGCTTAATAAAGAAATACTAGAGTTATAGGCAGGTATTAGATAAAGAATAATTTTTTCTGAAATAGGAATCTTTATTCTAAAGAATAAGATAAGAATAGCCTATAAGAAAGGCTATATCCTAATAATAACTAAAGAGCCTAGCTTTCTATTAATAGAACTATAAAAAAAAGTCTAATATAAGACCTGTAGCAAATATAGTACTTATAAGAAAAGAAAATAAAGGCCCCTTAGCTAGTAAACCTCTTCTTAAGTATAAAGGCCTTTTAGGGGCAAATATACTAGAATTATTAAGATTAGAACTTAATACCGGGCAAATAAGAAAAGAACTAGCTAAGGTAATAAGAAGAGAAATAAAAGTATTAATATATATAAATAGCTATTATATTTATATATATTTACTAAGGAAGCTAAGAAATATAGAAAATAAAGAAATAGGGCTAGAAAAAAATATTTTAAGAGAAATAATCGAAATACTTAAGCTAAAACTAAATAAGAAAATAGATATTATTTAGTCTATAGCCCGAAATAACAAGATAAACTAGATTATAAGACTAAAAAATTACGAGTATATAAAGTTTTTTAATAAAATAAACTACTAGTAAGATAGTAATAATAAGTAAATAATTCAGATATCTTTATATAAGAATACTAGAATAAGAACTTTTATTATTTCTCGAACTAATAATATCTTACTAGAAATAATAATTAAGTATATTAGAATATATTTTCTAGAACTAAATCTGGATTCAAGAATTAAGTTCTAGCTAGAGCTCTAATATTATAAGAATATAAAAAAGGCAGCTATAATAATTTAGTTCTTATAATTACTAGAAATTTTAGAGTTTAAGATATACTTTCCCGAGATAAAAGAAAAGAAAAATAAGTTTTTATATAAATTCTTAGCTAGAAACTTATTAAAAATCAAATATAAAATCTATAAATAGTTACTTAAGAGAATACTCTATAAGATTATTTATTATTCTAATTTATTCTTAGTATTTCCCGTATTTTATTTTCTTTTAGCTAGCTAGCTATAATAGCTACTAAATACTATTATAGAAGATTAATAAATAATATTTTTATAGCCTCTATTAATATATAAATACTAAATAACTTAGCTAGATTCCGTAACTTATATAACCTTATATAAAATACTAATATAAATATTATAATAATTCAAGAAATATATTTTAGTAAAGAAATAGCTTTTAAACTTAAGGCCTAATATAAAGTAATAAGTATTACTATAAACTATAAAGGGAAATAAAAGGGAATTACTATAATTATTAACTATAGAACTATTTAATAAATATCTGAACTAGAGAATAATAGAGACTATATTTTTTATTAGGATATAAATAAAAGAATACTAACTTATAAAATAAAGTATAAAAGAAAGAACTTAATTATATTAAATATCTATATTCTAATAAATATAAAAAGAAAACTAGAATAATTTAATAATAAGATTAAAAAAAATATAAGACCTGAATTATATTCTAAATAGTAATATAATAGCTAGAAACTAGAAACTAGTAAAACTAATTAATTATAGAAATTAAAGAGAAAATAGTATTAAGTATATTAATACCTTAGAAAAACTAGTTAAGGTATTTAGTAAATAAGAAAGCAAAATAATAAATAAATAAAAGTAATAATATTCTAATTCTAAAGCCTATATATTTTACTAAAAACTAAAATAAGAAAAAAGAAAAATAGAAATATCGAGAATTAATAGAATTTACCTAAAAAATAATTAGATAAAACTATTTATAAACTAGAATATCTAACTTATAAGATTTAATATTAATTATAAAATAGTTAGTATCCGAATTAAATTTCCTTCTCTAGTATCTAGAGACTTCGGATAGTAGTATTTAAATCCTAGATTCCTAAAAAGGAAAAAGATTAGAGACTTTATTATTAATAAACTATATATATTATTTATAAGGAATTTCTAGAAAGAATAAAATAATTTTAAAGCTATAATATAGAAATTTATAAAAAAAAAAGAAATAATTAAAAAAAAACTTGTATTATATATATTAGAATAAAGAAATAAAAGTAAAAATTATAAAAAAAATAGGGGTTTTCTAGATAAATTAGCTATAAACTAAATTCTATTAATATTTAGGAAAAGTACTTAAACTAAAGAAAATATAAGAATTATATTTATAATATTATAATAAAAAATATAATACTTATAAAAAGGCCTATAAAAGAATTCTATATAAGAATTAAAAAGAATTTAAATAAGGCTATAAAAGCTATTAAGAATTATCTAAAGAATATAAGAATAGAACTAGATAAGATTCTTAAAACCTATATAACCTATTATAAAACCTTATATAATAAGAAATAGATTAAGAGAATTACTAAAGAAAAGATACTTAAATATCTAATTTTGAAATAAAATAGCTTAAGAAACTAATTCTAATATAAGAAATAAAGGTATTTATATTAAAAATAGCCTCGAGAAAATTACCTGAAATTAATAGCCTATTATATAAGCTCTATAAAATACTTCTAAAAATTACTATAAAAAGAAAGAATAATAACTTACTAATAATTTAAATATTATATAATTTCTTTAATAAAATTCAAGAACTCGATTTCCTAGATAAGTAAATAAAAAACATACTAATACTTCTTTATAAAAAGGGCAATTCTCTATTATTAGCTAATTATAGGCTTCTTATATTTATAAATATAAACTATAAGCTATATATTAAGATATTAATAATAAGACTTATTTATATTCTAAATCTAATTATTAGATAATAAT